TCCGAGAGTAGGAAGCATTTGCAATTTTAGAACCACATTAGGTGCCTTTTCAGGCACTTCCTGGAGTAATATGACATAAAATTGCTTTCTCCAACCCCCTTCAAGAGTAGGAATGTTTTGCAATTTTAGAACCACATTTTGCGCAATAATGTCCACCGGCACTTCCTGGAAGTGATACGTTGTATATGCTTCGTTGCCGCACAATGCACAAAGACGGTGGTCCGGTACTTAACCAGTTGTACTAAAAATTATATCAAGTGTATTAACTGTGTTGTTATGAGGGGCGTTGCTAGATCTTTTTTCAGTGGGGGAGGGGGGAGAGGCCACCGATTACCTACAAAACGAGCCACCAATTACCGACAAATATATTAATGCCAGTGTCCCAATGTTTACAAATTTAACCCTGTAAACCCGGGGCCAGAAACTAAGTTATTTTTCAGTTTTCCCCCTCCCGCGCGCGGAAGCTTTGGTACTTCATTAAATTTATTATTAGAGAAAGAATACGATCCGTTGAACCGTTCTAGACTTTTTATTCTTGTTTCGCCCCTCCCGCGCGAAGCGCGGAAGCTATGACGTTTCATTTATTTATTAGAGAAAGAAGACGATTCATTGTACCGTTCTCGACTCTTAATCCTTGCCTGAATTCATTTTCGCCCATCCCGCGCTTAGCGCGGAAGCTTTTACGTTTCATTAAATTATTAGAGAAAGAGGTCGATTCGTTGTACTGTTTTCGACTTACAATCCTTGTCCGAATTCAGTTTCCCCCCTCCCGCGCAAAGCGCGAGAGCTTTGACGTTTAATTAAATTATTAGAGAATGAAGACGATTTGTTGTACTGTTTTCTACTCTTAATCCTTGCTTTCACATTTCATTAAATTATTTGGAAAAGAAGACGATGCGTTTCCTTAAAGGTTTACTCTTAATCCTTGTCTGAATATAGTTTCCCCCTCCCGCGCATAGCGCGGAAGCTTTGAAGTGTCATTAAATTATTAGGGAAAGAAGACGATTCGTTGTACTGTTTTCGACACTTAATCCTTGTCCATATTGCTCCGATTGTCTCATTTTCGCTCGCGTGAACATTGCCAGCACAAACCACTGACCTCTACCTCCTGAACGGAACATCGCCCATTCCCATTCACTATACGTTACGTACTAAAAGGCTGTATTGTCTGACCGTTCATGAATATTCATGTTTTTGCTAAACTCGGCAAAATGTTTGCTTTTACTAAATGGAAAAATTACGGTGGGGGGGTTGGATGAAATGGACATAATGAAATAGGCAGAAGTGATCTATGATAATTCATACGTTTTATGTTTCGTGTGCTCGACCTATAATCTTCAAATCGCTTGGTAAACTGAGTCCAAAGTTAGACTTGTTTCACATGTGTATTATAGGCAATGACGAGCTTGCAACCTATTTTGAAAAATTACGGTGGGTGAACTTTCAAAAGTCAATGAGACATGAGGGCTCAAATGAAAGAGCTAGTGATAACGTACGTCGGGGTGGATGTGCTTTTCGTTTAAACAAAAAATGAATTTTTAACGATTTTTTTTAAAAAACGTCCATAGGCTAACATGTTAGGCTGCTGACGCTGACCATGCTCTGACGATAGGGGGCGTCGTGAAATGAGACTAAACGGAGCCATATGTGAATTCAGTTTTCGCCCTCCCGCGCCAAGCGCGAGAGCTTTGACGTTTAATTAAATTATTAGAGAACGAAGACGATTCGTTGTACTGATTTCTACTCACTTTGTCTGAATTCAGTTTTCCTCCCTCCTGCGCGATGCGCGGAAGCTTTGACGTTTCATTAAATTATCAGAGAAATTGTCTGAATTAATTTTTTCTTTTCTTAGTCCGATAAAAAGTCACAGTCCGTAGGGAGAAAAAAAAATTCCGGCCGACCGACATTAAACATCTCACCGACTTCAAACTTCTAAATTGATATAGTACACGAGCTAGATAGAGCAAGAATACCGACACAGCGGACCCGACACAGCAACATAATTTATCTATGCGTATCTTTCTTGCTCCTTCGACGTGGCGACTCCCCCCAACATTCCCTTGGCTTTTTTTACTCCCACCCCTCTTCTCTTAGGGTCTTAATACCACCCTCTCTCTCTCTCTCTCTCTCTCCTCTCTTTCGTTTGTTTTGTTTTGTTTTGTTTGTTTTCTTATGTTTCCTTTTTCTCCTTTTTTTTCTTTCTCCTTTTTTTTCTTCTCCTTTTCTTTCTTTTCTTTCTTTTCCTTTCTTTCCTCTCATTCCTCTTTTTTTCCCTTCTTTCTTCTCTTCTCTTTCTTTACTTGGTCATGGTTCAATTTTTTTTTTTGGGGGGGGGGGCGCCCCCAGCGCCCCCCAAGCCCCCCCCCCCCCCCACCAGTACGCCAGAGATATCGAGCAACAATAATAATGTATGCAATTCGCATTCTGACAATTGAATTTATTTGTAATACATGTAGGTTAATGAAATAATTTGAAACATAGCGCTTAACAAATAATTATGCATTACATTTAATAGGCCGCTTTCGTAATAAGGTAACCAAATTTAATGCATACCTCTTTGTGAAGTGCCTCAATACAAATAATTTCATTCACCTGATAAGAATAAGAATATTTCAATAGACAGAATCCGAACTGCATACATTAGTTGTTGCCAGGTAGGACAAACATTATGGCTTGACCTACCTAGCAACACTCATTAGGCTATTATGCAGTTTGCATTCTGACTATTGAAATGCTATTATTCTTATCAGGTGAATGAAATAATTTGTATTGAGGCAATTCACAAAGGCTTACGCATCAAATTTGGTTACATTACGAAAATTGTTTGTTGACCGAAAGATTGACAAATTTCAAATTATTATTACTTAATTCCTTTGTCTGTAAGCAGGTGGATTTTAACAATTACAAGCTGCATTATATTTGAAGGTGGATCGAAATTTGAAGCTTGAATCGGACTCAAGATTTTATTCTTTAAAGGCCCACTGCACTACTTGTAGCTACTTGCGCCCTCTATATAACAAACAATGCCTAATCGGTGACCATTGGTCCTCCATGATCCTCTTTTTCTTATGTTAACTGAGAGCTGAGTTGATGAGATAACCACCTGTCCAGTGACCTTGCAGGGCAGTCTAATCAGGAAGCTGTAATGAATGGAGATCCCGTCCAAGAGGCCCCTTTGAAGTCATCCGTGGCACCGCGCGTTTTTTGTTTCCCCTACCGTAATCCCCTTAATCCCCCTCCAAAACCTTACAGCTCCCTAGTAGCACTAAGTCCTCCCTTTCCACACACAGCCCAGCCCAGCGAGCACGGCGGCTTTTGCTTTGCCGGCCCGTACTTTGGTGAATAGTGGTGCTAACTTGACAACTTCTAGCCCTAAATCAATAAATGCGCAAACATATAACACAATTTCATTTAGTTCTTTAGGAAGATAAACCTTTGGACTACCTTCCTAGCTATGTACAAATTCGGAAATTTTCGGAAAATGTCAATAATTAGATGAGAAAATCATGATTATGAAAATCTTTCATTCGCTCTAACTCATGATTTCCTTGGTCAAATTCGCTGATTAAAATGGCCATGTCTTCAGTAGAGCTATCCGAGAACGGAAAACGCATTTGATGACTAATAGAAAGTTGCATTAGTCATAATGTTGTGAATTCTGCTTTTTATATGATATAGCTAAATACATCTTTCATGAACATGACTTAATTTGTCGGTGCCACGCATGGCTTCAAAGCCCGATGCTTGCATATTTTTGCAAACGAGTGAATAGAGAACTTAGGGAAGCAGATGGCGTTGCGTAACATTTCGTACTATTTGGAATGCCAGAGAGGGACTGTGCATTGATATGGACAGCTGTTGATGGAAATGATGGCTGGAGAGGGTTACATATCTTTTTGTTAAGCCAGGTTTATCTTGAATAATTTTCCCTCGGAAAATTCTTTCGAGACGGTATCTCCATTCATTACAGCTTCCTGGTCTAATCCCTCCTGTAAACTACGGCAGATAAGCTTTAAATTGAAAGGATGTCAAATTTATTTGGGGCAAGTTTTATCGATATTTCTCAATAAAATTCTTAGAATACTGCGTCTTTATTAGATATTTTCTTTTAAACAAATCAGGGCCTAACGTGTAAAACACGCACATATTTCACTGAAAAAATGTCATTATAATACCCTTTTTCAGAACACAATAGGAGGTCTATTACGATGACACGGAACAACTTTTGTGATCGAGAGTCACGAGTCTAGACGAACACGATCACATAAAGGTTTTGGAAATGGCAGGATTGATTCAGAAAGAAATAGTTGCGTTCACACCGTTGTATACCTAGGCGATCTAATCCATGTGAACACGCCCGTGTACCAGTAATACATTACCGTCCCTCGAACCAGTAACACATAAACGCAGGTGATGATGGAGGCTTTTTCAAACATTGCCCCAAGAACATGGAATTCCTTATCCCTGTAAAAAAAAAAAATGTCACAAAATATCACAGAATTCAAGAAGTGTCTTAAAAACTTATTTTCTAATTCATCTAAATATTTTGTTTCTTTTTCAATTAATGTATGTTCGTATGCCATTGTTTACTTTTATCTTTGGTTGTAAGTATTATATGCACTTTGTATCTTATGACAAGCATTACAAAGGACTTATTAACTATAATAATAACTATTATCATCAGTAGTAGTAGTAGCGGTGGTGGTATTTAATAGCTTTGATTCGTAAACTATGAGCTGGGCTACAGCCTGGTAGACCGAATTAGGACCGTGGTCTCGCGGAACTTTATTCATATTCAGTCTCGCGGGCCCTTCCACCAAGTGGTCAGACCCCGTAAAAAGTGAACTTTTTACATTAAGTACATGCGTGTAAACCCAGTCAAACACGAGAAGGGTATTCACATCTGCATGTTTGCATGCAAACAATGCACGCACACGCATGTAAACCGTGATTTGTTTCATCATGCATGTAATAGGCCTCCTACACAAAAGTGATGCAATCACTATTGGCGAGACACGTCTAGCGGCCGTGAACTTGGTCGTCTGTTGGGCGTATTAAGAAATGTATTCTCGGGGGTGGGGCAATTTGTTTTACTTGTGGGTTGTATCTTCTACTTCTACTTCTACGACGATACTCAGCAGGATCCATAAGTCAGGATGTATAGTGCTGAGGAATAAACTATCTAGTTCTTGGTCTAGATGCTGGGTGGAAACGCTCCCTGATAAAATCAGCCCGGTATATGGGCAGCCCCGCTTACGAATCCATCGCTTACCGTATATCGATGTAAGGATGGAGCGTATCGAAATGGTTAACTAGTCATACATAATAGAACATGACCCAACGCGTGGAGGAATATGTTGAGTTAAACTTGAAATTGAATGATTCGATTGTATTTTCCGCCCGTCATAACACGATCTTCTGGTGCCAGCTGGTAGAGTGACACGTTCAACGTGCTATGACGTTGTGTTATGAACAGCTCTCGATCATTAAAAACGATCTGAAACCTGGTCTCTCAGCACCATTGTTAAACTCTAGCTGTAGCGTATGAAATTATCCGATATGGATGGGGAGAATAAAGACACAGATGAGGAAGTGAACTGGTTAGACTGTGTATCGGCCATTGAAACTGACAAAGGAGTCGTTTATTTTTGTAACATCGAGTACTTTTCGCAAGATGGAGGCACGAGTACACCCGACTCCGAGCAATTAGGCACTTCTTTTGATTTCAGACGGGCTGAACAGAAGCTTAAGAGGATAATCAATGAATTCGGCGACAATGACACATGCAATCAGCAACATAATGGTTTGGACGATACGGAAGAACGGGTAGTTGATAGTGTGGCAATTAAGCCTCTATTAACCCCCGTGGCTGACTTTGTCTCTCGATTTCACCAAGGTCTGGGATGTTTTATGTATTCAATCACCGCGTACAATCCGCTAGATACCCAGCAAGACACCGTCCAGAATTGCCTAAGCAATCAGCTACTCCTGGCAGATCTTCGTGAAACCTTCACGGACTGCGATATCTTCAAGAACTTCTCCTATTTCCCTGGCAGACCGCATCACTTCGAGCGGGGATTCACTGTAGTTCTACCCTTGGCTTACCCGAATGATCACGAAGGCATCCTCCACAATCTAGCCTTGAAGTACAGGCAAGCGGCGTATTTCAAATGCCGTATTCTACCTAATGGCAGGAGTACTCAAACCATCGTGTTGCTTGAGGAGTATGTTAAAGAGGTCCAGGAGAGCCTGGTTGTGGTGGAGAGATTGGGCTACCATCCCGCATATCTTACAAGAAAGAACAACAATGTGTTTCATGGATTTCGTGATGCTATGAACATACTCTCCAAGGTGATTGAAACGACAGGACAATACTTTGGAGGGAGGGTGAGAGGGGGGGGGGGGGGTATGGGGGCTAAGTCGAAGAAAAATAATCAGCATCAATTACACTGGTCTACAGCCAAATTGCTTTTTATACGAGTAGCCAATCTAGACGGATCTATATAATTATGATCTCTGAAAATGGGGGCCGGTAACACTTAAAATCGCTGATTGGCTCCTATCTTGAAGATATTCTAATTTTCATATTTGATTTTTTTAAATAATTTTATTACTAAACATGGGTGTCGTACAGGAAATAATGCTTGTCAATATCTCTTAATTTAAAAGTCGAATCAGATTAAAATTTGCACACTTTAAAGTTGAATGATGTCAAATGTACATGTTTTGCATGTATTTCATTCAAACAGGAAATCCTATCATAAAAAAGAATGTATGAGATATTTCTGAGGTGGAGCACTATTGTAATATACCATATAGGCCATTTCATTAAAACCATTAAATTAATTGCAAAACGATCGTCTTATTCCGATGTGATACGTGTGTCTATGTATAAGTCTATATAAATATAGGTTGCACTATAAATTGCTTTTTCAAAATGTCAAAGTATGTATTAATTTAATTTTGCTTTGTACTTCATATACCTGTACTTGCAATTCTGTAAGTTAACATTTTGTTGAATGATTTGACCCTAGTGCGACTATCTACCCGAGGCTGGTCAATTAATGGAAATAGCCCAACATCAACTAGCAGTGTTACCAGCCTGTAACCATGGTAACCAGACCCAGTTGAAGCATCCAGTGATTGTGATGGAGGGAACATGTGATGCAGGTCAGTGGGTACTCCCGTTACTTCCATCAATACGTATATTCGGAAAGCATTTTTTACACTAAACCCCATTCATGAAATGCTTTAATCTTTGAAGACAAATCTCATGCAATGTGACCTTAAAAAAGATAATTAAAGAGTATAATCGCATTAGGGCTGTATTTTAATCATGACTAAATGCAGTCCTGGAAAGTCACTGGAGAGACATTGGTGTAACAGGCAGGAGGGGAGGGGATGAGGGGCTCAAGGGACAACCTCTAAGCATATTCAGTCAGCGAAGTGGTCTACTTGTATTTTATTTATTGCCTTACTTTACATCATTTTACATCATTTTATGACTAAACTTCAATATAACTATAATATAGTGTTATAATATTCATGTTCGGGCAGGAGACGTCACTCCCTTGTCGTCATTTGACCCGTCTGCACAGGCGCGTACACAAGGGGGGGGGGGGGGTTGGGGGGGTTAACCCCCCCCCTTTGGTATTTTTGTGTGTGTAAACCCCCCCCCTAAATTTCCCTAAAACCCCCCCCCCCCCCAACGGAGTAAAAAGTCAAATTTTCAAATTTCGATACCAAAAAAAAAAAAAAAGTGTCCTCTTACCCCCCCCCCCCCCCCCCCCCCCCCCCCCCCCCCCCCCGCTTATTCAGCGGTCGGCTGAGTCGTTGCGATTTTTTGGGGACCAAAAAAAAAAAAGTGACCTCTTACCCCCCCCCCCCCCCCCCCCCCCCCCCCCCCCCCCCCCCCCCCCCCCCCGCTTATTCAGCGGCTGGCTGAGTCGTTGCGAAATTTTCGGCCCGATTTATAAATGTTAAACCCCCCCCCCCCCCCCTTGAAAAAATCCTGCGTCTGCATTATGGCGAACTGCGATATTACGGGAATCTTTTTAGCGTAAAACAATGAGAATTTTACTTTAGTGTACGTTTTGTTTCCATTTCCAAATCAATTCATTTTTCTGTTATCAAACTGTCCATCCATGGTAATCTTCCCATGCTTAAATAATAATTATTTCAAGTCACTCATTAAATCCAACTTGAAGGCTGTAATCCTATCACCATCTCTGCTGCAAGACGATTGCACCACAAATGTTAAGCTGTTACAAAGGTATATCCTTTAAAATAAGGAGACCCTACTGTATTTTTTCTTCAAGATAAACCTCTACTATAGATGTGGGGTTTTTTTAATACAAAAAATACTGAGAGAGAGAGAGAGAGAGAGAGAGAGGCTTGGGGGAGAAAGAGAGAGAGAGATTGGGAGGGGGGAAGAAGGCAACGTGAAAGATATTATGCACCCCACTCGATGGCGCTGCATGGTTTCTCCCATTTCATTTACCGGGTAGCCCCATCTCTCCCAAACACCAGCATCAGTTCAATTACTGAACCCACGCAACTCCAGAGTTCACATATTAAAGAAAAAAGAAAAATTGCCAACATTTAGTGTCCGAATTCCGTTGAGCTGAATTATCGAAGTACATTAACTCAACCAAAATAGACTTGCTCCTAACACACAATGCAATATGCTCGGCATGTTTATTTTTAATGTACCGACGCTTTCGCACTGACCTTTCTTACCCGCTTACCACGTATTGACTTTTTTTTCTTCTTTTTTAAAAAACCTGTCGAGTTTTACGAGAACGAAATCACGATTTGCTTGGAAATTACCATAAAAAATCGTTTGAGAAAGGGCTTCCATATCTAATATTGATCAGTATAGGTTACTTCACAAAAAATTGATGTGTGAAATTCGGATAAATTGCACAATCTTGTAGCTAATCCACCGTTTCGTTAGGAAATTAGTAAAATTTATATTTAGTGAAAGTAATAAAATCATTGGCCCATATGAAGCAGTATTTATATTTTCAATTAAGCAGATTTATTCCGATATACTTCGGTTCAGTTTAAAAGCTAATTTTTCTGTGTGTATAGTGTTAAATAATTTCTATCTACGTAACTTCTTAAGGAAACTAAAGAAGCCATACCAAACGAGAAACATTATTACGTATGGCTATTTTATTCTTGTCACCAAAATGTATCCATGTTTTGTATCATATTTCTCTCTTTATTGAGCAAACCAAATATCCATGTTAAATGAAATTAAACAAATAAATACATTGAATGAATTGAACGAATTAATCAATAGTAACATATTCTTATCGTTACATTGCTACAAGGAGTACCATTCTAACATCATTTCATTCCGCTTCTTTTTGCAGGTATTTCTAATCACAGCTTGCGTCTCAGCAATGCCATCGGTGGCACTCACCTCAAGTCTCCGCCATCTTGTATCCAACACCTTAGGGAGACCTTTGACAAGCAGAACAAACTGATCCAAGCAGCTTTCTACACTGTATGTAACTACATCCTAGGATCCCAAACAGAAGAGGCCAGAAAGGATGCACCTGTAGTGCTAGACAGGTTCGTCATAAATATATATATTTTTTTTTTGCATGTTGAACATGGGACGTTATTTTATCTGACGCTGGACTGCGTCAGCGATTGGTTCGGTCTTTGGCGCATCGTGTGGCAGTGGCGTCCTATGAAAAGTGAATGTAAAATAAACATTGCAAACATTTTGTTGACTCACTGGCACCTATCTGTAGTAATTGCCTTCGTAAAATAAGCCACTTTGGAAATAGCACTTGCAAAATGTACCCCCCCCCCTTAATATCCACAGACCTTTTGTACATGGGGACGTCCCACTTTGTGCATTTTAGAATAATCACTGCCAAAGAGATGGAGGTGCTTCATGAATACCTTTTTTGTTTTTGCTCTCTTGGAAAGAATACCTCCACCTGTCTATCATAGAATTTAATAAATGAATAATTATTAAATAATTGTAATGAACATGTATCCAGCAGTCTCCTAGAAGGTTTTTTATATAGTCTTGTACAAATGACCTTATCTGCCCATGCGCAGATTGTATCTCCGAAGTGGCTAATTTGAGTAGCGTATCTAAAGTTACACAACCGACATAGCGCCTCGTATGCATGAGGCTTAGAATAAGCTTATCAGAATAATTTAAGGGAATTTACATGGTTTGTCAATTCATCCGAATGAAAGGTTCATCACACCATACTTGTTATGGAGATGGTAACTCAGACAGGGGCGTGAGATAGGGATGGTATGCAAGCAAAGTCACATGCTTGTTATTGACTAAACACTTTCCGACGTCATTCGACGTAGATCGATTACTTTGATATCCAGTAGCATCACCAAAGGCCATGGATGTGGAGGTATGTTGACATCGAACAGATTTGCACGTCGACAGCTTTGACTGCAACGTGTGACTTCATTGTAAGGCACTGCGCATGCGTCACGTCGTCTCAGTCGCGGCGATCGAGAATGCGTCAACCTTGATTTTCCTAAATCTAGTACGGTACTAGCTTGGACCTATTACGGATGGACATTCAACCTGATTCTTTCTTTGATCCAATGATAGTCACCGCCTTCTGATTATGTGCATCTTAATGAGAACATTATAGCGCCCTTTATAGTGGCCGCACCGTTTTTCCTCTCTTCAGATTTTCATCTGAAATTTGTTAATTTTGCATACTTTGTGAGTATAAATTTGACTAGTTGATCTTAGTGACATTAGTTCTTGATGTTCAGTGACAATTCTGACGTACTTTTTGTGATCAATCGTGTTTGCAATCATGCATTTTCACCTTTGGATATTTTCACACCAAATTGTGAACATATTGTTTGCTGTTTGTACGTGCCTATGCATATCACTTGATGTGGTAGTCCATCCGTCTACGCTGTCTCTTAACATGGTTCGCTGCACTTACTCCCGTGAGGAGCTCTTGTGTCTAGGGCGAAACTTTGACAATGAAATTCAGCCTAAGCTTCTTAGTGCACATGAATGGAGTTTTTTCAAAGAGTTGGGAATCGCTCGGAGAACTAAGCATGGCTACCGAGGAGGGGTAATGAGGCGTAAGTTCAACATTCCTGTACTCATTCAGACTAGATATACTAGTGTTTCTAGTGGAATATCGATGCGGGATACTGGTGGACTCATACAACTCACTGGAACTCCTCCTTCTGTCACTGAATGTCCTCCTGAGAGAAGAGTTCGAATTGGTCATTGGAATTCCAGATCTATGAACAATAAGACCACCATCATTTGTGACCTTATCATTGGTAACAACCTTGACGTACTCATCGTCACCGAGTCCTAGCTTAGGGGCGACCATCGCGACAACCATACCCTTGCCGACATTAGGGCAACGCTACGCAATTATGAGATAGTGCACAAACCTCGTACGACCAGTTCTGGCGGAGGCATCTGCAGTATCCATCGTTCCTCGCTCAAAGCGAGTCTTCAAGACTTTAGTATAAACTATGAATCATTCGAGATGATGGACTTTACTATTCGGTCTAACGGTGCATCAGTGTTTTACATGTATGCTATCTATAGACCACCTCCATCATCGAAGAACAAACCAAGTTTTTCTTTGTTCTTGAAGGAATTTTCCTCTTTGATGGAATATGTCGCAGTTGTTGATAACATCCCAATGCTTGTTGGTGACTTTAACATCCATGTAGACGACTGCAGGAACAAAGATGCTACCACCTTCCTCAATATCCCAGAAGAGGCAGGTTTTCAGCAGCACGTGATGACTACACATCAAGCTGGACATACGCTCGACCTTTTGATAACTAGAAGGGTCGACGAAGTGGTTCCTGAGATTGATTCTATCAGGGTTCTTCCATCCGATCATGACGGTATATGGTGCATACTAGACCTGGAACGTCCTGCTGCTACTAAGAAGCGTGTTACCTGTAGGAAGCTTCGTGATATCAATATGGACTTATTCAAGCCAGATATTTTGGCATCTTCTCTTACATCCTCACTTTCGCTTCCATCATGTTCCTCTGAAGCAGTTCTACAGTACAATAGTGTGCTCCAGGAACTCTTGGATAAGCACGCGCCAACTCGATCATCTGTCGTTTCCCTAAGGCCACGGGCTCCGTGGTACACCGAATCTATTAGACAGGCTAAACGAGTTAAACGCCGTGCAGAGCGGACGATGACTAAATCAGGCCTAGAGATTCACAAGCAGATATATCAACAACTCTGCAAGTCCTACAATGACAAGCTTGTGGAGTCCAAATCCCAGTTCATGGTGGCGGAGGTGGAAGGGTGTGACACGAAACAACTTTTCAAGTTCGTCCAAAAGTTGTCTTGCCCAGATCTGGTTCCTGTGCTTCCGGATCGTGACTCAGATGAGACCCTGGCAAATGACTTTGGCGAGTTCTTTCAGAAGAAAATCCAACAAATCATGTTAGGGTTCAACTTGTCCTCTCGTCACATAGGGGAAATTCCTTCGTGAGTTAGTGAATTTTCTTCTTTCGAACCAGTGTCTGAAATTCAAGTTAGAAAAGTGATCAATGCCATGGCTTCTAAACATTGCAAGCTGGATCCTCTTCCAACATGGCTGGTCAAGTGTTGTATGGATGAACTGTTGTCAGTTATCACTTCCATCATAAACAGCTCGTTGTCTTCTGGGAGTGTTCCTGACAGCTTCAAGGTAGCCCGTGTTGTGCCCTTGCTGAAGAAGAGTAGTATAGATCACAATGACCTAAGGAACTATAGACCTGTTTCTAACCTGATGTTCCTTGCGAAAGTTCTTGAACGAGTTGCTAGCTTCCAGTTGAAAGCATATCTAAAGAAGAATTGCTTGTTTCCCAAGATGCAGTCGGTCTATCGCTCGTCCTACTCAACTGAAACAGCACTGTTGAAAGTGATGAACGATCTGTTACTGGCTGTCGACAGGGGTTATGAAGCAATACTGGTTCTACTGGACTACAGTGCTGCTTTCGATACCATTGACCATGTGAATTTGATTGAAATCCTCGAACGTGACTACGGCATCAAGGATGTAGCTCGACAGTGGCTGGTCTCCTATCTAAAAAATCGGAGACAGAAGATCGTAGTTAACGATGCTGTTTCCAAGTCTTTTCCTCTCTCCCAGGGTATTCCTCAGGGATCGGTCATTGGTCCTTTGGCGTTTGTACTGTACACTGGCCCTCTATCGCAAGTCATCAATGCCCATCAAGGAATCCTACATACCATGTACGCAGATGACACTCAGTTGTGTGCCGTCATCAGACCCGAGGAACATGACGTCGGACTTCAAAAGCTACAGCAGTGTAAAGCAGATGTTAAGGAATGGTCACTACAGAACAATCTTCAACTCAATGACTCTAAGACTGAGGTCATCCATGTATTCTCCAGGTTCAGAGGTGCTCGGATTCTCCCTGTACTGCAGATTGGCGATGGAACGTCTATCGCATGTGTTCAGGCCTCTCGTGATCTCGGTGTTATTCTTGATAAGAATCTCACCATGGCTTACCACATACGTTCGAAGTCTCGAGCAGCAGCTTTTGGAATCTCCAAGATAGGTAAAATAAGAAAGTACCTGACGGCCAGCGCAACTGAACGATTAGTCCACGCATTCGTGTCATCACACCTTGACTATTGCAACAGTTTATTTTACGGCTTACCAGACTCTCATGTTCTACCTCTTCAACGAATTCAGATTGCTGCAGCTCGTTTAATAACCCGTTCCAGAAAAATACGATAACATTACCCCTGTCCTCCACTCTCTTCACTGGCTTCCCGTCTCTCAACGCATTACGTTCAAAATCCTGATCCTAACTTACAAAGCCCAACAAGAACTTGCTCCAATTTACATCACAGAACTAATCTCACCAAAGACCCAGACAACCTCTATAACACTTCGCTCATCCACCTATGCTCATCTGCAACTGGCCCCGGGTCCAAGAACTCGAACACGATATGGAGACCGTGCCTTCAGCGTAGCTGCATGCTCCGAGGCTTTGGAACAGATTTCCTCTAGAGATTCGGGAAGCTCCTTCGTTTGATTCTTTTAAATCCTCCTTTAAGACATTCCTTTTTAATTTTCCCTGTTAATCCTCCCCGTTAGTCTGTAGCTTTAATGTGTTTTGCACGGTAGATGTAATGTAATTGCCTTAATTTGAATTTGTAATGTTTCGCCATAAAATTAATTGTATTCTATTGTATATATATGTATTGACTAGATGTATCTGTGCTTATGTATGTATTTTGTATTAATTGTAAGTTGATAAGTATATATCAATTATAGTTATTGAATGTATTATTATCTAAGTACAACTTTGTAAAGCGCTTAGAAACATTGTAATAAGCGCTATATAAATATAATGTATTATTATTATTATTTATTTAACAATAATGACTGCGTAAGCATTTTCGGTCATTGACAAAGGAGCAGTTTCCCTCTCTTGGGTTTCGTTTCGATGGTGTGCTCTGTAAGAGTTTGTCTTAATAAAAACATGCCCAATGGGGAGCAGCGAAGTTGAAAAGCAGACGATTTTGGTGATATGAAATGTATTATTACTGATTTGCAAACGTTCGCACACACCAATGACCTTATAAAACAATTAGAAGGCCATGATCTTGCCCTGTGCGTTGTAACTCTGGAATACTATGAGGAAATTGGGAAAAACGGGATTTTAAATCACAACCGATCGAAATATAACCTCTATCTGGTAATATCAACACGTTTTTCAAACTAAAATACAGTACACGGAACAACAATTTCCGATTATAAACCAGAACTGCACATCGATTTTCCATGATTTAAGCGAGTTATTATCTTCTGCGCATGTAGATTAACATGTGAAAAATCACTATCTTGATTCTGTCCCGGCTTTTTGGCGGTGACCATCATGAGATCAAAGTGAAGAAACATGTACGGAATGTTATTGAGACGACATTGACGGAGACAATCACAATGAATTCGTTAAGAAAACGATGAATGTCCATCCGTAATAGATCCATGGTACTATAGTATGCACAAGAAAGGACAAAATTGTAGGTAAGGGGAAGAGAAAATAAAAACCGCTTGCATAACACGTTATTATGACTCCAAACATCTGCTTTACTAAAGGTAAACAGGTAAAAAGGTAAATGCTAATGAAATGTTCTTATCCAACCTCAGGTTCTGGAACAGTACTGCTGCTTTCTCCATAACATCGGATGTTGGAAGAGGGGTATCCAACCTCCCACCTAAGGATCACTTTGTCTATGACTGGCCCATGGACCTCTTCAAACCTGATGCAGTCATCCTAGTTGGATCCAAAAAGGCCATCCGAAACCAGAGTGGGGGTAGGAAGAGTAGTGGTGAACGCATCACCAAACAGCTGTAAGTGACCCGTTTCCACTTACAGACATAATTATAGGACACATTAGGCCAGAGTAATACAAAAGATGCAGACGTTGGCCTGTACAGTGTGAGTCAAAAAAAAGTTTACACTTAGAAAATTGATAATCATTAAAAACAATCATCTATGAACAGTAAATTATTATACATCTGATGAAAGAGTGTTGTATCCCAAATCATTTGGTACCAGTTTTGTGTGGTATGCGTTCACGCTTGGATGATCAGGAGGCATTTTTTGCGAGAGTGCAAAAATCGACTTGCGCCAAAGTTGCTTATGTGATGTTTGAATAAAACAATTGGGATTTGGGTATTTATTCGGTCTTTGCAGATCCAAATAACATCCCTTTCAAAATTAATCATGCCACACATATCAATTATCGAATATCAAATATCAACAAACGTTTGTGCGCGCTTGTGTGGGTGTGTGTGACTTTGCCCTTTGCAAAAAGCATATGCAATGCATTTCGTTTGATACATTCAATTCATTCTGTCACTCCGCTAATCCCAACATAATACATACTGGAGGTATCACTTTGGCGCAAGTCGATTTTTGCACTCTCGCAAACAATGCCTCCTGTTCATCCAAGCGTGAACACATACCACCCAAAATGATACCAAATGATTTGGGATAAAACACTCTTTCATCAGATGTATAATAATTTACTGTTCACAGATGATTTTAACAATAATTAGCAATTTTCTAGGTGTAAACTTTTGTTTGACTCACACGGTAGTGATGGTTACTGGTTTGTTTGATTGGTGGGTAGTTAACTTTAGTCATTTTATAATTGGTAGAAGTGTTGCAATGAACATGTTGAATGACAATGCAACTAAGAAATCTAAAAGCTGAAAATCAGGACTAAAAAATAGAAAACAATTAAGCTCTGAAATAGTGTAACACCCCTATATTTTAACCTCCTATCATTTTATATCATTTGTTCGTGCTGTCTTATTCGCAGGATGTTTGAAACGCTAAGACGTATGAAGACATCATCATGGATCGAGGTGGACCGCATCCGAGACCAGTGTCATTCAGATGAGGCTGTAACCATGGTAATCATTGATAAACTTCATTCCAAAAAGATTGGCAACTTCCGCGTAGGCGCCAAAGAGGATGGGATATGCCCTGGCACAAGACTTCATCCAACACAGGAACATGACACTCTACCCGTTGGCGGACTGGAATCGTTAACGGAACACTCGGCTCTTGAATACATCGGTTTCCTGTAAATTTTATTCTGGAAATTTCCTCCCTTCTCTTTCCGCTTATAACACGTTGTTTAAGCTTCTAACAGCCTTCCACTCAAATGGACTTTAAGCGGAATGATTTTTCCCACGCGATTTCTAGCTGCCTTTTGCGGGGAGATAATATCTGTAAAGAGCTTTGAGAAGGTATACCATATTTTAAGCACTATATAAATCCAGACTTATTATCATCATCGCAGATAGGGAGACAACTTGCATCTAGAAAGCTCCTATTCAGACTTTGATCAATACTTTTAAAACTCTTTCAAGTTCCTTCATTCGAATTGAAATGAATTGTCAATCGTTCTAGGATCCCCCCATGCAATGGTATGTCCAGCGTTGAGGGCGTGTTGAGGGAGTGAAAGAAGCTTAGACCTCATGTAATAAACTCCTCAAGAAATAGAACTTTTCTCTATCATGACGTGTCATAATATTACGGAGAACGGTACACGGTGGAGGTGTGGTGGTATAGTGGTTCGTTTGCTTGACTCTAATTCCCAGGGTTTAGGATGCGAACCTCGCGCGGCACTAACATCCTTTGTCAAGACATTATTTCAAGATTGCCATCCCCATCCAGGTATATCATTATTGTTATTTATTTAACTTTAATGTTTATATTTGTTATAATTAGTGATGTTGTTGTTGTTATAATTATTGAGAGGAGTGGCCCTCCCAGCATGTTGCGAGCCTGGTCACGCTTAAACAGAATGAACTGAATACAAAGAATGGGTTATTAATTGACGTATGAGCCAACTGCCTTTACTAGGCTAGATTTGAGAAGGAAGTGGCGCTTCGTGAGCAACAGATCTAAATAGGCTAATGTTTGTAAATATAGCAATCACGTTGTTAGTCACATGAATAACAACGTGATTTACATCTTAACAAATCTTTGGCCCGAATTCGGGCCATTATGTTGGTAGCATTCGATATTTATTTTTGGTTCCAGTATATCCTTGACTCATTCCGTGATTGATTTATTTATTTCAACAAAATATAATGAATGAAAGTGAAGCTCTGCAAAGTTTGACATTACCGCAATTCATCGCAAAGGTTAAGCATAATAAATCATTGTTTGAAGGATATATCGCCGTTATTTATAGTTCTTTACGCCCATTGACATACCGTGATTAAAAAATAATAAATCAAAGTGAAGCTGTACAAAGTTGAACTTTGATCTTTACATTATATCAGAAATGTTACCACTATGATGGTTTAATTAAAAGAGATATTTGTTATTTGTCACTTGTATTTTTTTGTCTTCCACTTTATCAAACATTGAATATTTAGTTTGAATGCCAAAATGACTTCTGTTGGACACATGTTTACGGAGAGACACCAAGGTAGTATTAGAAAGACGTCAGTTTTGAATTATAATGCATTAAGTAAATATCAATAAATGAGAATATAATGCAATCGATTTACATAACTGAATTGATGATATTACTTTAACGAGTTTATAAAGTGTATTGTTAATCCATAATAAATGAGAGAAAAAGAAAACAAGATGGTATAACAAACGATGAATGAAATCATGCATCACAAATATCGCAAAATAAATATAAACAAAAAGGTGATTAAAGCCAGTTTGCATAGCTATATGTTTGCATCTTTGTGTTAATTATGATGTTATGTCTCTCTAAATCTTTATTGCGTTTTATTTGAAAAACAGACAACAGAATATAAGAAAAGCATCTAATACATATGCCTATATATAATGGACAAGACGCAAAACCAGTGCAATGAAAACGTAATACAGTATGTAGGTCGATGTGATAAAAGTGCAATACTCTCTCTCTTTCTCTCCTTACCCTTCTCGCCATCTTCATTTTCTTCTTTCATTCCCGCACGTATATCCCATCCATCTGACAGTCATACCCGCCAATCCTGGCACCATTCATGTTATCGTCAGAGAGAGAGAGAGAGAGAGACTGACATAGAGAGGGGTACGAGATAGTAGACAGAGACAGAAAGGGAATAGAAGAGACAATATCCAATTTAGTTTCTTTGAAGACCTCTATTGCAATACTTTTTGCTTTCCTATAATATTGTACCTCAAATCCGGCTATCCCTTACGAAGAAATATGTCTCCATGGTGTTGCCAGTTAAATAACTGTCCTATCAAACAAAATGGCAAACACATTCTTATCTCTACTGTTATTTGCACAAGAGGCGTCATTTGCCTGACGCAGGATTGCGTCAGTGAAATGACATTACATCATACCAAAAGTGACTGATATTCAGTGCACTAATATTGCGTTGCATTGCTTGCGTATACGGGCTAATGCCCGATGAATACTAGGCGCCATTTCGCAAAGTACAAGTGTAGTGTAGCTTTGCAAACTTGTGGGAACAAATATATCATAATTGTTGAAGTATAGCTGAAGTAGATGAATTTAATGCTGTTTATCTGGTGTTGTTTGAATATGTGTATGAAAGAATGTAATACTTAATGTTGCTGTATTGCATAAAGCCCTTCATGGTTATGAATAATAAAGGAAACACGTGGAAGGGTAAATACACTTTTATTGAAAAAAGTCATAAAGTATAGTTTTTATTTGACGGAACTTCAACATTCTGAGGAATGAATATGGAATGTAAACACGTACAAGATTAAACAGGGCTTAGTCTCATTCCTCTTATAGCATTATCAACCTAGATCTACTGTCTCCTAAAATTTCCAACTGTTGGTATATACGTGTACCCGTATCTTTGTCAATTGCCCTCTAACGCTGTCTACAACCGGTTCAAAACACCACCACCACCAGCTAATTGCAAAGTACGCTCTCAGAAAAGTAAGAGGCTCGTTTAGTTTAAGTATTGCCGTCCTCAAGATACGACAAGTGCATTTTGGAAGGTGTTGGCATTGGACAATAAATTGTTGGTAAATACGAATTTTGGGGGGATAAAATTTGATATCGTTCAGGTAAACAAAACAATTCGAATCGATAGGGTTATTGAACAGGAGGTTTCTTACGACTCGAGAACTTTGAGCTTCAAATGTGTCTTAAAAAGTGATCTGGAAAAAAAGGATAGACCGATCTAATCAGCCATTTGGGAAAAGCGATGTTGCTCTACAGAAGTGATAGTTTCGATGTTAGTATAAGGAGGCACGAAATCTCTTGACTACAGGTGTATAAACATTTATTGTACATGGATTCCGCGATTATCTTTCATTGCGCATGAAACTCAATTTGATTGCTACATAAAAGACTTTAATGGACCAATTAATGTTACGCCTTAAAAGCATTAACATTCAAACCCAACAGAAGGCAACTCCTTTCCTGGACCTAAAAAGGATTGACTAGCAAGAAAACAGAACGAAGAAGCTATTGATACTATTATACGAACAAATTACAGAATCAATATGCAGAATTACAGCCCGGAGACGTGGACACCAGTGAATCCTCAAAGAACGTCTAGCTCCTCATCAACATTGACGATATCGGGTCATCTGGTCACCCCACGTCCCGAAGCTGCTTCCATAGGTCATTTGACCACCTCACATCACCCGACATCAGCCGTACCACTAGCCCATCGCTACTCTACCTTCTACAACAACTTGGATGGCAGCTCAAGTAGCACCTCGGCCACCATTCCGCCCTACAACGATGAATACTCGGCGTGGAATTCCTTTGATTTCACATCACCAACGACGCATACCCACCCACACCAGACGGCTAGGAGCTCATTCGCCGCTGCCGCTGCGGCACACCACGGCCACTTTCACCATCACAACGCCGCAGTGATGATGCAAAACCCACAGGCGACCGGTTTAAATCCCACCGCTGCCACCATGGGTGTTAGTTCACAGCACCGTGACTCGCTGCTTTCGGCAGCGTCAGCGGCAGCGGCATCAGCAGCAGCTGCAGCGGGAGCAGTCTCAGGGAGCAGTTTCGGCAACATTTCTCATCGGCATTCTTCTTTCAGTAAGTATGAGATGCAGTCATTTTATAACTGAAAACTGTCTTAACGAAAGATGTGAATTATAAGTAAAGATGAATACATAACACAATTTGAAGAAGAGGGCTTTTAGTAGCCAAATATAGAAAAAGAGAAGAGAAATTAATGTATTCGTTTTTTCGAACGTTACGAAGTAAAAAGTCAAGCACCAAAACATTGAACATGGGACACACTATTGATAAATCCGTGTCCTCTCTGTTTCATACATTGGCGATCAATGCTTTCATCTATTTCGAGCTTTGACATGTTTGTGGTGTACTGGTATATCTACCAGCCATTCCAATGAAGGATTCCCATATATCGGATATACTGTCCCCCTACTTCTTCTCCTTACTCCAATTGTCCACTTTACAGCCCCCTTTCTCTTCTCATCTCTTGAACTCCAACCTTGATCTATCTTTTTCCTTGAGATGTTTAGAAGGGAACATAATGTCAAGCATTTGGTCATAGGTCATGGGTGTTGTAAGGTTTCTTCTTCAAGTTAACAACCACATTCTCTGCAGCTTGAATTATGTTATCAACGGATTTTTGTCTATAATGTCCAGTTCTCACAACTATAATATGTGAGAAAATACTAGGCATATGGCAAATTATTTCAGAACTCGAATTCTAGTGGTCATTTCAGGTTCCCGTTTGTTAAAGGAAAATGAAACCCAAGAAACTTTAACTGATAGCCTTAATAAGAATTATGAGCCATTTGAAATATCTTGAAAGTACTTCTATTTAATTTACTTGGCAAGGAAAACAATGTCTCCAAAGTTTGCAATTCCCTCGCTCTCCTATATGGGAGCTGCCTTAGAATTGTGATGTTCGATTAGCACATAATTATATCCGTTCCGTTTGACATGGAATGAATGTTACATAATAAATTGGTATTGTACACCTAGAACCATCGATGCAAACAGAGGCAATCTTTTTACCCCGGCATCTCAAACAGCTGATTTCTTTGAGCAGTTTTATGTACGTTTTTGCCACTCTATTGAATAATTGGCGGAACTTTGTTTGACCCCGCAACAACTTATGTATGCCAAATATTGCTTTAAAAAGAAACTGTTCAACTTTTTGAAACAGCTGAACCAAATAGCGTGTCACAAGTTTTGAGAGATCATCCATTCATGTGAATGCATTTCTAAAATAATCTATTATTATGAAACCATTGTCATGCATTCCACAGGTATGTGTCCTACATTGTTACTGAAATACAGGTCAGTGAGTATCTCACAAGTTGTACTACTCTGACATCACTATTTTTAATCAAATATGCCATTTTCGTAGTGTAACCAAATTTAATGTACAAATCTTTGTTCAGTACCTTGTTTCAAATTATTCACTAAACATTACATATGGCTTTCCCTACATACCTATCAACACGGAATGTACGCCTATGCAATTCGCATTTTGACTATTGAAAGACAATAATTCGTAACAGGTGAATGAAATAATTTGTAACAAGACACTTCAAAAAAATGCGTACATTAAATTTGATTACATGAAAAAAATTGGCCTATTGGCGAATCCCGTATAAAAAGGAGAGTGGCTTGCAAGGAAATTGCAAACTTTGGAGAGATTATTTTCCTTGCTAAGTAATCAAATAGAAGTAATTTTTTCAAGATATAAGAAAGCTCAATTCCACGACTGAAAAGTAATTTGGATTCTCTAGAATATTCAAAGAGCAGGTACTAATTAAGTACGATGATGATTATCCGGATATGGTTTGAGCCTTTACTGAACCAAACCTAGCTCCGTCGACATGGATAAGATAATACATAATTTCATGAACTTGTAGTTTCTTGGGGTGGCAATATATCTTTTTGTTTTTATGCCTAAAGGTTCTTTATCCCCAATTATAAATTCCAGCATATTAACAACATGGTCAGTGAGTATATAAGTTAGGTGTTAGGAGTCCATTTAGTTGGGAAGGATGGTAATGATAACCAATTATCACACAGTTCGGTGTCACTTAAACCTCCTTTTATTATCGACTATTATCAGTCGTTAAGCGCTGATTTCTTTACAGGTGATCATTTTTATTTTAATGGATACAATAATAGTCAAATGTTTTTAATATTGCCTTTATAATCGAATTCGATTGGAGGAGGAACGTTTTAATTAGCTATTTAACAAGTAGCAGGCAGTAATATACAGATTACATATTTTATGGAGAACGTTACTTTTTATGATTAAAACAAAAATTATTCCCCAATTGTGTTTACTTGTATTTCACAAGCTTAGGTTAAGCTATGAAGAGCGTTCGCATTTTATGAATCAGTTAGAATAATAGTATGTGATATATAAATATCATGAGAAGCTTTTAACATTGTGTAAAGCCAGTAGTAACGTGCTTTTAGATAAATTTACGTGCGTTCACAGAATATAAGTGCAAATACTGCCTAATCATAATATATACCCGCTTAATATTACAGACAACGCTAGGCCTTGGATGGGAAGAAACTGAATAGCGGATATAAAGTTTTATAGATGGTGGCGAGGTAGTGTGTCGGTATTCGGTTAATATGCGTGGTACCAGCATACGGTTCAAGGCATATAAGAAAAGAAGGAAAGAAAGAAATTATCTTTCAATTGATGAGGGGATTGGATAGAGGTTATACCATGATCTCGAGTTAATTAGGAAGATTGGCGGGCATTTCTGTCAGATGGATGAGATAAACGTGCGGGAAAGAAAGAAAGAAAAAACAAGGAAGGTGGAGAGAAGGGAAGAAGAGAAGGGTAAGGAGAGAAAGAGAGAGGGAGAGAGAGAGAGAGAGAGAGAGAGAGTGGGGTAGAGTGAGTAGAGAGTAATGCACTTTAATCATATCGACCTATTTTGTTTTCATCCCAAGGTTCGATCATGATTTGTGAGCATTGTATGAAAATATTTAAAAAAAATAATATAAAGTAAGCCTATTCACAACGCGCCAACTCCACATGAATAATGTGCTTCAAGGCGGACAAGAACATTATAAACATGATAAATCACAATAGAAAGATAAGTTAGAAAATAATATTAGATCTACTGGAATTTGTTTTCTTCAAAAAAATAGTTTCGAGGGCATTTTTTAAAACTCTTTACACTTGAAATTATCACGAATATCCTGCGGCAACTGATTCGATAGGTTAGGTCCATAGGTTAAAGGTACTATGTCCCATTTGCAGGCCCACAAAATGAAAAGGTTAAATTCCAACGGCATTTGAAAGATAATACTAATTTAGAACTTCCCTAAAAAAGGTGGGGCTTGAAAATGTCTTCAAGTGGGAAAATAACGACTATTAGTTGTCAAATCGACTTAGGAGCTATAGAGCCAATAAGTAATAGTCTTGATTTTCAGACCATTGTCCCGAATGGTCATACGTTTTATGCTGCGCAAAAATTCAATGAGTTTAATTTTGGCCATCACAAGAAGTGGGTTATTAATGTAGACACATGCTCATGTACCCTTTACAGCTCATTTTATGTATGTTATTACCAAAGAAAAAAAAGGCCAGTCAGTCACTCAATAGTGTCTGATAGTGAAGTCTAGCAAGAAACGGGTTGCCTTGCATAATTTGAATATTAGGACACTGATAACGTTTAAATTTCACAGATGGGACATACATGACATATTCATAATTCCTGCAAAGTTCTACAGAATTTGAGGTTGGCTGCAAAAGGGACATAGTACTGTGGCGGCCGCCCCCGCCTCCGTCTCCAACCTCGACCTCTACGTCGGGATTATTCTCATTCCCAGCTGGGGAAACTGATTCTTTATATCTGTCAGGATATTCGTCAGCCGACATTATTTATAATGTATGTCCGAGCGGTTAGAGTAATTAGATCTTATCTTTTATTTGAGGAAAGACGGGGGAAGCTACAATACTTATTTACGTTCGTTTCGTCGAAATATACGACTTATGACGGAGTACCAGTCAAGAAGAAAAACAAAGTGTTTATAGACTCATAATTTCAGTTTTAAGACAAAAGAAAATGGTCAATTTTTATTAATGCATGTACTTCAAATATTTACAACATCTTTATATCACCACTGTCACAAATACCTTGTGCTCATATAGTTATACTTAATGAATTTATACGATTGTCGTTATTATATTCGGATACATGTAATAAAGTAAAGGCAATGATTCATTGGGATTTATGGGACTTGGGAGTTTTCCTCTTAGTTTAATTCCATAGCGTCATAGGGGGAGAGGTGGACTTAGAATATTCCTGCATCTTAATTATAGTGGTTCATTAATTCCAGCATCTTAATTCCAGCGTAGACTTCCTTGTGTACCTTTATATTCCAGGGAGGGAGAGAGATCTTATGTGTGGTACCGGTTCCGACGAGCGCCCAATTCCAATACAAGTCCTTAGGTGGGGGGGGGGGGGGGATTTCCAGGGAGAGACTATATAGTTCTGATTCCGACGAGCGTCCAATTCCAACTCCTCGCTTTTTAGGGGGGGGGGGGGGGGGATTTCCAGGAGAGCTAAATTATATGTTGCCCCGACGAGGACCAAATACCAACTCTCCCCGCGTTTCAGAAATGTTACGGGTTATAAAGGCATAATGCGGACGTGGGGGAAATCGATGCGCTAAGCGATCTTGGAAAGTACGCGCGCAGCGAAAATGGACTTAACATGAAGACTGTGCTAGTTCAGAGCAAAATATCTAAGTAAATCTCTTATTTTCCCATTAATTATATACAACACTCTGAATGACATAGTTGCAGTAAATATTAACAAGTTACATTGTCTAAACAACTTTCCATCCAAATTCATGTGATATATTGATAAACAATTACAGTTTAACATCTTAAAGCATCTCAATAAAATATCCGAATGTCATTCACTCGTATGCAAATTATTAACGTAAACATTGTGCGTCGGTGTATGATGACGCGCTTGAAAACAACAATCATTTAAGTTAGGCCTCTTTGTTACGTCACGACCGCGGAGCGGATCGTTACAGTACCTTTAAGGTCCAGCATGCAGAAATGACCGATCCCCTCACGATTCCTTAGTTTTAGGAACAACAGGGCATAGATGTAAACCACATAATCGCGTTATTAATTAAGCGTTGGTAGATATCGAAGAAATCAAGAAATACATGTCATTAATTATATAAAGGTAGAAGATAACCTTTAAACATTTCTTTCTGGAACTCTCGGGAAGCCATGTTTACTGTTGATTTCTTAGAAGATTACGTCACCGATGACATTGCTTGTGAACTTACAAGACATACATTTCTTTCTCTTCTCTTTGATAAAATTTCAAACAATGAGTGATTACCAAAGAGGAGCAGTATTTTATAGGTTTACCACTTACCTTCGTAGGCGTAGATCATCATTTAAAAGGCGAATTTTCTCATTTTTCTCCACTTGATTTAGGACCATGCGATTTCATATTTATGTCATAGTACATTCAAGTATAACGGTCTTTCATTCAAATTCGCGCCGGTTAGACGGCAGTAGGAATTTCAGCCTTTCGGTTTCTAGGCATGCACTTTTGAAATTTGTTCCATGTTTTTCGTCTGTGTTATGATGTTATTAAGTTGTCACTATTTTTTAAGAATCCTTCTAGGCCTATATGTTTGAACTGAACATTTTGAATGAAAAGTCGGATTCGTTAGATTGTAGCTTTCATTATACACCGTCGTCAGAGTATACATGTAACTTACCATGATGAAACAATAAACTATGATGATTAATGGAAAAAGGAGAAAATGGAAAAAGGAGAAAATGGAAAAAGAAGGCATTACGACCACTCAATGAAATCATTTGTGATAGGGTCCATGAACCACAAGAGACGGGGTTCGAGTCCCTGTCACAGAATGAAAAACCGTTAGCGAGACGTTAATACACATTTGCCACGCTAGGCCCAGGTGAAGTAAGCGGGTACCTGGCAAGAATCCATTCCTTGACATGCTAAAGCGCTATAAGGCGGCGTAACAATCTAACAATTGAACACAAGGAGTGTCTACTGTGACAGACATGAGCGCTGCACAAGAACCAACTTCTTCCTCCTCCTCTTTTTCCTCTTCTTCTTCTTTCTCTTCTTCTTCTTCTTCTTCTTCTTCTTCTTCTTCTCCTCCTTCTTCTCTTTCTTCTTCTTCTTCTTCTTCTTCTTCTTCTTCTTCTTCTTCTTCTTCTTCTTCTTCTTTTTCTTCTTCTTCTTCTCCTTCATCTTATTATCATCATCCTCCTCCTCCTCATTATTTACAGAGTTTATTCCTTCTTTCTTCCTCTCCGCACAGCATCACAAAGTCATGGTAGTAATTGGGTTCCGCCATCATCGTCCAGTTCGGCTCGGAGGACGAAACGGAGACCGTACTCAAAGCTCCAGATCATCGAACTCGAAAAAGCCTTTCAAGAAAATATGTACCTGACGAGAGAGAGGAGGACAAGGATAGCTGACTCCCTTAATCTCACCGATCGCCAGGTCAGTAACTTAACAAAGACATGATTATTTAGATACATTGATAGATAGATAGATAGATGTATGGATATATAGATGTATCGATAGAGGGTAAGTTTTGCATATGCATTTCGTTAAACAAAAGATAAACGTCAGTGGTGATAAGCTTTTTTATGTTTTTTCTCCAGGTGAAAATCTGGTTCCAGAACCGTCGGATGAAGATGAAGAAGATGACCGAAAGAGAACGGACTGAACAGGAGCAGATTGAGCGAGAGAAACAGGCTCTAGGAGCAAAGTTCTTCATGAAGACAGAATCCATCATGTGATCTGAACAGATCAGACGATGTATTTAGAACAGACAAGATCCTCATGCAGTTGGAAAAACGTAGACATTTTCCTCGCGCTGGAGATCACTATACAGCCTGTAGCCTCTAAAGTATGTATATCAGATTTGGGTCTTTGGCTCGACGTTTCGAACAGGTTGACTATCCGTCGTCGACGACGGATAGTCAACCTGTTCGAAACGTCGAGCCACTCCCGCCACTCATCCTCTCCAAGCGCTATAGTTCTCGTTAGAACTATAAGCTAAAAAAGATAACCAACAGTCTTTTTCAAGACTACACAAACAGTTCTTTTCAGGACTACACACACCCTCAAGAAAGATTACCGAGAGTCCTTTTCAGGACTCCTCATCAATCCCCCCTCTCTCTCTCTCTCTCTCTCTCTCTCTCTCTCTCTCTCTCTCACATGGTGCACCCGCAAGCCTACTGTATATTTTAACCTAATTGGAAGCTGTCTCAAGTTAGATGACCCCCCCCCCCCCCCCATCAACCAGTTGCCACAGAGCATTCGTAATCATGTCAAGTATAGATTGTTAAACAAATGCCCTCAAAACTAATCGTTTGAAAGTATGTATTTATTCATGTATTTTTGTATTCGCATAGTAAACGACACAGGAGTAAATACCAGGGGGTACACACCCCTCCCTCATTTTCAGTGAGAGAGGGGGTCACGGGAACGTCTGTATACCTCTTCTCTCAAAGGAAATAAGAAAATTATATACAAATCAACCTTTTGTCTAAAATTTGGACAAATTGAATGTTACTTATGATTTATCAGTATGAATTGTATTAGCTTACTCATTACTCTTTGATCCGAACCCAAAATAATGGTCGCAAACTATGAAACACTGAATGCAATGTAACACTATTAATGGGAACAGGCGCGGATCCAGGATTTCTTAGGGGAGGGGGCCCAACTTTTTTTTTTTTTTGCTCCCGAAAATTTGAAAATCGCGCCGGCCGAAAAGTCGCTCAGTGGGGGGGAGGGGGGGGGGGGGGGGGGGGGTACAGAGCACAATTTTTTTTTTTTTTTTTTTTTTTTTGCTCCCGAAAATTTGAAAAACGCGCCGGCAAAAAATTCGCTCAGTGGGGGGGGGGGGGGGTAGTGAGCACATTTTTTTTTTTTTTGATCCCGAAAATTTGAAAAACGCGCCGGCAAAAAAATTCGCTCAGTGGGGGGGGGGGGGGGGGGGGGGGGGGGGGGGGGGGGGGTAGTGAGCACATTTTTTTTTTTTTTTGATCCTCAAAAAAAATTCAATTTGCACCCCCCCCCCCTTGAGCGCCAGGGGGGGGGCCCAACCCCCAAAAATCGTAAAAATCACGTGCTTTTACATGATTTTTTTCTCAAGGGGGGGGGGGGGCCCGGGCCCCCGGGCCCCCCCCCCCCCCCCCCTGGATCCGCCACTGAATGGAAATATGATTAATGCATGATATGTTAACATTTTATTCTAAAAATTGCACGTCTCTATCATTATATCCATTATAAATCATTTAAATCACCTGATGTATTATTATTCATGTAAAAAGATCAACTGTCATCATGGGCTCAGGATTTTTGAAAGTTTAAACTGATTTGTGTATGTTATATATTTGTATAGTTCATGTAATACGTTGCAATAATGGGATAAAAGAGAAACAGTGTTTGACTCTATATGCCCAAATATTATACCTGAAGCCAGTGCAATATCAGAGAGTGCAATTTAAGAATATTGTCATGGAAATAATGGATGTCAAGATTTGTAAAAATATGTTTTATAAAGTCAAGATATCTGTAGATAAGTGTTGTTTGTCAGCAATAAATAACTTTTGATATGATTATAAACAAAGTGATTATCGGTTCCGAGTATGCGCCATGATGAGAGGAAAACTGCAAAGAGCTGAAGAGAACTGAATGGAGAGAAGGATACTGTTTTTTTCATGTAACTATCTAAATAGAGACAGGGTGATGGATGAAGAGGAAGAAAGAGAGAGAGAGAGAGAGGGAGAGAGAGAGAGAGAGAGAGAGAGAGAGAGAGACGAAGAGAGAGAGAGAGAGAGAGAGAGAGAGAGAGAGAGAGAGAGAGAAAATATAAAGAATAAGAGAAGAGAAAAGGGTGGAGACAAAATAATGATAAGATAAAGACAAAGAAAGACCGGGCATATTTATTGGAGACAGAAAAAAAAAGAGGCAGAATAGGAGACAGACTAATCAGTGCAGAAATGAGATAGAGAAAATGAGAGAGATAGAGATGGGGAAATTGAGAGAGAGAGAAGGAAAATGGAGATAGGAAATTAAAGAAGAGGAAAAAATACAGAGTAAATAAAGTCAAGGAAGACTGACAAATTGGGCAAAATATGAATTGACAGACGACTACCACCCTTTTAAAAATCATCATCATCACCATCATTTATTAAAGACAGCATTTTCCCTCTACCGATGGGTTACCGGTACTGACTTTTCCGCCATGACACTCCCTTCCTCCACTTCTTCTCGTCTCAAGCATCCTCTTCATTTAAACTAATCTTACTGCTTTCTCTCTTCACCATATCTTTCCATTAAATCTTTCTTTTCCTCTTATGCCATCCATTTCCAGATTCCCCGCTCTTCTCACAATTTAAGATATCACAGCACGAGTCAATTTTAATAGTGTTCTGATAAATTTATTCAATTTCTCATATGCAGTAGTAATAAAATAACAATGAAATAAAGATTGAAAATAGTTCAAAATAGTATTGTCTACCATCTTTAGGCTGCAACAATCATCACAGGCAAGTATGCTCAGAATTTTGTTTTTTTAATTTCTGTATAACATTTTATGGACTATTAGACCTGAGAATAGTTAAGGTTTAACTGCTGACAAATGTTTACAACTGAAATCCATGGTAACAGGATGATTGAATTGACAATTGTAATATTTATTACAGAAAAGAGCCCTTCGTATATGTTCATTTTCTTGGAGACAAGCCCATACTAAAGAATTATTTGTTAAATTTAATGTTCTCACTGTGTTTCAACTCAACTCTTACTACTGTTCAATATTACTTTTTAAACATAAGCAGAATATGCTCCATAAATCATTATCATCAATGCTCACTTCTAATACAACTGTTCATGACCATAATACAAGAAGCAGAAATAAGTATCATCTATGGACTGTTAATAAAAATTACTCACTATTTTCTTTTAGACATCATGCTCCTGTTATCTGGAATAATCTGCCACTTGAAATAAAATCACTTAACTCAATGAATATCTTTAAAAGAAAACTCAAATCGTACTTAATCACAAGTGTGTGAAATTTTAAATTATTGATTTTACTGTCTTGTATTGTCCTGTGGTGGGTTTGTGCGGTTATGTATTTTTTAAATAAATTATGTCATATTTTCATAATTGTTTATTCCTTTATAGTACTTTATTATCTTTTATTTTTTAAAATATTATATTGAATGTTCAATGAAACGTATTTTACCTTCATCAAGGGTGGTCGTCTCGACAAATCCACATGGTTTTTTATGGCCACCCAATTCCAATAATCTTATATTGTTATCTGATGTATCACTTTATAGTTTTATAATTTTACCTTATTTTGTATTATTGATCGACTTATACTCTTATTCTATCATGATTGTATTCTGTTTTGTATATTTTATTGGAATTGAATAAACTGAACTTGAACTTGAACTTGACACTAAATTCATCCAATTGTCAATATCACATGACAGGAACGGAATCGAAAGGTAAATCTTATATTGCAGCACAATTTAAAAACAGAAGTAATCTAGAGAAGTGTTCTAAGAGAAAAATGGTGGCCTTTGGACAATTGGGACTGCTACAAAGTTTACAAAATCGAAAAACAGTAATATTATATGAGAGAAAAAAGATGGCATGTCAGAAATCAGGATTGCCACAAAATTTCTTGTTGTTTCATGGGGATATCCTAATGTCATAGTTGGCATAAAGAGCTATTTTTCAAATCTAGTTTTACTTTACTTATCCAGCATGACATACTACGACTGCTAATTCTAAAAATTTGTGCATCTTCATTAAACATGAGGTTTACATTTACTATCAAATCAAATTTGCAAATATAAACAGTGACAAATTCCATAAACAAAATTTCAGATAACAATGTAAACGTGGATATAACCATATAATATATGTAATACAAAATAATCTTTAATTTTGCTCCTTTATATGTATGTAACATTTCTTGCTTTTGAAACACAGGTGACACTAAAGCTAAATGAATATATAGAAAGTTAATAGCTTAATTGGATGCCTCAAGTACAACTGGCATATATATTTCATCAAGATGGGTATCACAAATAAATTTCAAACTTAATTGAACATGAAATCAATTGCATTTATCATAACAAAATGAGTAGTAAAATAATTAGTAAAGTACTATTTGATAACAAATACAGTTGGAAATATACAGTATTTAACATTTTGTAAATGAATTATGCTTATGCATTGTCTTTGGAATGTACTTCTTTTAATTTGTACAGGAATGTCATTCATAGTATTTTTTTCTTCAAAGTAAATATCAGATCAGCTAACAAATATGTTCTAAATTTCTCAAATAAAATAGTACCGGACACAATGTTTCCAGTTTATGCTATGAACCTATAAGTGTTACAAGAGATATATGATGGACCAAGTCTTAATATTTATATTCAACTTTCACCAAAAAATGTATAATTTTATGTTAAAATGTTTTATGTTAAAATGATGATTCGGTTAGATCTAAGATGGATTTCGGAGTTACCAAGGCTAAACTAAGTACATGTAAACTTTTCAAAATGTCTTAAACTCCAATTATCACCAGAATCCTCAAATGTATCTTATCCCGGTGAAGTTTTAATGTATTTATGCCCTCTAATGCTCACATAACCAAATCTAGGGAATGTCATATTGTTTTCAACCCACAGCTTACAATTTGATTTGATATAATCACACAGATTTCATTAACTCCAGCATGAGTTATCTTAGACTTAGCTTTCAATTAGTTCAGAAAAGTGGTCAGGATTTCATTTTTCAAAATGTGGAACATATTTGTCTACTGCAGCTCAGGCCCTCCTTCACTCCTCGTCTTCCGAAGCTTCGACGCCCGCTTCAACGTCGGCCTTCACTGACTTTGTGCTCGCTTTCTTCTGGGGGGCGGCGTAGGTGGGTTCGGTGGTGGTGGTAGGGGTAGAGAAGCTGGTGGTAGCTACCTCAGTGGCTTTGCCGTTGGTCTGGGGGGGAGTGGGAGAGGGCGGGGCTGTTTTCTTGATGTCCGTCTCATCTTCTACACCTGATTGAAAGTAGACATTTTCGTTGTAGGTGCTGTTTCTACTGGAGGAAAATGGGGAGGAGGGTGCAGGGAGGAGGGTGAGGTGAAAGCAGGAAGAAAGGAGAAGCAAGAGAAAGAGAATGGGAGAGTGAGAGAAAGCAAGAGGTAGATAGATAGATAGATAGATAGAGAGAGGGAGAGAGAGAGAGAGAGAGAGAGAGAGAGAGAGAGAGATAGAGGAGACATAAGTGAAGGCAGAGGGACAGCAAAGAATAACGATAAATTAAAAAAAAGGAACGGATCAAAGGGATATTTCAATAAAAGAAAGATTAACAGGGAGGGAAATGGAAGGAGGTGGAGTAGAGCAAAGTGAGAGAAACAGAGAGAAATTTGATTATTAGATTTCAGATGCTTTCATTTTGATTCATAGTAAAAAAAATCATTTTCAAAATTCATTTTTTTATTTGATTTCCCTATCTTGTACAGGAACAATATTGTCCATGACGAACAGCCCTACATCATGAGGTAGGTTAGTTTATACAAACTCACATATGGAGTCACATGCACAATATATGTACATCAGAAACAAACAGATGTTATCTTCCAGAAGCTTAGTTGGCATAATGTAGGTTTTTTTTCTAAAGAATTTATCATTTAGTATTTGTGATCAATGTAGCATGGATTTCACTAAAATTTCTGGATTATTCACAGCACACAAAGCTTAACAAGTGGTGGAAGCTAAATGCAAATTATGATTTTCTAAATTAAAATCTAGAAAGCAAATTTATGATTATTTCACAAAATAAATTATGGTATATGCCATGCCACTAACTACAATTTTTATTTCTTTTTTGGTCTTTTCCCACATGATGTTTGTGAAGAAAGAAAAAAAATCATTTATTGTGATTTAACAATATTTGATAATGACAGGTTGGTTCATTGAACTTTAAGCCTTAGTATTATATTAAACTTCAATCTCTCATGACTCAACCAGTATTAGGGTATGTAACAATTTATTTTCCAATTTTGAAATATTTCTCACCTCTTTTCATTGTTTTGAGAGTCAACGGAAGTAGCAACTGTTCCGTGAAGAATGCAGATAAAAAAGAAAAAGTAAACGAAGAACAAAAATTACAAAAGAGAGAAAATGTTTTCAACACCTATATTTTGCATTAAAGTGGAGGATTTCCTTAAAGATGGTGTATCCCTTTTGGCGCCAACATCAAATTCTGTAGAACTATGCAGGAATTATGAATATGTCACGTATGTCCTATCTGTAAAATTTAAACATTAGCAGTGGGGTATTCAAATTATACAAGGAAACACGTTTAATTTGTAGACTTCATTGTCAGACACTATTGACTGACTGACTGACTGACTGACTTCTTTTTTCTTTGATAATAAAATACATAAAATGAGCTGTAAAGGGTACATGAGCATTTGTACACATCAATAACCCACTTCTTGTAATGGCTAAAATCTTTGCGCAGCACAAAATGTACAACCATACGGTACAAGGGTCTGAAAGTCAGAATAAATTTTCTATGCATAATTTTTGCAACGAACGTTCGATATAATTCCACATAAAGGCAATTTCCAGTTCTAATCTTTTCAGTGTATTTTTTAGGATTCACACAATTTTTTTTTTTCAGCCTGCAAAAGGGGACACATCATCTTTAATCTAGGCCTGCAGAAATGTCACTAAACTGTAAACTACAAACAGGATGAATGAAAGGCTATCATCATAACAACCCATGGTATGCAGCAAGTGATGGCAGCATGTAACAGTTGCAAGTCCTGCCTGTGGTGATGGTAATAAGAGTACAGTGCCTTCAAGGGTATGAATACAGTGACATGATTTTGAACCCAGGACCTCAAAGTTCAAGATCTCTGCTCTAACCACTGGGCTTCATCACCGTTAGGGTATAAAGTGTTACTACCCGCTTTTCTGGGTCTCCAAATGTAGCACACACACACAACAAAATATATTTGTATAGTTCATGATTTAAAGCATCCAATATCAGCAGTATGTAGTAGAGCATGTTGAGGTAAACTTTGTTTTCTAAGGCCGTGTTCAGATATGTTGTGGCAGAACCGTAGCATTTTTTTATGATGTTAAGTGTTCCATACGTCACAGTTCTGCATCTTATGCCAAAAAAATCAGTGAATACGCGCACTACCTTTGTTGTGAGCATTTGCTATTCATTTACACTTGCTGTGGTTTATACCGCTTCATATCTGAATCCGCTTTCAATAACAAGGTTCTGTAGTTTTAATGAAACGCTTTGAACATAACTCTCAGCAATCACAGAAGCTTTCAGCGTGAGTACAGGCATCGGATGTAGGACCCATGTGTACATGTTCAACACCACAATAAATGGGGTCCACCTGTCCAGAAAGGCAATATTTTTTCCTTAAAGATAAATTTGCATGCCTCCTAAAGGTGGTATTTACTTTATAGGTGTGAATTTAGCAATATGAAAAAGCAATTTTTTTAGGTACATGTAATGTGCTATTTCTACTGCTATAATATCACTGACGACAAGGCACTGTAATGATGATAAAATTGGGAGCAGTATTTCTGAACATGACATTATCTACAATACATGGGAAAGCTACAGGTACTTTTATTTCTGCAGGGTTCATAGTGTAATTTATAATGATGAAATGACAGCTCTCCCTCTGGAATTTTAATTAATTCATTTTAAAGTTGTTTTCAACAAAACAGTACATGTATCTTTGTAAAATACAGGTACTCTTACCAGTACTCCGAGATGCATGGGTGATTCAAGTAGACCAAATGACCATCAACCATTTAACTATTGCAATCATATCTTATAAGTCACACTTTTATGACGGCAATGGAGTATAAAGCACCGAAAAGATAGAATGCTTGGAAAAGCAATGGATTGACAACTTACCATTTGGCACCATCTGCAGGGAGTCCATGGAGGGGGTCTTCATCTTGTCATCTCTGTATCACATGAAACAAAACAAAAATAAGAGAGTCAGAATAACAATAAAGGGATTGGGTAACTTTGTCTCAGATTCTGAAACAAAATCCTGGATTTAGCTCATGGTGCAATGATAATTATAAACCTTTAGGTCAGTCAGGAACCCCATGACATTTACAAGCCGTTCGCCTGTCTGATTATCAAGATATTTATGATTAAAAATTGAAATCCAATTTTGCGTTTTCCTAAAGGTTTTCATAACAATACAGTCTATTGGGGAGAACGAGTATGGTAAAACCGGTCACTCACAGATTTTTACTTTTTTGAGACACTAAATGATCATTTTGAAGCGCAATTTGTTTAGGGCTTCAATATTACACCATATCACAGACACTGATAACACGTAGGACCATGCATCTCAGATTTAACATTGTTAAACGATGCCTTGAACTCATAATCAAATCCATAGGGTGTGTAGTTAATATAGTTGGGTGTCCCCCTCTGTAAAACCATAACTAACTGCCTAAGAGCTTTAAAAGGTCAATAAATGTGTTGATGCAACTGAAAATTTCATTGGTTTGTTCGCAGGAGTAATAGAATGGCAACTGTTCTTGGTGTGTTTACATAACAGAAACAAAGCAGAATGAAATAAGCTGCATGAATTTCAGTTTAATATGATGAAGAGACATAGTTTGTAACTTAATTAAGTCACGTAGTATTCAACTTTAGGACAGAGCAAGAACATGTTTTTTTTTCTTCTTTCTCTTAAAACAAGAGTCTAAGTTGGACCAATCAGGTTCCATTTGCAATTCATTGGTTAATGCTATCCTTCCTTTTCATAATCTGTCTCACAAGTATTGCATAGCATTTTAAATCTTATTTCAATACATTACACATACTGAACGGAGGCAAAATACATTTGAGGGCTACTGCTGGCACTATTAAAGCCCATGTACATTTTTGGTAAGGCCCCCAAAACTTTTTGTCCAATTTCTTTCATTTTAGTTGATCAATGCCAAGGTATAAATTCTGAGCTGCTGTGAAGTATTTTTTTGCTCTTTATGTGCAATATTGAACAAACAAGAGATGAAAAACAGTTTACATGTATGACCCAGCATAAAATTCTCTAATCCAATTAAGATATCTATTTTAAATTTATCAGAAATCATGGACAGAACATCAACATCTATTGACAAGTGGAACATTACAAGGACATATCCAACAAGCAGCAATTCAATAACTTTTGTAGTTACCAAGGCAGGATATTATCATCAGATTCAGATTTTATTGTTCATGTTAAAAAACACATAAATTTGGCCTCCACTGACAGAAGATAGCAATGAATAACATACTGTAAGAATACATAAATGTGCACAAAACAAATACATCTTTTAGATAAGCAAACAGTTGAATACATTCTGACAAAAGTAAGAGGAGATAGCAGAGTAAGATGAGAAAAGGAATGAAGGAAGCTGAACAAGAAAAGACAGGAATGTAGGTAAGGGGAAGAGAAAATGAAAACCGCTTGCATAACACGTTATTATGACTCCAAACATCTGCTTTACTAAAGGTTAAAGGAAAGAAGGCAGCGGCCCCCACTTGCAAACATATACAAATTCTGCAAGGCTCCACCTGCAGACCCCCTCCAGCGCAAGCACGCCCCAGCAAAATCAAAAGCCAATCAGGCAAGAAGCCTGGCAATGAGAAGCAAACACATCCCTTCTATTCTCTCTGAATTAAATTACGCGTCGGCCAGACAATTGTCCTTGAAAATCGTTCATGATGAAATTTATATAGGTCTATAGCAAAGCGTGAAATAGATATTAAACTGAGTTCCTAAATTACTGTTGCAGGCACAACATTTAAGCATTTAACAGAGACAAAACATGAGCAAACAATGATGATGATGAGCATCTATTTTTTTTGATGAAAGTCTTTATTTTTTTTACTCACTTGAGAGTATTTATCTTGTATGAATTTGACCTAAATGCAGGAAGATTTCAAACTTTGCTATTAAATAAATTTCATCTTTGCTATTTATAAATTTCATCATAAATGAATCGAAGGGGCATTTGCATTCAAGAAGTTTCAATTAATTCTATTTCTCATTCCCATATAACAAAGATAACACCAAAACCTGTTCATAATGGCCACTTAGCTGGATAGGCCAGCAGGCAAGCAATGACTACCGGTAGTATCCTGATGCCATCAAACCTGCTCAGAAAGGCCATCTATCCCTTTATATTTGTGGTCTCCCCACATGGAACTTTGGTAGGATTTTGTCGCTAGCCCTTTCAGTACTCATGAAGCTCGTATCTCTTGGACAATAAAATCCACTGTGGCCACTTATTGTAAACTTGGTGTCGCCATAAGAGCTAGAATATCTCTAATCCTATCCCTTTCTTTAGGTACCTTATGTACAGACTTTGGCAATTCTATCATGCTAAAATTCCTATGTTTTAACTCCTTTTCAACCCTTTTACTACCCCCCCCCCCCCAGCAATGTGCTATTATTAGACTAAGTAGTGATGTGAATGAAATATGGATTGGAAAATAAAACAGGATGATTCATATGAAACTAATGTACTACAGCAGGTTGGAATTGCAATACAGCCATATGGCTGATCCTGGAATTGAAAGACTATTATCTGATAAGTTAATATAAATAGTGATTGCAAATGTATCAAGATTTGAACAGGGGAGTGTTTCACAAAACTTGTCATCAGTGACAAATGTCAGTTTTTGTTATAAGCTACTGAAATCCTTGCTTCTGATTGGTTGATCAGCAGATTTGTCACTGATTTTTGTAATTTTTCATTGAAAAAAGGCTTTGTGAAACACCCCTAGGTCTATTCATTGTTGGCTAGCTCTTTTTTTTTCATGTTTAGATTATCAAGGGGTTGGTTGGTACAGGGTATATACTTACGATTTAGTGCAGTCTCTGATGAGCACGATACACAGTAGCAGGAAGCAGACTCCCAGAAGAGCAATGACGGCAATAACCCACGGCTCGTTGATGGCCGACGTGCCCTTAGGTCTCATGATGTAATCAAAGCTAGGTCCACCTTCCTCGATCGGACCCTCGTATTCCACAAGGAAGTCCTCCAGCTGCTCGCTGGTCAGAGCGGCAGTGTTGCCCATGGGGTCGTTGGGGTCACTGACCCAGAAGGTCACCTCGACACCATCGCTGACCTCCACCACGCTGGTGATGATGATATTGTCAGTGCTGATGGTCAAGTGAGATAGAAATATAATGTAGATATTGTACATTTAAAGGATGTATAATTGAAATGAAATGAAAATTACAATTACTAATACAATTCAACTTCTCTTCCTCAAGAAACCTAGTAGGCCTAGCTAACCACTTAATTTTTTCTGAATTCTGGAATCTGAACTCCACAAACTAACAATGCAAAATGTTGATTTTTATTTTTTTGAATTGTATAACATATACTTCAAGAGTAAAGAATAAATAATAGTATGTTATATTTAAAACAAAAAGACAACATGACAAAATGATTAACAAAATTGCTTCTTTACATGAGTTGGTTCAATGATAAACAGAAGTGTTTTTTACGTGAATTGGTTCCCATCGACATCAGCCAGACAGTTTTCTTGTGCAGCCATGCAGAAGACATTGAGCTGCTCTGCAACACTTGAAGCAAACATGTCATAGTCTTCGGGCGTAAGCTGAAAAACGAAAATATATTTTGAATGTCAATACCTGGATTTGAAAGGGGCGGTAGCATGCGAATTACTCGTTGTTGCCATCTACGTTTTCTGTTAGACAACTGCACGTAAACGAATGGACTTGACTAACTGAGTCAGCGCACGCTAGCGTTTGCGAAACAGACCGAAGTTCTTCTCATGTTTCAGTTCCACGTATGTTGCATGCACGTGAATACGTAGGCGTACTGCGGTCGCGTCGTCCGTAGTCATATTATACCAGATTGGTCTTGAGTCAGGCCACATGAAAGACACGAAGTCTCGTAATGCTACAGCCCCTTTAAGTTAGGCTTCAAAACCCATTTTTTTTCAAGCAAATGTGTAGTCCATGACTATTGGAGGAGTGGGCACATTTGAATGCTTGAAAAATGGTGCCATTACAAGTGCTGTGGATCATTATCATCATCATTTTGGAAGACAATTTATATATACAATAAATAGCACATCATGTATTGTCAAGGTGAACTTACATTTACCAAGGATATTTTTAATCCTTCATCCAGTGTATCAAATAAATATTATTTGTATTCATGGTATTTATAAAAAATCTGGTTTTGATGTACAAATATAAAAAATGTGACTTACTGTCTCTGAGGTTTGATCTACCAGTAGAATGGTCACACTACCTATCAGCTCTCCATCCTTCTCAACTGAAAGATAACAAAAAGAGGAATATTTGAAAACAGAACTTTTTACAATGATTTTAGAGATACATGTAGGACTAAGAACAAAGTCCTACATTTAGAACGAGGTTTTAAATAAAAATCAACCGAAGAATGTCAACATACACGGAATGTAAAATTTTCGACAATGCAGTCATTTCATACCAAACTAACATATTTGTACAGTGAACAGTCACAGGTTTTATCTGACAAACAGGAAAATTAATTCTTAAAACTTTTATTCCAGGGACTTCTTATATTGCAAGTGAACACCAAGAGGGCCATCTTTCATTTCATCATCATTATAATTAAAGCTGATTGAGAGAATGCCTTGGTATAAGAGTTCATTGACTTAATCAAGAGGTTGAGGTTTATAAGCTATGTCTGATGTGCAATGTACTTTGATGGAACATAGGGCATTTCATCAACTCATTTGTAGTAAAATGTGATCTGGCAGGATTTATTTCTTAAAGATACCGTGGACTGATAACTGCTTAAGCTAAAGTCTGTGTTGTGACTTCCTAAGCACTTTATACATGCATTGGGTTTGCTGAGCAATATCATCAGGATGGTTTGGATAATATAGAGATGAATTCCATGACACATCCCAATCTAATTAACTGTGACAGTTTCAGTGTCATGTATGACCCTGCGATCTGCAAAAGGGCATCCTTTGGCGATCGAAAAACTGACAGCTAGCTTCAGTTTTCCAGTACACATCCAAGGAACATGTCTGGGCTTTGACTCCAAAACTGTCACACAGGTAATCAAATCTGGATGTATCACTGAACTCATTTCTAAACGCAGAGAGATGTTTTTTTTTATGTTTAGAGATGTGCTTTACAACACAAGATTATTATCACCTGAGCCATCTATACACAGATTTAGGCCAACTTGGTTTCACTTGGTCACAACATGGCGTATATTCATTTGTTTTGTGCTTGCCTAACAAACCAGTAGTCGCCATATTGTGTCCAACTCGAACCGGGTTGGCCAAACTCTGTGTATAGACGGCTCTGATTACGAAGCTCTGCTGCCCTCACCTGTCTTAGACTCGTAAGAGAGTTGGAAGCCCGTAGCGGTCATTGATTCATCACTCATGAACCTCATCCAGGCCTGGTGTGACTTGGTTACCAGGGTTCCCTCAGGGAAGCTATCACCGGTCAAGGTCACGACAACGTTCTCATCAACAACAGCACCAGATCCAATGATCAGGAAATCATGCCTGTGGAAAGATTTCAGAAATGTAATCCAAAATTTGATGGAATTAAAGTACTAATCGTTCATTTGGTCATTTGTTTTTCGTTGGTGTGAATTGAGATCAAATGAATTTTTAAAAAGTAAAAAAGAAAATTGTCACAAAAACTTTTTTTTTGTGCTATCAGAGTTTAGTTTACCTCTTATTATAACTTGTCAAGTTGTAAGAGGGAAATAATGCCGATAATGATGAAATAGCAAAGAATTTAGGAGTATCATGGGTACCACCAATTCAATGGAAATTTGTATAAAAAAAGATCCCCCGTCAGTACTAAAAGGTGGCTCTTTTTTTTGGAAGAGCCCCCGTTGACAAAAAATTAATTTGAGCCCTGGACCCATTCAAAGGACATGAAGACTCATTTCTTAATTCCACAAAAATCTACATTCTAATTAACATGAATAATGAATCCCTACAAGTTTGGGCTTGCCAGGTAATTGGTCGATCATTGTGGTAGAGTCCTTCATGTACATGCAAGGTAGAAATATATGCTCCATTTAAAGGACATATGTAGACTCATTTCTGAATTCCACAAGAATCTACATTCCAATTAAAGGTAAAGACCAGTTATGGTCATGCGATTGCATTGTGAAAGAAACGTTGTGGATTCGATCAGAAAAGGTTGATCATCTAGCATCTAGCATCTGCAAGGTTCTGGAATCATCAAAATGATAAGAAATTTGGCCCATTCTTTGTAAAGTTATAAGCACTATACACAGAAAGATGTATATGGGAATACCCTACATGTATATCTCTCACAGACCTTGAGAGAAACAAATTTACCAAATATATGAATTAGTAGGTAGTTTCCTGGCAAATTTTTTATCATCATGTATTAGTCAAAACATATTCTTTCACATGATTGGTAATGAGAGCTTCCATTTGATTTTTTGAAATTGGGGCGTTTCCAATACTGGTCTTTACCTTTAACATGAATAATGAATCCCTACAAGTTTGGGCTTGCCAGGTAATTGGTCGATCATTGTGGTAGAGTCATTCATGTACATGTAAGGTAGAAATACATGTATAGGCCCCATTTAAAGGACATATGTAGACTCATTTCTCAATTCCACAAGAATCTACATTCCAATTAACATGAATAATGAATCCCTACAAATCAGGGTTTTCCGGTTAATAGGCAGATCATGGTGAAGCCATTCAACTAACCCTTGTTCGAGGTCCAAGTTCTCTAAGCTAATCTCCACCACCATGGTGGTGTCTGGGAGCATGATGGTATATACGCAATCCTGGTTGTTGGAGTAGAGGTTAGGGTAGTTGGGCGAGATGACAGAACCAGACTCCTCAAGGAATTCAGTGATGCCGCACTCTCCGCCTGTATCAAAGAAAGGCAGGGAAAGGGTTAAGCTTGAGTTACATTGTAGCTTGGTGATGTAACATTTTCTCCTGCATCATTTGCTTCGCTCTTTCATAACAAATAATAGGGGCTAGGATTAGAGCTGCAATTGGGTTTTAGGTAAGATTTATGTCTGGGTCCAGGGTTACATTATGATCTGACTTTTGCTCCAGGCTTTCATTTTGTCAAAGATATAAGTTTAGGGATAGGATTGCGAATGATTTTTTATGATATATGAGCCTATCATGATGATTATGTCAAGACATTAAAGGTAATACAAAGTTTTGGGAAATTTTGAAAATTGGGTGGATAGTGATTTTTTACCATTTTGATATATTTGGATGCCCCTGTGGATGTATTATAAGCACTAGAAAAATTAGCCCCTAAAACACTTCTGCTTTCGAGAAAAATTGAATATTAAAATTACCGGTGCTCCTGGTAAATTTTGATAAATTACAAATAGCGCCTACGGCCGTACAATGTTAGCTGCGACCATGAAAATCTCAGAGTATGTAGTTGTGATATATAATTTCCAAACGGGAATAGCGTATCGGTCGATTTTAGTCAAGAAACATTGTTTTGTAGCTTAATTAATATCTTGACCTTGAGAGGGAGCTATACAACATAAAGAGTTTATTATTTACAATTTCAAAACTTTAGACTCGTTTTCAACCGCGACAACGATCACTTAATATTGTAGGATCGCATTTGCTTCCAATATGTTTATTTGAACCAAATTGATGACCCCATACAAAACTTTGTATTACCTTTAAAGTATAAGAATCATGACAATGTTAACAGTATGGTGTTATGTGCCTGTAGTATCTGACTCCTCTTTTCAATGTACTATGTGTACAAGAAAGTTGTAAATGATGGTTGATTCAACCCATTTGGTGCTACCAAAACTGTCATAGATTTACCTTCCAAGACTTAGATTTTCATTATTTCATGATTATTGGATAATATATCTTCCAAGGGGAATACACTTCTTTACAATGATGGTACCTGTTTCAGATTAAAAAGAAAAAAGCACACTTAGCAATTCTCGGTCCCCAAAAATTGGCATTCAAGTGGTTCAGCGATAAAGTTAGAATAAAATCCTTGGTATCAACCATCTTGGATATGAAATGTATGATTGGAGGGGTACTTTACATCAGAAAGAAGTACTTACTTGCAGGAGTATCGATGCGAGCCACTGTTCCGACTGGTGAGAGGATGTCGGATGTTGTGATAGCAGCAATATCAAAGGTATAGACTGTATTGGCCCTTAGATTCTTGACCAAGTACGAGTCCGTCTCTCCTCCGACCACGTCCAGACTATATGCCTCGTCGTCCGGTGAAACGAGTACGTAGAGGCGGTAACCTGTGACCTCACAGTTAGCGTCTGAGGGACTCCACTGGAGCTCGATGGTGTTAGGATCGATGGCTTCTCCGCGGAGACGGGTTGGGTTCTGATCGCGGGAACTCCAATCTTTGGGCAAAGAGTTTTAAAGGAAATCAAATTTTATTTAGAGAATCTTGACGCAACGCAGACAAATTTCTTCAACAGTAATTCTATATCAAAATTTTGTCTGAAAAGTTCTGTTTGGATATGTGTTCTTTAAAATGATTGGTAAATTTGGAGATGGCTAAAGATTTAATAACAAATGGTAATGAGACTACTTGCGGCCCCCAGAGGAAACAAGAGGGGACCGCAGGGCAGGTGATGATGATGACGATATTGATGATGGTGGTGGTGGTAATGATGATGATGGTGGTGGTGGTAATGATGATGATGATGGCATTGATGATGATGATGATGATGATGATGGTAATGATGGTGAAGATGGTGATGATGATGGTGGTGGTGGTGGTGGTGGTGGTGGTGGTGGTGGTGGTGGTTGTGGTGGTGGTGGTGGTGGTGGTGGTGGTGATGATGATGATGATGATGGTGGTGGTGGTGGTGGTAATGATGATGATAATGGCATTGATGATGATGATGATGACATTACTATAACTATCCACAAGTCTATTGAACCTTTTTAATTGGAACTTAATGTTCTAAAATATAGATCAATAAAAATAATAATTATGAATTTAAATGGGGATTCTTCAATAATAAATGAAGCCTGGAGTTGCTCTGGTTGAATGTTTTATTTCATATTAAAGAAGGTTGAATTGAGATTTATGTCAAAGGGAATGAATGCCCTGAGTACAGGCATCTAAAAAAGGAAACTGAACAAAGATTTTGTTTTAAGAACATTCAGCTGATTGAATCATTGTAATAAACATGCATTTCAAACACAAACACACGTTGACACCTCACCTTTAGGAGTGACCTCACAGATGTACTGGCCGGTACGTTCACACTCCCAGTCGTTCCATGTTCCAGCGTTGAGCATCTGACCGCAGTCCTGGGTACCTGTGAGGTCGTTGGGCTGACCCACGGCCCAGTTGGTCCTGGCCCAGAGAGCTGGAGCTGTACAGTCCACCCACTTCCAATCTCCCTCGGTTCCCTTATCGTAGAAACCTGTGAGTTAAAGAAATAAGAGAAGTGTTATTATTGATATAAGTGCAATTGAATATTTTGGTTCTACAACACATGATCTGGTGACAATTACTCTGCAGATGAAACATGACACCAAACAGTCTTTAAATAGCTTGAATGCTGGACCAATCACTATACCTAACCCTTCACCTAACCAAAAACTCAATTACAGTCTTAGCCCTCTTGCCTCACCAAATGTTGGATAATCAATTTATCATGTGTATATCAGGTATTCAACCTAATGGCTTAACCCTTACTGTACTGGGCTATTTCGAGCACTCTCTGACTGGGGGGGGGCCTGGGAGGCCCCCCCCTATGATCTCGGCCGTCGAATGTCCGATGAACGCGAAAATTTGCATGTTTGTAGATATTTACGTAAGGAACAAGATGGTATAATTAGTTTTTTCCTAATATGCAAATTTTTGTCGTTATAGCCTAATTAATTATGCAAAATGCTAATTTTATGCATTTTACAGAAAACTCTACATATTTGTCCGTAGACTTGTGAAGAATCTTGAAAATGTATTGAATAAATGTTTCCTTCATCTCAAATTCATGAGGTTTCATTATTTTTATGATATTTGAAAATGCATAGGTTAATTTGCATAAATTATGAATATGCAAATTACGCATTCATTAATTTAAAATCTGGAAATATACAGGGAACTAGAATCATTACAAAAATTGTCAGACTCCACTTTTGTAATGTTGAAACTCATTATTCATATGAAACTTCTTTTCTAACACAAAATAGTTATTTGATATAATTAATAATGATAATTTATGCAAATTTGATGCGATTTTCAACTATTTATTTTCTTATGTATTTCATTGTTTTTTTTTTTCTTATTATATCTATTGTTTTATTTCTAATGTATTCTTTTGTTCTGAAATACATCAAATTACTTTGAGAAACATATAAAAGCAATTTGATATCAATTCATGTCTTCACATTTCTGCTTGTACATGAATATATGCAATTATAGCACTTTTTTGATGACATGCGCGTACTAATTGTTATGTAACACCTTACAGGTATATCCGATTTCGACGAAAATGGTATCAAAATGTGCGTAAGACTTGAGGGAAAAAAGTCATGAAACGACAATTCGAAATTCTGAGCGGTTGCGGCGCGATCTCCGAAAATGTCGAGGGGGGGGCCTCCCAGGCCCCCCCCCCAGTACAGTAAGGGTTAAACACCCCCCCCCCCTACAAAAACAAAAAATTTAAAAATCCACACATTTCTTGACTGTAGAACCCGATATATCACATCAATTCAGTAGAAATAAAATAAATAATCAAATAAAATCAAAACATTAAATTACAACAAAAAAAAATTAATTTATAACAACTGAAATAACAGCATACATGTACTGTGATTCTGTGAATTTCTACCTATCCTAAAATCAAAGGAATTAACATGAAAGTAAATAATATTATCAACAATCAATAAATTACTTGTCCATATTCTTTCAGCGATCAAGCAATTACTTTTAATTAACATTTTTAGTTAAATACATGTATCAACATTAAATTTCACGAAAAAACAAAGAAAATACATGTACTTCTGTGAGAATTCCTACCTATCCAATAATCTCCCTCCACCAGAAGATTACGCAGAAAGTTGAATTCCTCTTCGGTTTCCATGACGACCAGGTCTCCATCTGGGATGGACGCGCAATCATCTCGAGCCTCATCCCAAGTCACCAGGTCCGTGACTATCTTGTAACAGCCATAGTTATAACCTACAACCCATCCTGGCTCACACAGATCTGATCCAAAAATGAACAACATTGTATTGTATGTCCTTTATTCTTTGATATCATTGGTACTTGTTCTTATCCATTTGAAGTCTGACCAGCAGATAATATCCTTCTCTCTCTCCTCTCCACTTTGCTAAAACTGTTTGCATGTATTATCTGATTGTTATACTCACTGTATGTTTTCTGATTGGTCAAATAAATAATAACAATAATCATAATAATAACAATGTTGATTTTTCTTTCAATAATGTCTCCTAGCTTTCAGTATTTAAATCTGTGCATTATGCATGTAAAGACAAAACTTAAATTGGTAATTATGGATAATAAAAAAAGGCATGGCATTGAATTAAACTGATTTGTATTCATAAGAATATTTACTTAAGTATTGGTCTGAATTAGCTTTGAATTACTAGCAAAATATCCTTATTACTTCATATTTGGGTTCAAAATATCAGGATACAACTCTTTTCAAAGCAAATTCTTATGAAATATTCTTGTATCATTCTAATACATGTAATTCAGATCCTGCACATACCATTCATAATGTAAGAATTACCAGTACTTTTTTTGCTCAAGGCAGTATGAAATCATCAAAAGTCGAAATGGAGATGTGACTTCTCTATAATAGTTATAGGATGCACAAATTCAGAAAACATGTTCACACATGCATGTCAGCATTCCAAATAAAAACTGCTATATTTTCTTGAAGTACAAAACCAGAGGAGTGTTTCACAAAATTCCTAAGCTAAACTTAACGCTAAGTTAGACTTAAAAATTATGGAGAGCCACTTGCAGCCATGAATATTCAAAAGCAAAAATTCTAGTATTTTAGACTTTTTATAAATTCCACATCAAGAACATGAAATCTCCTTGACAAAAGAAAATATGATTGATTTGAATCAACATTTTATGCCTTTTAAAATAACTTTAAAAATATATTTCCATATACATGCTAACGGCTTTCCATAATTGTTAAGTCAAACTTAGAATCTTTGTGAAACACCCCCCAGATTCACAATTTGGATATTACCATCCATGGATGGAGTCTCTACAATGGTTTCCTCAGCAGCCAGAACAGGTCCAGAAGCCAGCACGGAAGAGATGGAGAAGTTATACGCAAACCCATCCTGGAGTTCTCCGAGGGTCACTGTGGATGCATCAGCTCCTGGAACATCTACAGTGGTAGGGATGACCTCTTGAGGGGCTAGGTAGGTGATGCGGTAGGCCGTGACGTCACAGCTGAAGCGAACAGATGGGGTCCAAGATAGGGTGATGGTGTTGGGGTCGTCCGCTTCGCCACGGAAACGACTTGGGTTGGCTTGTGATGGGACGTAGCCTTGAAGGGTTTAAAGAATTTTAAAAATATAAATATATTATTCTTAAAGAAATGTAACTGTACAGAAGGAGTCCATGAAAGCATGATGGGTGAAACCATTGGAACCAGCTACCTACGCATGTGCAGACGGCCTCATCTGTTGACCAGTTCAAGAAACTACTCACGTCACATCTATTGTGCCAGAAATTACTTTATCACCAGCCTAAATATACTTGACTGATCTCTGAGAAGTGTCTAACTTTTGTTTTTAAGTTGCCCAAACATTGTGGAGCCTGTGTGCAGCGCTTTGTAACTGCAAGGAAAAGGCGCTATATCAAATATCTTTTGGATTGGATGAAGGGTCGACCGCTTCTCCACAGAACAGACTTGGGTTAGCTTGCAATGGCAGGTAGCCTTGAAGGCTAAAAGGATTTGAGAAATATGCATGTGATATATTGTGTCTACCGGTATAAAAGCAAAATGAATAATGTTAACTTGGTATTGCCTGTCTTCCTCCATAGAGATAAGGATAGAAGGTACTTGAAAACCTATGGCAGTGACTTATCGACATTTTTCCACTGATGCACAATTTTAGCTATTATGTAGCAATGTTGTTTGTTCTTTCATTATTATAAGAACAAAAGCATGCATTCTTTCATGCTACAAGCCAATTGAAATCAACTGAATTTTATAACAGAAAGCTCCTAATTGTTTAAAACTTTGACTAGAATTTTAATGAGCTCTAACTCTCTTGACAAAAGAATCCCTGGACATTAATTAAAAAGGGAAAGTTCTTGGACTTACTCTTAGGCCAGATCTCACAGATGTACATCATGGTGCGGGTACACTCCCAGTCGTTATATTCCCCAAAGTTGGTGACTTGCCCGCAGTCCTGCAGACCGTTGAGATCGTTAGGCTGTCCAGGGGCCCAGTTAGAGTAGGCAAACTCGGTATCGGCTCCACAGTCCACCCAGCTCCACTCACCCTCTCTGGCTCGGTCATAGTAACCTTCACAAATTTAGGAATAAAGATATTACAATATACCATAATTACTTACAAGGTCTGAGTGTCAGATAAAGTCTTTTCCTTTATCGATCATACTAATATAGACTGTACATTCAATTGCTATGTAATCAGACGGATGTTCCTGTCGTGGTCTAGTGGATAGGTCACCGGACTGTGGATCACATAGTTCCCTGTTCAAGTCTTGCCGCGGCACTAATCATTCCTTTGGCAACACATTAATCTTTAATTGCCACACGTTGACCCAGGGGAGGTAAATTAGTACCAGGTAGGAAGAAATGAGCATGATACTTAAAACTTGAGAAGATGTATGTGAAAAGAAATAGAGTAAAGAGTCCAAAGAATAAATTATATATTCAAATTTAGAGGAAAATGTGACAGCTCATGAACTTTATTGCATTTTAAAACATCAGAGCAATGATTCCACTCACCAATCCAGAAGTCGTTTCCAAGAGTCGCGTTCAGCAGGTACTGGTTCTCTGCAGCTGTTTCTATGACAACCAGATCACCACCATCGACAGACATACAATCATCACGAGCCTCGTCCCATGTGACAAGTGACTTGACAACCTTGTAGCAGTGCTCGCCATAGCCAAGGAACCAACCCTCAGGACATGGATCTATTAGAAAATTTGAGATAAAAACATGGAGTAACTAGGGCTTACATACTGTCGTGAGGGAGGCATGATGGCTCAGTGGGAAAGTAGTGGTCTGGTGATTTTTTGATTTTTTATTTTGTAATGATATATGTATATACATGTATATATATTCATTTTATATATTCATTTATTCATTCATTTATTTATTTATATTTTTATTTTATTTATTTATTTTTGTTGTTGTTGTTGTTGTTTTTTTTTTTTATATATCTTTTTAATTATTATTATTATTATTATTATTATTTTTTTTTTGGGGGGGGGGGGGCAGATTCAAAACTGAGTCAATGAACCAGTGCCCTTTGGTGAGGCAACCAATTAATTGTGCATCTTGTTTTATAATGCTGCAAAACATAATTACCATTTATGTTCCTTAATATTAATACTAATAATATTGAAATACACAGCACTTAAAGGGCACCATTGATTCTGAGGCACATACAGGGGTTTATCTACAGGAATGATTTAGAAATTGCCTATTGAGGGCCAGAAGGACGTTAATTGGGTGCAAAATGATATGAGTTAAAGCCTTCCTGCTTCTAACCAGACAATACAATAGTGAATGAGAGGGGGGAGGGGGATGGAGAAAAGATGAAAAATATACTTTACAATTAATTGCCCCCAAAATAGACTCATAACCGAGTTCGGTGTGAAAACTTACTTGCAGGTGGCAGTGTGGTTGCCCTTGTTGTTTGGGTTGTATTCCTTGGTCCCATGTAGGTGTTTGCACGTAGGGTGAAGGTGTAAGCGGTCTCTGGCATAAGATCAGTAATCAGCTGGCTATTAGAGTCAGCTCCTGGCACCTCAACAATCTGCATACCTCTGTTCATGTAGGTAATTCTGTTTTGGAGTAAAGGATTCATATACTTTAATCAACGGATTCAGATAATAATGAATGATTCACATATTTTACAGAAAAATACATAATTTTAGACTTACAGAAGGCATAAAAGAAATAAGAATGATAGTTTTATCTCCTTCTGTGGTATTTCATATGTTTTCAGGCACTCTTCAGCTGGTCAATATCATTCGCTCTTCATGCATTATTCAAATTCATAGACTGTATTTGGGTCATCCGGTATTCTGACTGGATGGCACAAATAAAAATTCGTTAAAAAAAAATGACGATGACAACAACAACATCTTGATATTTCCGACAGTGCAGGGTTATGCTCATACAATAATTAAAAGAATTGTATTCATTGAATGAATTATCTAATCCACACTACCGACTAACAAGAAAATTATTCAAAAATATTGATCCTGGCCATGACACTGTACTCACGTATATCCAACGATGTCACAGTTGTAGTCTGACGGCATCCATCGAAGTTGAAGTGAATTCTCGGTGACTGCAGCGCTTATGAATAGAGACGGATCAACATCATCGGAAGAGAAATCTGTAGTTCAAAGGGATAGAGCAGAATGTCATCAGAACAATGATATTCAATGCAAAATGAAGAAAATACAAAGAAAGGTTTATCCAAGATGGATCTTGCTTTGTTACCATGGGAACCAGTGGACCATTATCAAAATACTTTTAGTCACTGTAGCTGAAGATACAGGTTAGATACAAGGTGGTGAAATTAAATCATTGACAATTCTGAGTTTTCACAAGACTCCAAACTTTTAACAAGTTCAAGTTCAAATTCAAGTTCAAGTTTTATTTCCACATGTGGTTCATAAAAAACAAGTATACATACATGTTCAGACATATAAAAAATACACAATTACAAACAATAATATTAAGAGAAACAAATAGTGAACAAAATCTAAAGTCCATAAACAAAGAACAACTAAATACATGTAGATATAAAAACCATGTGGGGGGACCAACAAAGGCCAGGGGCCTGTCAAGGCTGTCAAGGCTAATTCCCAGAAACGCCAGAAATCATTTGATTTTTTAACTTTTTCATATTCTATTCATTGCTATAATCTTACAACTAAACAACTTAAAAATTGATCACTTGCACCATGCATTCATGCATTCTTGAATTTGAAGTTGTGTATTTTTTTCAAAATAATGATATTGCAGTTCATTTAAAAGGAAAATGACTATTTAGTCTACAACAGAATATGACAGAAGCAATTATGAAAATATATATATAAAAATGAGCAAGTAGAATGAATGGGAGAGGAAGATACAGATAAAGAGAGAGACCAATTGAGAGAGAGAGAGAGAGAGAGAGAGAGAGATGGAGAAAAAGACAGCGAGATAGAGAGAAAGATGGAAAAAAGGACAGCAAGGTAGAGAGAGAGAGAGAGAAAGATTGCAAGGTAGAAAGAGAGAGAGAGAGACAGGGCAAGAAAGAGAGAAAGAAGTCAAGCGTTACTATTGACTTTACCTTTCACTACGATCTCACAAACGTAAGGCAGAGCCCTCTCGCATGCCCTATCATTGAACTTGGCATTGTCCTGGAGTTGACCACAGTTCTCGCTGCCGTCAACGTCCGATGGCTGACCTATGTCCCACTGGGCTTGACCCCAGGTCGAGAGGTCAGAACAGTCTACCCAGCGATAGGATCCATCCTGTGCCCTGTCGTACAGACCTAAAACACAAAAGATACGCCACGGGCTATTCAATTCATTCAAGTTTAAATAAATATAAGTGTAGATCATGGAAAGCAACTCAATAAAATGCTGAAGAGAAGACCAAAAAAACATATTTTTTCATCTAGAGTAGATATAGATACACGCATATACATATCTAAAAGCTGATACATATTTTAACGAAATGCATATTATACATTCCATCACATATAGGTTTTTTCATATTGTATATGGGTAGGACCACAAACTTTAAAAAAATCAACAACAACAACAAAACAAAACAAAAAAAACAAATTGATTCTGTATCACTTCATCCAAGTTATTGCATAACAAAATAAAACAAACATCTTTTGCTTTCTCACCTCTGTCATTCAAAATTGATATACACAAGCTCCATATAATCCCAAGGTGTACAATACCAATCCTCTGCTACCCCTAAAAACATACAGGAAGAAGAAACCATCTAGGGAAACATTTCAAAATGATTTTGTACTCACCGACCCACCAATCGTAGCCGCCGAATCCTTTCTCAATGAAGAAGTTCATCTCATCCTGAGTATCTACAACAGCCAGATCTCCATTGGGCGTGCTCATGCAGTCCATACGAGCCTCGTCCCAGTCCTTCGAGTCAGTTACGAAGCGGTAACAGCCGTAGTTGTAGCCAATTTCGTAACCTTCGGGGCAGATGGCTGATGAAGACGGATGACAAAGGTTAGCGGAGAAGATGCAGAAAGTTGATATTAACAATATTGTTTTAATAAGTAGACAATTTTCAAGGACGTAAATGTAGTTGTGATTATATTATATTTGAGGTTCTTGATAAGCAGTCATTGACAGGATGAATTGTGTCCAAGGTGCAGCAGAAAATGCATGTGTAAATCAAATTTCAAAGGGAGCAGCAGTAGTTTTTATAAACATTTATTACATCTACATATTGTATCATAATGATATTCATTCACTGCAATAACCCACTACCACATTTGAAAACAATATATCATTATGTTATTTCCTTTATTCGTATTATGCTGGTTTTATTTCTATTTATATCTAATATAATTTTGTGGGATATGTTTCTACAAAGTGTTGCATGTCTTGGGTGAATCTAAGTTCTACCATGAATAAACAAATGCAATTACAGCCAACTCACTGGATTCATTGAATGTTTGGATCGTAGTCATAAATCTGCTCTCCAATACACCCTGTGCCGTGTAAGGAGCAAGAGACACAACATACAGAAAGTCAGGTTTCAGACCAGTGATCTCGCCTCGTACGGAGATCGACCCAACGACGTCGACGATGATGTCGTCGTTGATGCCGCCATCTGAAGCGATGAGGTAGTAGCCGAGGAGGTTGCAGCTGGATAGGGCTGGCACCCATATGGCAGAGGCAGTCAGGGCTGAGGTAGGTTGGACCATGAACTGAGATGGGTATTGATCCTCCTCGGTGAAACCTGGTATGAACGTAGACATATGTATAAATTGTATTGTTGTCGAATTGAATGGAAGAAAATATATGTTCATTTGAATTGAATTGAATATGTCAGTTAGCCTGTTTTACCGAGTTCTATCATTCTAGTAGATAATGCATTTGGTTTGTTTTCTCAATATGTACCAATGGATTGAAAACTCTGCTTAACCATTTTGGAAACTTTCATTTCTCTCTCTCTCTCTCTCATTCTCTCTCCCTCTCTCTCTTTCTCTCTCTCTCTATCTCTCTCTCTCTCTCTCTATCTCTCCATCTCGCTTCCTGCATATCCCTTCCTAGTCTTTGCGGTTGACTTCTCTTCTATTCACTACAGTACAGTTTGCAAACAAAATTTAATCAAAGTTTGTACAAATTTCTATTCTTTTGAAAACATTACCATATTTACTAGCTATAGTATCTGAGCAATAACAGATATGTTCTTAGAAGCTGCTTGTAAGTATCGGCTTGCATGGTGATGTAGATATACAGTAGGCTTGCGGATGCACCATGTGAGAGAGAGGGAGGATTGAGGAGTCCTGAAATATGTTGTTCTATGGAAAATCCTATCTTACCCTTAGCCTGGACCTTACAGATGAAAGGTCTAGTGTTGTCGCACGAGACATCGTCCCATTCCCCTGCGGTGGTCAGCTCAACGCAGTCATCGTTACCAAGGAGATCTGAGGGCGCGCCTGGAGCCCAGTTGGCAGCCTGCCAATTGGTCGGGGCCTGGCAGTCCACCCAACGGAAGAGTCTCTCAGTTCCGAGATCGTTGAAACCTATAGACCACAAGAGAGAAAAATATTAATTTTTGATATTCACATTCATCTGTGACAATGAAATAAAAATAATTGGACTGAATGCCTTTCATTATACATTTTAAAGGTTATACAAAGTTTTGGGAAATTTAGAAAATTGGCTGGAAAGTGATTCTTTGGATGCCCATGTGGATGTATTATAAGCACTAGAAAGTTTAGCCCCTAAAACACTTCAGCTTTCGAGAAAAATTGAATATAAAAATTTACTGGTGCTCCCGGTAAATTTTGATAAATTTCAAGTAGCACCTACAGCCGTAAAATGGTAGCTGCGGCCATGAAAATCTCAGAATATAAAGTTGTGATATACAATTTCCAAACGGAAATAGCTAATTGGTTGAATTTAGTCAAGAACTATTGTTTTATAGATTAATTAATATCTTGACCTTGAGAGGGAGCTATACAACTTGAAGAGTTTATTATTTACAATTTCATAACTTTAGACTCGATTTCAACCGCGACAACGATCACTCAATATTGTAGGATCACATATGCTTCCAATAGGTTCATTTGAATCAAATTCATCACCCCATACCAAAACTTTGTATTACCTTTAAGGGCTTTTATAGATTGTAACAATTATTCCAGGTGCTCAGAATTTAACAAGTGATAAACTATATAACAACAAAAATGGAAACCTTTTCTTTTACAAGATTTTTTCAATTTTCGTACTTGTATCATATACAGTTCCAAGATATAGTCCTGCAGACTAAACCGATGTCCTTACTCAGATGAGCATGTACAGTTTTTACTCTGTACCAGCTGTGGTTGATCATTGGCACAAACAGGGGTTTGCCACAGTTGACTCATGTCACACCTCAGTGTACATACATACATACTTTTAACAATGTGGTAGTCTTGGGTATTGTTCAATGGTGATTAAACATATTTAAAAAGAGTTAAAGAAGTCACAATGAAGGGAGAAAAGTAATTCCCACTTTCAATCTAACATCTGGGGAGTATTTCACAAAGAATAAGATGACCTTTAAGTAGGACTTAACTATGGCAGGCTGTTCATGCCACTGTTTGCTCTCACCATTTACTGGCATTGGTCTCTCAAAGGATGTACAAATCATGGTCACAAATCTACAGGATTTACATTTTTTGATAATTCATTTATAGTTAAGTCCAACTTAAAGTCGACCTTAGTCTTAATTGTGAAACACCCCCCCCCCCCCAGGTCATGACAAGGAAACTCTTACCAATCCAGTATGCCACAGGCAAACGAGTGTTGTTGACAAAGTCAAGTTCAGCTAATGTGTCGATGACGGCGAGGTCAGCATCGGGGTCATCAGCCTGGCAATTGAGCCGAGCGTCGTACCATGTTTGTGGGTTCACTCCAAACCTCCAGCAGGTATAGTCAGGTCCCTGGTCATAACCAGATGGACAATTGGTCGCTGTGGAAAATCAGAGGGATAAAACTCATTATAATAATAATAATAATAATAATGATAATGTTAATGATATTTATGTTTGAGATTCCTAGAAAAACCATCTTGATTATCATTTCACCATGTGAAAAATATGTATATCTTTTATCTCATTTACGTTACATAGGGCCTCCGAGGACAACAGAAGTTTAAATAGTGATGAGGCTACCCGGTTTAAAGAATACTGAATAAATAAATATATAATGATAATACACTGTACAATAAAACCATGTGGCTCCTTTATTAATGATTTTAAAATGGAATAAAAGAAACTCATCCGTCAATGGGTTAATATTGCTCTTCCTGAGCACCTAGTAGTCATATAAACAAACTTGGCTTTGAGCAAGCTACTGTAAATGTATCATTATAAGGCACTCAAGCATGTACCCAATTCTTCCTACCAGACACTGAACCCATTTATTTCATCCGGGTGGAGAGTGGCAAATGTAGATTAATGTCTAAGCTTGTTCCAACAAGTCCATTAACCCCATCGTCCTTTAAGGTGTCTACATTAGATATGAAGTATACAGTTAAACCTGTATATAAAGACCACCCAAGGGAAATATGAAAAATGGTCTTTATAGGCAGGTGGTCTTGATGTACAGGTTCCCTTAGTTCAAGTATCAATGAGAAACCATACTCAAGGGAAACAAAAAATGTGGTCTTTAAAGACAGGTGGTCTTTCTATACAGGTGGTCGCCAAGGCAGGCTTGACTACTTACTGCCTGCTGGTAGGGTGGTTTCCGTCATTGGTGGCAAGGATGCGAGAGCGCCAAAACTGAATGTCTCTGTTTTCAAGGTGATGACGTAGGCCATGTTTGGAGCGAGCCCGGTCAGGTCGAAAGAGCTTGAGGTTGATCCCTCAATAGTGGTTCCCTTAATAATCAAGAAACATTTTATTATTATAACAAGAAAAAAAAAATACCAACAACAATAACATTATTTTTGGCAAGCACATAATGTATTCACAAGTCCCTTTTGTTATGTTTACTGAGTTTCAAGTTCATATTTTGAATAAAGAATATCATCAAGGAACCCTTACATATACAGAGCAAAATAATTTTATGTGATCAGTACCCTTTTTTTATAGCAGAGTTTTCTTATAAAGGTCTATTAATCAACTTGTCGTCCTCAAATCGGCACCAACTTATTACAATTTTCAACTCCTACCTAATTCATATAAATAGAGATGTATATTAAGTGAACCAATGAGAATAACAATTAATGAATTTAACAAAAGCTTACCAATTTTTATATGAAAACGTTGATCATAAATTTCACACTGTGTTACTACCGGTAGTTTAAATAGATTAGAGCTTAAGTACAATTAAATCACACTTATTTATGAACAGCCCTATGTGCTGTAGTATAAAGTGACTAAAAATTTGGAGTGATCTTTGATCTTTCTGCTCAAACATGATGTATAGGTATGTGCAATTTTTAACATTCTGAACCAAATGATAATTTAAAGAACCAAAGTGCTCACCTGTCCTAAGCCATCAGCCGGTGTGAATTCAATGGTGTAACCTGTGACATCACAACGATAAGAGCTTGGAGTCCAACTGACACGTATGATGTCGGAGCTCAGAGCCTCCGTCATCAGCCCACTAGGGTTGTACGCATCCGGAATGATGTCTGGAACTACAAAAAAAATGATAGCGAAGGACCTTATAGGGGTGTATTCAGTAGAGGTGGTACATGTTACTACAACTGGATTAACTAATTATTGCACTTTAGGATTAATGGTAGAATAATAAATTATAAGCATAAAATCATGCTAGCTACTACACATTCCACATTGCCAGAACAACGGTTTAATTTAACAATTGTTTGACATTAATGAAAGAAAAACGTTTCTAAAGATTTTTGGAAAAGCCCACACCAGGGTGTTACATGTATTATGGTATAGCATTGTATATCCAGCTGTTATTGTATTACAAGTATATAACAACAGGCAAGAAGATGTTCATACAAAATGGCCTTTTCAACACATATATTTTTGTATTATTGTCTTTGACTGTTTGACTGTTTCCATTACATATATGCAATTTTACCTGGGATTGTTTCACAGATGTACTTCTTGGCTACATCACATCTATCGTCGTAGTAATATCCATCAGCGCCTAGGATGTAGACACAGTCTTCCAGGTTGCCAGGCACTCGACTAGGTTGATCGTCAGCCCAGTTGTAGATGGCCCATCCCGAGTTTGAAGTGTCACATTCCACGTAAGTGAATACGCCCTCTTGACCTCCGTCGTAGTAACCTGTACAGGTATCGTTTAACAATATTAAATCTGAGATGCAAGGCCCTAGGTGTTATCAGTGTCTGTGATATGCTGTAATATCAACGCCCTAAAAAATTGAGCTTCAAAATGATAATTTTCCCCAAAAGACTGTAGTGTTTTAAAAACCGGATAACAAATTTTTAAATTTCAATTTCCAATCATAAATATCTTGATATTCAGACAGGCAATCCGCTTGTAAAGTCATGGGACTCCTGACTGACCTAAAGGTTTATAATTATGATTGCAGCATGAGCTAAATCCAGTATTTTGTTTAGAATCTGAGACAAAGTTACCCAATCCCTTTTAACTGCCTAAAATTAATGCACATGGTCAATGAGACTCACCGATCCACCACTCTTCTCCACCTGAGACATCCCTGATGTAACGGTTCTCCAGAGCATTGTTTATCATGATAAGATCAGCACCAGGAGTAGTACGGCAGTCAGCTCTGGCCTGTTGCCAGGTGGATGTCATACTACCAAATTTGTAGCATGTGGGACCATTGACATCAACCTCAACAAATCCTGCAGGACAATCAACTGTATAAAGGAAGAAATTTAAAAAAAATATGTATGGCTTGAGGCTTGCAAGGAACAACTAACCCTTACCCTATAACCAACCACACAAGAAACCCTAGTTCTAACTCTGATACTGACCTTAACCCTGATCTTAACCCTAATTCTAATCTTAGCCTTAACGCTAACCCTAATCCTCATGCTAATGCATTGATCTGATAAGTGGTGGTGTATTCTGTAGTTAATTAAGCCAACAATATTTGGTAAGTATACTTGTATGTATTATGCAAAACGATAGTTATTGTGTATTGAAGGAGAACAACAAAATTTTTGATAAAAAGAGGTTCTATAGAGTAGATTTTATTATCAATCTTGACGTCTTTCAATTATGATATCCAAATTACTTTGTTGGCTACCCGGTATATTGTCATAAAACGAAGAATGTTGATCATACTCATCAAATGAAATCCTCAGGAAGTCAAGCGTCTGTGTTGCTAATTTCATATCAATCTTTGCAACAGAAGCTGTGCACATGTGTTTCTGTGACAGAAACACCCCGATACTCCAAACTACTACCAGTAATACTAATCTTGTCCTAGGAAGCTGAAGATGAACTTACAGAATCGCTCATAGGTGAACGAGAAACCACGTCCAACGATGGATGAATCTGCACTGAACTGGATGACTAGATTACTGCCAACGCTAATGACATCCTCAGGTACTTCAGAGCCGGTCAGAACCTGTGACAAACAGTCAATTTAGCTCAAAGTCAACATAAAATCTATATCATAATGCAACAAATAAAAAACATGCATTGACCCAGATATAAACTAAATATTGATTTGTTTGCATTTTCTATTCTCCTCTAAAAGAGAGAGATGTTCATATAGTGTGTGTCAAAAAAAGTTTACACCTAGAAAATTGCTAATTATTTAAAAAATCATCTATGAACAGTAAATTGTTATACATCTTATGAAAGAGCGTTTTATCCCAAATCATTTGGTATCCTTTTTGTGTGGTATGTGTTCACTCTTGGATGAACAGGAGGCATTGCTTGCGAGAGAGCAAAAATCGACTTGCGCCAAAGTGATGCCTACAGTATGTGATATGGTGGGATTAAAGTGAGAGAATGAATTGAATGCATCAAATGAGATGCATTGCATATGCTTTTTGCAGAAGCAAAGTCACACACACACACACGTGCGCACACAAATTTTAGTTGATATCTGATATTCGATATTTGATATGTGTGGCACGATTAATTTTGTTAGGGATGTTATTTGGATCTGCAATGACCGAATTAATACCTGAATCCCAATTGTTTTATTCAAACATCGCATAAGCAACTTTGGCGCAAAGGTCTCTGTGATCACTGGAATAAGCATTCAATATCACACATGTTCAGGTTAATAATTAAACGTTACAAATTCCATCCAAAGTTTTAAACACTGCTAGGAATAAATACCATGGGAAATTACATTTTGTATAAAGTGATGATATTTTAACAAATATTTAAAAAAAGCAAACTTTTCATAAGCACATACGTACCAAGGGTCCGACAGAGTTTCCACGGCTTCCCACAATGCTCAGGGTATCCCGGCCGGTCTCAAGGTCAAAGCCTGCGAAGGAGAGACGAATGTTGTACCCCTCTTCCACCTGTATAGCCCAGTTACAGGAGGCATAGTTGGGATACTGGAGCCCATACCCAGGTGACTGGATGGTACCGGACATGTCTGTGATGATCTCATTGGAGCACATGTCTGCAAAACAACAGGGGTGACATTTTCAGTTGGATATTGTTTTCAGTCAGGTAAACACATTCACACCAGGAGGTGCGATGGCTCAGTGGTAGGGTAGAGCACTGGTCTCGTAACCGGGAGGTCCCAGGTTCGAAACCATGCAAGGCAATGTGCCCATGCCTTTTGGTCAGGCATTCATCCTCATTACGAATTCCCACTGACAAAGAACTGAATACTGGCCCAGAGCATTGCCCTGCAGTCCAAAAGCTTTGATACAACCAAAAATACAATTATCAAAGCAATCTTTCTAGTCAATACACACTATAAGGGTTCATGTATTAGATGGAAGTTGCACATTGTGAGTAAATACAAATTATTTTCCACTATCAAGGGCTTTGTCCTTTAGAATATCTTTCCTGACTGATGACTCGATAACTCTCCTGCATTTCAAGAGCTCAAAAAATATAGACCCTGATTAACATCTCAATATTGTTCAACGTTAATTCTTCCTTAAGTGCCTATAAACTTTTATGGGAGCGTTATTTACTCTCACTATCATTTACACTACTTTGCTTATGTTGTTGTTGTCAAGGTCATTATGTTACCACAGCAAATGTCTTATCAACCTACTGACAAATTAACTTCAATCTTACCATCAAAGAATCTTATTTCAAATCCACCAAAGTTGTTGCTGGCATCACTGGAGAAAGCAAGCCACATGAGGGCGGAGTTGGTGGTGAAGGATTCGTTGACGTATCCCGAGAGCTGAGCGACACGGGTATCCAAGTTTACGGCGTTCTCCCCTCTACCAGAACCTACATCCAGCACGTCATACTGGTCCTCTGCGCAGGGATAGATAGGACATATTTATATCTCATGTTGGAGTCAACAAAGGTTTTATAGAATACATGTACCTTCAACAATGATTCAGTTGAGAAGAGTGAAATGCATCTACATTTGATTACCGGTACCTGGGGGTTGTTTCACAAAGATCCTAAGTTGAACTGAACTCTAAGTTGGACTTGAAAATTATGGAGAGCCATTTGTAGCCTTAAAATAAAATATATTCAAAAAAAGCAAATTAAAGTATTTTAGACTTTTTATAAATTCCACATCAAGAATCTCCTGATAAAATCTCAATGATATCTCCTTGATAATAGAAAATATGAATGATTTGAATCAACATTTTATGCCTTTTAAAATAACTTTTACAAAATATTTTCATAGATGCTAACGGCTTTCCATAATTGTTAAGTCCAACTTAGAGATAAGTTCAACTTAGGATCTTTGTGAAACATCCCCCAGGTATCTTCATGATATGATCTCAGTTTGGTGGTTCTGAGATCATATCATCAGTCTTAGGAAGTCCCTGTTTAACTGAATAGATTACGACAAACAATATTCCCAAGTTTGCATGTACTGGCCTTCTTAAAAGTTGGTGGTTTTGATCGTCTTACCGGTCATGAAATCTGTGACGACAGCCCTGATTGGGGCTCCGGAGGACGAGACTATAGACCAGAGGCAGTAGCCATTGGTGCCGTAGGGCAATGGGTAGTTTGGTGATGTGATGGTCCTGGTGACGGGTGTTATGACGATCGTCTCCTCACAATCTAAATAGAGACGATGATATCAATAAGAATGTAAATGGTACATTTTTCAAGAATGTACAAGTCTTAATCACTTCTTATTTGTTCTACGAGTGGAGGGGTCTTGGAAAGATGATATCTTAGTATCGATACCAAGACAGAAAAGCCAGAATATTGAAGTGAAATGCTTCATATGCCAAACTGCACCACAATACTCGCCAAGCAAAGTAAATAATACTGCTGATTTGTATATGAACAGGGAAACAAACCAATATTACAGTATTTCTATGGCATTACTTGGCTAGTATGAAATGTGGACAAGGAAAATCATAATACCCATGCCCATCAGCAATATCACTGTATTTGCAGATATGAAAAGGATATAGACCTAGCCAGGATACTACAATTTTTAATCTACAAACTGCAAGCTATGTTTCACATCTTGAGGGTCATTCACATATGACACGGTTAACCTTAACAGATAATTTTTTTACATAACTAAATGTCAAATAGAGGTGATAAAACAGTTTTTGCAGATAAAAAATCCTAAATGCTAGAGCGCCGTATGGCAGCCGCGCTAGGGTAGGGCCAGGGTAATAATCGGGAGCGCCAGGAGGGTCAAATCTGACTGACATGAGCGCTATACAAGAACCCACTATTATCATTATTATATACATGCTTTCTTAGCAGTCAGGTAAAACAAAAACAAACAAGATATAGATATGTGGGGCACTCTGCATACACATATGCCATTTCATGCTACATTATTTTTTTTAAAAGTGATACCAGTATCTTATTCAAAAGAGCCCTTGGTTTTCTGACATACGTACCTGTGACTTGCTCCGCAATGAGAGAGAATCCCGTGTTGACATTGGAGTAGTCTGATGTGAATCTAACCCAACCTACAGACTCTTCAATCATGAAAGAGAATGGTTCCAGTGATCCTGAGAGCGAGGCGTAGTGGGTGGAGGCATCGGAAGCATCGCTGCCACGACCAATCTCAACAACATCAAATCTAGGGACAAGGAAACAAACAAAGCATCGCATGAACACAATTACATATCACTTATGGTTAGATCACATAATGCAACATGACAGCCAGCTTAACGATCACAGTAAAAGAGGGTCGTCTACATGGAAAGAAGACGAAAGACCTCGTAAAGGAACTTCACATTGGAGAATGTAGTGTAGGAGGGTACAGTAAAATGAAGCAGTTGGCTCAAGATCTCAGCACTTTGACAAACATTTGACGTAGAAATTGAATGGGGTCACTGAACCCTACATTTGAAAAATTTGATGATAAAATGTCACTTACTATATCAATCCTTCAACATTTATATGTATCATTATTAACATGACAATGGAGATAAATTACTAGACAAAATATATTTCATTTAAAGAAATGCAAGGATAATGTGGTTCAAAACACATAGTAGACACCTAACCCTAAACCTGACTGGAAAAAGTTTTTTTACTAGAATGCTGCCAAGTGAAGTGGAGTGGAGTGCAGCATCATAACTGAATCCAGGGACCAGATTAAAAGATGATAATGTAATTGCTATGGTCAGTTACATTGTAGCTCGTAAAGCTCTATATAATGGAAGTGGTCATTATTATCATCAATTCTAAATTTGTGAAGACATAAGGGCTAGAGCAAATGAAGTATGATACAGGGATGCCAGTTAGAATTGATCAGAGGGCCTGAAAATCACCTAGAATGAGCTATTTTGTACACAAAAAAGCTTTAACTATGGTCTGAAAATAACTGGCATCCCTGATGATCGAATTGTTGATTTGGACACTTACCCAGTCTCGGTAAAGAATTCATTGGTCTCCATGCCGATCCTGAACCTGCCGGGTTGGTCCGTCTGCAGGTACCACACACACTCCATGTTGTTGGAGTAGTCCTGGGGGTAGTTTGGTGACTGGACCTTCTGGAAGCCAGCTACGGGGACAATCAATGTACCCCCGCAGGTGCCGTTCCAGGCTGGGTTGTCAAATGGAGGTGGCTCTTTGGTGGCTGGAATCTCACCTGAAACCACACAGTCATTGTATTATTCTCATATTATTATGTGAATGTTTTTTTGAAATTTGTATCGTAATTCATGTTCATTTCAGTTTTTAACTGCTAGACATGAAGATCTTAATAAAATCCATTTAACTATCTATCTATCTATAAAGGGAAAGATAATATGTGGCACTGTAATCCATAGTTTTCAATAATCCTCCACACTTCTTGATTACTAAATCGTCAGTTTGGAGCCAGATATTTATTAACTCTGTGTGAAATGATGAATCAATGGCCTTCTGGCTCCAAGAGACAAGATGTCACTGCATAGGCCATTATTTTCAGAGTGTCCTTGTCAATATCAATAAGAAAACTATTGGCATAAACATTTCCCATTTTGCCGTAACAGATATCCACAGAAAGAACACCTAATGAGAACAGCATCCTTGGTTAAATTTTTGAAGGAATATCCTGGATATCATATATATTAGATATGATAAAGCATAAGAACACAACCATCTTCAGAATACAAGTATATATCAGTAAGAATGCATCTATTTAGAGCCAAAAAGATGCTTCAAGGTAGTGTATCCCTTTTGCAGCCAACATCAAATTCTGTAGAACTTTGCAGGAATTATGAATATGTCATCTATGTCCTATAACGTTAGCAGTGTCCTAGTATTCAAATTATGGAAGGAAACATGTTTACTTTCAAGACTTCACTGTCTGACATGAAATGAGCTGTAAAGATCCACATCAATAACCCACTTCTTGTAATGGCCAAAAAATTTGCTGATTGAATCTTTACGTAGCACAAAACGTACAACCATTTGGTACAAGGGGCTGAAAATCAGACCATTTAATTAAACGAGCGCACTCGCTAAATTTGATTCAACATCTAACGGTCGTTATTTTCACACAAAAAGACCTTTTCAAGCCCTTCTGTTTTGAGAGAAGTTCTCAACTAGTATTATCTTTCACATGCCATTGGAACTTAACATTTTCATTTTTTGGCCTGCAAATGGGACATAGTACCCTTAAAGGGTGTTAAAAAATAGCTGATCTAACAGCCTTCTGACTCTTGGCGGACGACATCTCAAGAGGCCTTTTGTCACAACTAACCTGGAGTTTTCTCATTAGCACTCAGTGAGAATCCCCGAGCAACAGCGGCATTAGAAGAATCAGTTTCTAACGTCAACCAAACAGCCTCCTCAGCGCTGCGAATGATCTCCGGTGTGGTGGTTCCTGAGTAGCGGCCGATCTCTGTTGTAAGATCGGATGGATCCATGCCTGTTCCTATGATGAGGATGTCGTAGCTGTTCTCCAGATTGAAGTCGTTGAAGTTGAGCTCTATGAGATTATCGGCGGTGACCTCGACATCCCCTAGAGCGGTAGAGGATTGCTCGAAGACATAGTCGCAGTTCTGGTTGTCTTCGTAACCGTTAGGGTATCCAGGAGAGCTGAAGAAAAGAGGGACTGGTCCAGTCTTGAGAGGGTATACATTGGTGCATCGCTTCTCACCAGGTAATTCTATTAGGAAAAAAAAAGTTAATATAACAAATGTTTGTTTCTTTTTAAATAAAAAAAAATCAGAGAAAGCCAGTATTACCTGTCTGGTTGCATGTGTATGAACTACACTGTAGACTCTTTTTAAAGTTGAGTATCAAATAAAGAGACAGATTTACAATTTCAGGAGAGAATCTTAGACATAATTTGTTGTCACTTAATATGTAGGTTTAATTGGAAAAAAGGAACAACATATTAGCAACATTGACCGAAGATGAGAGAGATGGCAAAGGTCACATTTTAATCTACAGTAATTCAATCTGCCCCAAATAGGCCCAATTCTGTTCTTTGTCACAATCCAGTACAATCCAATCAACTGTTTAGATTGCTTTGTTTGAGTTACATTTAGTAACATGGATTTTGGCAAAGCAAAGAATTAGTTTTGGTTATGTTATCTATAATTTGTTGATTGGAAAATAGACTTTAATTGACTGGTGGTTAATACTACTTTTAAAAATGAATTCTACTTTTTAGCATCATTAAGGTTATTGTTAGAGTTAGTATTAGGATCAGGGTCATGATCAGGGTTAGGTTTAGAGTTACTTCTGGGTAGGGCATTTTGCAGTTATTCCAAGAACACCCCCCCCCCCCCCCTCCCTTCTCCAAAACACAGATAAAGATAACACAGATAAAGATAAGGCATATGAAGATGAAAGAAGAGACGACTTACCAACATTGTACTCGGTGTAGGTCAAGAAGAAACCCAAGCCTTCAATACGAGCATCTGACACAAACCTGATCTGGATTGATGTGGCTTCACTGATGTAAGACTTGGGCAAAAATATTCCAGTAAGCCTCTGCAAATTCATAAAAACATAAAGGAAAAGTTTTTAGAGGAGCAAAACAAATCCAACTAGACTTCAATAACATCAAGATTATCGCTTTGCCTCAGCTTTTTGTCTCGGACAGACTTCACGCTATAGGCAAATAGGTTGATATTCTACAACCAATTTAAACCAGATGCTAGGTTTAAACTATTGATAAATATTGGGTTTAACAAAGGAATTAGTCTGAGGTTTAAGTTTTCCCTTTTTAAAAATAATCTTAGACTAACAGTCAGGTGTAGATGAATTAGTAGAATACAGGGTTTTAGGTATTAGTGTTCCTCAACACCAATAATATAGCTTTCAGAAAACCGAGGTAGAAGGTTATAAAAAATCAAAAGTAAATTTACAAAGTTTCTCTACAGTCCACTTATATTGTCTAGTTATTTTTCAAAAAAATGTATTAATGAAGTCATTATAATAAAGAAGATACTCCTGATAGCCATCAAAGGTCTGTTTCAGCTCCTTCTGGAACACCATGTGTTACAACAATTGTCATAAACAAACTTTCAAGAGTGAATTTTGATATAATTTTGTTTGTTTCATCGATAAATTGATGAGCTTAAAGTAGGTGGAGGAGTTACTGAGTCTGTTTCTGAAAGAAATATGTGCACCTTTCTCTTTATTTCAAACACAATGCTGAGCACTATTTTTTTTTTTTTTTTTTGGGGGGGGCAGATGCATTGGTCATTGCAAAGAAGGGTTTATTATTCAAAATTCTCCATGATGTTTCCTCTGGAGAGGTCAAGGTGGAACCTTTTTAAAAAGGCCAGCTAGGTGAAACGGTAACAAAGACCACTGTAGACAGGTGCCTTCTAGACACTTTCCACACCACATGTTTCCTTCTGAAGGGAAGATACATAGATGAGCACTAAGAAAGCAGGCCTTTGTCAAAAGGTGACTTTAATTGATAGGTGGTCTTTATGGAGAGGTAGCCACTAAGGAAAGAAGAAGAGGGGAAGACCTCGTAAAGGATTTTTTAGATGATTTAAACGCAGAATGTGGAGCAACAGAATATGAGATGCTGAAACGCTTGACTCAAGACCGAGATACTTGGAGAGACACTTGAGGTAGAATTCTGTTTCGGTCACTGAACCTGTCATACTGACAGATCACTATTGATGATGAGCCACTAAGAGAAGTTTAACGACACTCACCACTCTCTCCTCGTATCCATTCTCTCCCAGCTCTGAGATGGTGACATAGTCCTCAGTATCGGGGAGGATGAAGAGGAGCTGGAAGGTGAGCTGGATGCGCGTATCCAAGGAGATGGTGGTGATGCAGTCCACAGAGGGTGGGTAGCTGCTAGGGAAGTTGGGAGATGAGATGTTGCCTGGGGCATTGATAATGAGGACAGGTTCGTCACATCCTGCAAAAAAATTAAGAAAAATAATAAAATGCATAAATAAATATTTAATTTTCCACTTCTACAAGGTCATTCATCTAAAAAAAGGCCTGATTGGTTAGGTGGTCTGGCTGTCAAAATAAGCTATAAATTAAGATAAGATATAAGATAATCAAGTTTATTTCATTCATCATAAAAAACATTTAGATACAATAACATACAAAATCACAAGATATATAGTCAAAATAAACAAACATTACATAAGATAGTAGTACAATATAAGGTGATCTGGACAAAAACATAGCAAAAGTGAGTATGTGAATGAGGAGGCAGCTAGAAAGGAAGGAAATGCCTTATTGGTGCTGCCACCTACAAACAACTGAAAATTTGAAATTAGGATAAAAAGAGAGTATGAGTACAAGAACAGATTAAAAATTTACAGAATAACTACATTGTACAAGTATATTTACCCAAAAGAATAACAACAAACAAAAACTAACAACAAAAAAGATTCGTTTTTGTTTCTTACATTGACAGCAAACAAAACAACCAAACTAAAACACTAAAAAGACAAAAACAAAACCGACAAAACAATCAACAACAAAAACAACAAAAAACAATCAACAACAAATTGTAATGAACCTATCATTTTCTTCTTCTTTTTGAAGGATAAAAAGAAAAGAGTTAAAATTTGATAAAATCTGTTTGTAATGGTCACCTTTTGAATTAGCATCAACAAAAATGTCATTCTCATGGACGGATGAAATGCTAACACTTGATCGCTTAGCCTCAAACCACTACAGAACTTAGAACACTTGTGGGAAATGCCTACAGAAATCTCTTTCGACAAGTTTCCAGCAAACTGAGATTAAATCTCACTAACGATAGACAACTTATAAGCCATTGTAAATAAACAATTAAATAAATCTGGGATTCATCAGGTGAAATGATGATTATCTTCTATTTCTTGTTGGAGTTTTTTTTTAAATTTTGATAATTTTGTCTCTGTTGTTGATGCTGTCAACATTTTGTGACTTTTTTGTCTCTGAGATGAAACAGCCCAATTATGTATATTAAGTATATTGCAATAGCATATGATCATATTCAAATTGAAATTCAATTTTATTCATGTTTCCAACAAAACATTACAAATCAATTATAAGCATTTATATTTATATAACAACAAATAAATAAAAATACAGGAAAAAACAATATGTTACCTGAATAAGGAAGTGTGATTGCTTCTGTAGGTACGCCATAGTCCAAGTTCCTATCCACAAGAAGCAGGGGCTTGATGGAGAAGCGATACGGTGTATCAGCACGTAGACCAGTCACCACTACGCTATCAGTGGTGCCACCTACTACAGAGAATTCTACAACGTTATTGAGGTCCGTGTACTCGATCATGTAGCCTCGGACATCACAGATGAACTCCGACGGAACCCAGGTCAAAAGGACCTCCGAGTCAGAAATACCCTCACCGCTGAAGTTACTTGGAGCGGTCTGGATCGGGACGTAGTCTGTTGGGATACAGAGAGAGAAAAGATGGTTTGTATTTGGCAAATAAGTTGTATCATGAAATCATTTACTTCAGTAACTTCACAATTTTAATTTTTTTTTTTTGTCTCTGATTATACAGATCAATTAGACATATTTCACGGCAGCAACAATCTCTTACCTTTAGCAAAGATTTCACAGATGAACTGATTTGGCCTTTGACATGGCCAGTCCATCCACTGACCACTGGAGATCATCTGGACACAGTCTTGAGCATCACCATTCATATCTGGTTCATCTGGTGCCCAGTTGGTCATCTGCCATTCGGTCATCGATGAACAGTCTGTCCAGCGGAAGTCACCCTCTGACCACTGGTCTTGCAATCCTGGTAAATGTGAGTAAGGTTCGATGGAGATATTAGTAAAGAATTAGCAAATACTTTATTTTTGAACCACTTGTACATGAAGCATTAAAGAAAAAAAATCCAGAATAAATAATAAAGAAATATCTAGCATAATTACAATTTAATGAAATAGATGCGTGCTGGCCTCATGAATCTCAAAATCTGAATAATAGAAAATGTGTGAGTTGTATTTTAAAATTAGATTTCAAATTTCAGTTTGAAACTTCACATGCAAATCATATACATCTATTTCCACAGATTGGTGTACAACATACAGCTGTAATGATCTGCTCTTAATGCAGGGTAAGAATATGTATTCCTCAAACAAGATGACCTCACCTACATGTAAGACTACAGCCACAATTTTGACACAAATCATTTTAAGAAATTCTATGCAGTCAACATCATTAGATGGAACCAATGGCACAAAAACTGGTTAGACAGAATCATTCAGTACGACAACTTGGTCTGCACCATGTGGTATTGGATAAGTAGAAGTGCACATAAAAATTGGCACTATTTCCTGAGGCATATGTGAAGATCCGATTAAGCTGGATTTACACAATGGAGGGTACAAAGCTATCTTGGCTTTAGCCTAGCCTCAATGATGGGTCAAGAGTGGCCATCAAAATGTAAATCAATGTCTTTCTACAGGACATTAGTGCCATGGTAGGGATTTTAACCTTGTATCGCATGTTCCATATGTATCGACTAATCCAATACACAACTACACCTCTACACAAATCCAGCTACTAACCTATCCACCAATCTCCTTCCACTGTTCTTTCCCGGATGTAATCATATTCTTCTTGGTTGTCGACGACCATGAGTTCTCCTCCGAAGTCCTTGCCGCATTCTAGTCGTGCTTGACTCCAGGTGAGAGAGCCCTTTACAAAGCGGTAGCATTGATCCATGTAACCTTCTTCATAGTCCATTGGGCAGCCAACTGAAACGATCATACAATACAAAATAATAGTCACACTTAAAGATGAAGTTGAGTTCTGGTCATGCGATTGCATTGTGAAAGAAACGGTGTGGAACCGACCAGAAAAGGTTGATCATCTAGCATATAAGAATTTGTGTGTATTGCAAGGTTCTGGAATCATCAAAATGATAAGAAATTTGGCAAAGTCTTGGTAAAGTTACAAACACTTGCACAGAAAGATGTATATGGGACTACACGAACACGTGTCGTAAAAAGCCGCCCCCCCCCCCCCCCCCACCGATTTTTACGATGTTACATGCGTATTTAGAATATGAAGGCATTTGAAGAGCCATGCTTTTCAGGGAACATATCTTAACTGATGTTCTTCCACACTTGCATAATAAGAATGAGTAATGCTCACAAATTATTTTTCACCTCTTCCCAGAACTCAACCTTCTCTTTAATGGCAGTGCTACATGAGTTTATCAAAATTAATACTAGTTGGGCCAAGTGAATAGTTATTCAATGGCCATGTCAATTTGAAATACAAGCATGTGCATATAGTCACAGTGTAATCTTTGCTACAATCTAAAGTTGTTTATATTGGTAACTGTACCAATCAAGATAAATGTAAAAGTTCTGCAGTTACTGTCAATTACTTTGATTGAACGTCTCACAAAATTAGAGCATACTGATAAGCAACTAAAACTAACAGAACTTTGTTGACATAACAATAAAATTCTTTCAGGTCGTTTGTTTTTATTACATTGTCTTCACTTTGGTTTGGTGATAAAATTGTGTTCTCATCTGAAATCACACTTTAGTAGCATATGTACACTGCTAACTGCTTCATTGTCCTACTATAGCTCATGTGAAACAAGCACAGTTCAGTACTAATCAACACTGAACATGTAGCACAATTATGGAAGGTTACAATGTTTCAAGGACTGTGCTCAAACCATGATGGAGATTTAAGCAAATCCACAAATGCATGCACTTTAAACAGAACATTCAGAAGGTAATACCCTGAAATTATCAAGTTTCACTCAATAAAGTTTCTTCTTCTTCTTACTTGTTTCATTGTTGGTGCTAGCTGTGACAAGGTCACTATACGGTAGAGGTCCAGTGATGGTCAGGGCTGAGATACGGAAGCCATATTCTGTGTCAATCAGCAGATCATTGACAATATAGTTGCTTGTGTCTCCTTCTTCGATGTCAAAGGTGTATGAAGCCAGACCCTGGGAGACGAAGATTCGGTAGCCAGTCACGTCGCAGCCTTGTTCAGATGGTACCCAAGACAGGAGGATACTGACGATGGAAAGCGGAGTCGCTGTGAAAGCTGAGGGGCTTACATCTCCAGGGAGGAGATCTAAAGGGTGAAAAGAAGAAGGAAAACGTTTTTTTATTTGAACCTGTCCAAATCATTCTTAACAGGCCTTTGTGGAGTGTAAAGTTTACTACTAATTGTTTCATGCTATAAACATATTACAAGATATTCAGTGATGTGCTCGATTCTACAATTGGAAAGACATTGTTAAACCTTGCATGCTCTACAAATATGTATCACCAATAATATCTGTCATGTTGCTTTGATACCTCATTCATTTTCCTTCATGATCAATCAAGTAAATAAAAAAACAGTTACCGGTAATGTACATTCAACCTGCTATACAGTTCACTTGCCTATACAGGTCACGTTTCTTGTTCCCTGCATATATTGTGCATTGAAGCACATATAAAACAACCTAAACATTAAGACCACCTACTTATCAAGACTGCTTTTCTTGCCTCCCTTGAGTGGGCTTAGTTTCAGTGTACCATGTTTTAATGAAATCAATGATTATGTATTTTTACCAAATTGATGTACAAGCCAGCATTCAGGAAATGAAGCATCATTCTAATAAAACAATCCATTTACTGCTGCTTAAAAATATTGGCATGCATGGTGATGAAGATATACAGTAGGCTTGCAGTTGCTCCTGACACTCCTGACGACGGATAGTCAATCCGTTCGAAACGTCAAGCCACTACTACCACCCATCCTCTCCAACCAGAGCTATACTTCTCCTTAGAACTATAAGCTATTAAAGAAAGATAACCAACAGTCTTTTTCAGGACTACACACACTCAAGAAAGAAAGATTACAGAGAGTTCTTTTCAGGACTCCCGAATCCTACCCCTCTCTCACATGATGCAACCGCAAGCCCACTGTATAATTCATTTACTATAGCAAACTATACATCCACAACTTCCATGACAACTTACTGAGTGGATTGATCTCACAGATGTACATATTTTGTCTGTCACATGGCCAGTCCATCCATTCTCCACTGGAGATCATCTGACCGCAATCCTGTGTCCCGTCCGTATCGTCTGGCTGGCCAGGAGCCCAGTTTGATAGCTGCCAGATGTTCATATCAGAGCAATCCACCCAGCGATGGTTCCCTTCTGTACCAACATCGTATAATCCTAGACAAAGAGATAATAAGCCATACAACAATCTTCAAATCAACGAGCATTTGTTGTCATGTTGATAATCAAAATGATATAATCAATAACAACAATCATTACCAAATAAAGCTATAATATTCATTGAATGATACAAATAACTGTCAAAGCAGAAGGATGTAGGACAAAATTGTCTGAAATCACAAATTTATTTACTTATTATGAAGATCTGAATTGTCTTAAGGCCACCAAACACAAAGAAGGAAAATTCTTTCAAATTAAATTAATATCTAAAGTGAAGGTTGTAAAAATTATAAAAATCCCATTACCAGTAGTCAACCTTACCTTTATCATAACTTAATCTTACCTTTACCAGTACTCAACCTTCCCTTTACCAGTACTCAACATACCATTTACCAGTACTAAACTTTCCCTCTGACAGTACTTGACCTTTGCTTTACCACTATTTAAACATCCTTTTACCCAAATGCCAACTTCCCTACACTAATACTCAACCTTACTTTTACCAGCACTCAAATACGAAAACTTACCGACCCACCAATCACCCTCTTGTGTCATATTCATGATATATTCATGTTCTCGTGGGGTCTCTATGACCACCAGATCTCCCCCATCGGTTCGCTGGCACAGCTCACGAGCAAAGTGGAACTCAATGGCACCCCGGACAAAGCTATAGCAATCTCCTGTTGGCCCTAGCTCATATCCAGTAGGGCAGGCTGAAAAGTTAAGAGAGTTAATATTTTTACCACTCGAGTCAATGCAGTAATTTTTATTTAATTCTATGTTAATGGGCCCCATTTACAGCTTTGCTTCTCAGGGGTCCATCATGTTATAATTGTACCAGTACCAGTGTGATTGTAAATTGTTTTTAATGATTGGCTGAATAAGTTGAATTGAATTAATTCATTTATACAGATACCAGGCAAAAATAACATATAAACAGAAGAAGTTATTGCACTCTTTACATTGTAAATATAATGACAATGATAGGAAATCAGGCTTCATGTTATACAAAGATATTACTGTATTATTGCATTCGAAATGAGACACCACACAAGGAGAAAGATTGAGAGGAAGGGGAAAGGAAACGGCAGAGGGGAAGATGGGAAAGGAGGACAAACAAAATGACAGAGATAAAGATTGAAAGACCAAAAGACAAAAGAAGACCAAAGAAGTCAGAAGAGAAATAAACATCTAAATAAGTTATTTCATATGCTTACAAGCACCGGTAGACACCTCAAGTCCAGCTCCATTGCCGAGATTTCCAAAGCTGAAAGTCAGCGTATCAATAAATATGACGTAGTCCGTTGCTGGGGTCAGGTTGGTGATGATGGTAGTAGAGGACGCTCCTCCCGAGATCGTCTGCGTACCGGTTTCTCCATCCTTGCCCTGCCAGCCTATGATATAGGCCAAGATGTCGCACTGTTGGGCAGACGGTGTCCAGGTGACGGTTATTGAGGATGGGGTTTGGGAGTCGCCGCTCAAACCGGAGGGTGACACACTGTCAGGAGACGATGCTGCTCAGAGGTAATATAAAAATGTTTTTAAAATCTCTTTTAAAGCCCCACTGCACTACTGATAGCTACTAGCGCCCTCTATAAAGCAAACAATGCCTAATCGGTGACCATTGGTCCCCCATGGTCCCCTTTTTCTTATGTTAATTGAGAGCTGATTTGATGAGATAACCACCCGTCAGTGACCATGCAGGGAGGTCTAATCCCTCCTGGCCAAACTAGTGCAGATAGGCTTTAAAAGGAACTGTACATAGTCTCTGGATATTTATTGGAGGTTGTAAGAACTATTTTCAAATATCTCTCTTAATACAATGAAGATTATTCAGATTCAATGACAGAGCATGCAAGGAATTATGCATAATAAGAAATAAGTTTTAGATTGAGATTGGAAATTATGGACAATAATATGTATCTAAGGACATATGCACCATTGGTGATACATGTTTTTTTCATCTCCTTGGAAATATGCAACAATATATATCTTGATAATTTATTTATGATAACAATTTGTGATATAAAAGGATGTTACTTTTCAAGCAGTAATAGGATTTTGTTCATAGAAATATTCCCTGATTTGTTCTTCTACCAGAATCAGTATTAATTCTGACAGGCCCCTTTACATGTATCCAAAAGAAGTACATACATGAATCTGTTACATGCACTTCTAAGCTGTTCCATCAGAAACTAAACACATCTCCTCTAGATACAGCACTTACCCTTTTCTTTGATCTCACAGATGTATAGCAGAGTATTGGTGCAAATTTGGTCGGCCCATCCTCCCGTCACACCATTGAGTGTAGCACAGTCCTGGTCCAAACCAGTGCTGTTGCCCGGCTCACCTGGCCCCCATCGAGTGTAAGAGGGCGCCATACAGGCCGAACCCCATCGCCAGTCACTTTCAATGGCTGCATCATAAAGACCTGAGAAACACAAAGGCAGAGAAAAATGTGCTCATTTTTCCCCATTGAAGAATTTTAAGATGACGTTGCAAACAAGTGACCACCATAAGGTATCACAGGAAAGAATTGTAACCCGTGAGTAACAGTGCAATGCTGCTGCCTGAAAATAATAGTTTTAAACAAAATGGACAATTAAAAGCACCTTTATTTACATAAACAGAGCTGGGATCTAGGATAAGCCTGATCCTGATTGACCTAATCTCATAAAATTTTAAATCAATGGCAACTTTAACTTTGATTACATTTTCAAATTGAATGCAATCAAAGTATTATTGCAACATGACATCGATGTTTAATACCTTGATAATACAAACAAAAGTTTGACTATAATAAGTGAAATTTTCCTATCCTATCCCTTGACAAGCCCTTCATAATCAAGCAGATATTTATAATACAGTCAAACCCGTCTACAGTGACTGCCCAAGGGAAACACAAAAAGTGGTCTTTGTAGACAGGTTCCTTTAGTACATGTTTCAATGAGAATCCATTTTCAAGGGAAACAAAAGTGTGCTTGTTGTAGGCAGGTGGTCACTAAAGCAGGTTTGACTGTATTAACTTACCAATCCAGTAGATGCCATTCCCTGTTTCTGACTGCAAGTAGGATGTCATATTCTCGCTGGTGATTTCAACCAGATCTGAATTCTCAGTCTGGAGGCAGTCTGCCCTTGCCTCAGCCCAAGTAGCAAAGTCTCTGCTGACCCTAAAGCAGGAACCGCCAAAACCCAAGACATAGTCCTCAGGACAAGCTAAACAACAGAGCAAAGAAATGCATTCAATTGGGGTAGCAAAGAAATGCATTCAATTGGGGTGGCAAAGAAATGCATTCAATTGGGGTGGCAATTTCTGATAGTGTTTACTGACTATCATTGCCTAATTACCATTTTAAGTCAGGAATTCACCATCTGTGAATATCTTTTAATCAAAACTAAAAGCACATCTTTTCAATTAACTGTAAGTATAAGCATATCAGGAGCTCTTGTAGCGCAGTAGAATATATACTTAATGTTGGATAGTTTCTGTGCTCTATAAATGTATTATTATTATTGTTCATTTCTCAGGTGTAAATGTTGTTCACAAGGTTATGTTTTACTGTGCACAGAAAACAGGGAGGGAATAGCTTTAGGTGGAGACATACTGAACGTTTTTCGTCTTGCACTTATTAAAACGCAATAATTATTTTAAAGATATTATTGATTTTGTAGCACTAATCATCTCCTTTTTTATCAAAGAGACAGAAAGAGGAGGGGGGAAATATAATTTTAAAAAAATCAAAAGCAGCCTTCTGATTACAAATCTGTATTTCCCTATTTGTTTGGCTGACTCACATCAATGTGTTTTTCATGAATGAACCAAACACGCACTCTCATTCGGAACAAGATGCATTTTAACACTTTGTTTGCTTTCTTCGCCTCTTTGTACGGTTGCTTGTTTTTCATAGATACATTTTTGCACAAAACAATAGGCAACAACACAATGGCTTTGCAAAATTACCAGCATCTGGTCTCGATTTATAGCTCCATGGAAACCCTTAGAACACCATTATACATGTAGATTAATATTGCAATGGAAACAGTTGAATAATCCTGGAGCCTTTGGTTTATCTATCCCATGATGAATACAATGAGACACAGGGAGATTATTTATGTGGCATATATTAAGAGTTAACCAATGCGTTCACCAAATATACACACACTGACCCACTGAAGTTATATGTCTACATGTAGTATCAGAAATTCAAGGTAATATGCATCAGAAATTCATCGTATTGTACAACAATTATTTTTTTCAGCAGGCGGGTGTTTCATAAAGCTGTGCGTAAAGTTACGCATGACTTTACAAATGACTTGAATATGAAGAGCTAAATGGGATTCTCAAATCCTTTTAATTGCATAAGCTAAAGTTGAAATATGCAGATGTAACCTAATCATTATTAACAAAACATTTTAATAAAAAGTGTATTTTTGGCTACAATTTAATTGAGATTATGGTAAATACACTTTGTTAAAATGTCAGGAAAATCTTTGGGCATCCCATTTGGCTCTTCATATTCAAATCATTTGTGAAGTCATTCGTAACTTTACACACAGCTTTATGAAACACCCCCCTGGATAGACACTTACGTGGAGCCATATCTGTTGTGGCATTGATGGGATCACTTTGAGGATAGAGGGAGCCGGTCACAAGTGGAGCGATGGTGAAGAAGTAGCGAGTGGTTTCCTCAAGATTCATGACTAAAACAGAATCACTTTCAGCTCCATCCACCTGGAATAAAAAAGATGGAGAAAAGATACAATAATTGAGTTTATTTATTATACATGTCTCTAATAATAATAATAATGATAAAGATAGATTTATTGAGCGCATACTAAACAGAAGTATCTCTATGTGCTTTACAAAGTAAAAAATAAGCATTTACAAGTATATTTAAATAGTTACAAGAAAGAAATAAATAAACCTTAAACTAAAGACAAGTAGCTAAGAGAATTAATTCATTTCGAGCAAATTACTACAGATAGCAAATATTTATGAAAAATCAATTAGAGTAACATATTCAATTATAATACATTCATGAATTGCAATGTCAAAAAATACAAAACGAAACAGGTAAGTTTTGAGAAGGATTTTGAAAGTCTGTCATGTGGGAGCTTGACGGACATGCAGAGGGAGCAAATTCCAGAGATTCCTATCTGTCTGTCTGTCTGTGTGTGTCTCTCTCTCTCTCTCTTCTATTTCTCTGTGTCTTGTCCTGTCCTACAATTTATTTCTCTGAATTTGATAACTCTTTCTATGATTATTTTCTGGATCCCTTTATTCGTCTCTAAACTTAAATCTTTACTGTATATAATGAGCATGTAAAAGTATGTGTACATGTATGTACAAGCACTGCATGGAGTACTGTTTGAGTAATACAGAATGAGGTATTCTTTTATACTACATAGGGTATCTGATAGAGAGAACATACAAACAGACAAACAAACAGACATATAGACCGATAACAGGACAGTCACACACTTGTTGTACAAGCATACCTGGATATCACAGCAGTTGATGATTACGTAATATATAATGTGATATTCCTTCATGCCACATGAAGTCTCTAAGAGACAACATACAGAAATACAGACAGACAGACAGAGGGACAAACAGACTGTAAGTAGAGTCATACCTGAATATCACTACGGATCAATCCTGTGTAATACTGGACACGGTATCCGGTCACCCCACATGGGTTTTCTGGTACAGTCCACGACAGCATTACCTCTGAGTAGCTCAAAACCTCTGCCCTGAGCTCCGTTGGGTAGATATCAAACACTGTGGTACAAAAAGTTTCAAAAGACATAAGCGAAAACTTGTCACGTATCCCTTCCAATGCATTGTAATGTAATGTAGTCACACTGCAAGAACAGTGAAAATGGAGGACTAGGGCCCTGGTGCATAAAACTTACCATTGATAGTAACTTTGCCATCAATGGCAACTACCATGGTAGGGCTCAACAGGGCTCAACAGAGAATCAAAATCAAGGTCTCCATGGTATTTACCATTGATGGCACAGTTACCATCGATGGTAAGTTTGTGTTAACAGGCCCAGGTGTCGTGATCTAGTGGATACATGTACATCGCTGGACTGTAAATCATATGGTTTTGCAGTTCCGGTCAAGCTGGGGCACTAATATCCTTCAGCAAGATATCTATCTACATTTGTTACTCTCCACCCAGGTGTAGTGAATGGATATCCAGTAGAAAGAAATTCCTTGAATGCTTGAGCACCTTATCATAGTAGCTCAGGTAAGGCCAAGGTAATAATATAATGGTTGTAGGACCCTCAGGAGAAGAGTGATAGGCCTTTAACTACTGATCATCATATCATCATCATCATCATCATCATCGTCATTGTCGTTGTCATCGTCATCATCATCATCATCATCATCATCATCATCATCACCATCATCACACTACCACTACCACCACCACCACCACCACCACCACCACCACCACCACCACCACCACCACCACCACCACCACCACTACCATCATCATCACCACCACCATCACCACCACCACCACCACCACCAACACCACCACCACCACCACCATCATCATCATCATCATCATCATCATCATCATCATCAAATAAATAAACCAAAAACAAGAATACATCGTCAAGCTACAGGCTTATCCTAGCTTGTTTCAGTCACTGCTGCAATCACTGAAACACAGAAATCAAATTTCAAGAAAAGAGTTGCTCACTCCATATTCGGAACTTGATACGTACCTTCATTAAATTCACAGAAGTATGCATACTGAGCAGAGCAATTCTCGGCGACCAATCCACCCGTGCTGTTGTCCAAGAAGACACAGTCGTTGTCCTCTGTGTTTCCTGTTGGTGTATTCCATGGCTCTCGACTCCAGTCAAAGCACGTTGACCAAGTAAAATCACCCTCTGTCATGGAGTCCGACATTCCTGTTACGACAATAAACCCATATGGTATCATTTAAATCAGATTTAATCCATGATTCTAAACTAGATTTCAAGAGGTGGGAAATCATATCAAGCAACTGACATCAATTCCGACTGGTAGAGGGGGCATAGTCGAGTGGTTTAAGCACTGGACTTGAAATGCAAAGGTCATGGGTTCAATCCCCGACATGACACTAATGTCCTTTGGAATGGCATTAATCTGCCTTTGCCACTCCATACCCTAGAGAGAAATGGGGACCTGGTATGATGACGAAAGCCTTTGTGTTAGTAATTGCAATATGCCCTTACCGTGACCATATGGTAGGACTACTCCCCAGGGAGTGAATGGTGCACATTATGCGTAAATGAATCTGATGACAGGGTTTTAAAATCTGTAAAGTGCTCTATTAGAGATGGCATTTCGTATTAAGCTCTATTTAAATCCAGATTATTAATGTATTTATCATAAATTTGAAATTTATATATTCATAAACAAATTTCTTTAAACAAGTATAGATGGAGAATGTTAATTGTAAGCTGTCCTATCTCAAACTATTAAACAGCTGAAAAAGTAAAATCAATACACCATGAGGAAAAATGATATGAAAAATATTTAAGAAATTATTTTTTTAAAGTCTAATGCTGAAGAAGAAAAAGGGTATTTTTGAAGAAGAAAAGGGAATTTTGAAAAAGATATTTATAACCATTGCTTCAGAATGATTTTAATATGCACTTCTACATACCAGTCCAACCATCATCAACGCCGATTGTTCGGAGGTAGGCCAGTTCAGTCTCGTCAACGATGGTGACCAGGTCAGCACCTAACACTCTACGACAGTCCGTCGCAGCCTCTGTCCATGTCTTTGCATCGCTCAAGTAGCGGTAACAGATTCCCTCTCCTGATGCCTCGTAACCAAGGGGACAACCTGCGCAAGAAGGGAATGAAAAGATTATTAGTGGGACTGTGTTCTATTGGAGAAGACTCTTGATTCTCATACAGCGTGTTTCTATTAGTTATACTGAATTTATCCGGTTGAAGAAATAAGCGTATAATGCCAGGTAAGGGCACTTTCTATCTACGCGCATTCTGATCTAGCCAGAAAAAAGGCCGTGAAAAAGTTCATCGAACTCTGGCTAATTAGGTCACCGCAAAGTATTGTGGGACTGCTAGGTCAACCCTGGATTGTAATGTCGCGCGCGTCGGGGTAAAATATTCCGATCACGTGATCACTCCTATTTCCGGTTCTCCCTGGTATGTACACTCAATCGGAACAGGGTGTGTTTCTACCTACGTTATCCGGTTAGCTTCCCTTGCATTATCCTTCTAAAAGAAGGATAATTTTGCCGGTGAATGCGTAAAAGCTCTCCCCGGCATTATCCGGATAATGCCGGAGAAAGTGTGTTTCTATTAGGAAAAATTTATCCCTTATTGGCCATTAACCGGATAATGGCTTTAGATAGAAACACGCCGATTGTCTCAAAGGAGAGGACCTACATTCGATCCTCGCTCGGTACTCAATACATGTACATCCTTGGACAAGGTATTTACCCACATTTGTATCTCTCCACCCAGGTGTATTATGGATACCTGGTAATGCTGATTGGAAGGACATTATCTTAATACTGATGAGGCTACCCTGGTTAAAAAGACCAGTCCATTATTATCACTTAGATAACCTTTGCACCTTTAATTGAAATAAATAATCAAATGTCTTTATTGTTAAGAAACACTCACTAAGTTTCCCCTAACAAAGCCGGTAAAACTCCAAATTTACTTATTCATTGATACCTATTAAATAAACAACATCTTATTAATAACTGTAAGAAAGTGACCTAAAATCCCAAATGCCTTCCACATTAGTCCATAAATTGCTGGTTGCACTGTCCTACTACAATTTTGAAGAGGTTAATTGCAATTTCATTCATATAATCCAATGTGACAATAGATTTTGGCAGCAGCATAGATTTTATAGTACATTTTAGCATTGTAAACATGCACCTGATGACTACCTTAGAATTCCCAGTAGAAATGTGTAATCATAGGGAGTTTAAAAGCTTTTACAGGGAATACAAAAAGAAGATAATTCTTACCAAGTGTTTGAACGTTTGTTTCCGTTGGCACAACTTCACCTTGGAAGGAAAATGAATAGGGTGTCAGCCGGAAAGTATAAACCATTCCTTTGTTCAACCCACTGATCCTCACTCCACTTGTATCTCCACCCTGGACTTCTACCTCAAACTGGAGCGACGTCTTGAAGACAGACACCTTGTAGCCAGAGACATCACAAGTCTGTGCAGGAGGGATCCATGTCAAGTCTACTACCGTCTCATTGAAGGCAGTGCCTCGGAACAGGGAAGGTACAACATCAGTGGGGTCTGATCCAGGCGCTGCAAGAAATTTAAAAAAATTGAAACAATGTTTCACTTTAATAATACAAATACCTTTGGATGTTGAAATATTCTGAGGTTTACTATACATATTTCAGCTACATACATGCAGATAATACATCATAAGGACTTATATTCACAGCTCATACATGTATTTAATGAAATATCTATTATCTATGATGCATTTACATTCACAGATACATGAATTACATTCATTCATTATATTTTCTTTATCATTTACATTGATAAAAAATCCAAAGATAATGTGTATGTGTAGATATGTTCATTAATGTCAGACAATTTATTCATTTAGTCAGGATCATTTAAATTCATAGCTCCATCCAAAGTGCATTGTATTTAAGGTTTAATGGCTAATCATTCTTTTCACTTCAGGTTATTTTTATTCATTTTTTCTTCTGAAATAGCATTTTTTTAAAACAATGTTTCTTAATCCTCGAAATTCCAACAACCCTGTACTGACTTAGTCTGGAAGACATGCCAAAAGGTTGATGTAAACTGTCATGAATTAATATTAATAATAATAATCTTTTAAAGTCCACTCAAAATTTTATTAAGTTAAACCGAAAATGGAAATTCTTTTTGCCCAATTGATCGTGAGCCCGGCAGCCACTGAGCAGTGCCAGATCGACGTTGCTCTATCCCTTATTGTTGAACGCCAAACAAGGTAGCAGCAACTCCCATCTTTTAACGTCTTTTGGTATGACGCGGCCGGGGTTCCAACTCACGACCTCCCGGTTGTGAGGCGGACGCTCTACTGACTGAGCCAACACACCGGTATGTGATTTAAGTATGAAGGCTCATTTTTATTTCTTTTTTAGGCGTAGCAGTTCATGTGTTCGTAAGGTTTTCCAGGTATTACATGAAGCCCTCACAATCAAATCTTGATCATACCAACCTCGAGTTGTTGTTTCACAGATGTATCCTGCAACCGACGAGCTAGTGCAGTTTGCATCGTCCCAAAATCCACTTGTATCCATGGTAACGCAGTTTTCGTCAGAGTTCTTGGGATGATTGCCACCAAGCCAGCCGCGGTAGGGGGGTAGGAGACACTCGTAGCTCCAGAAGAACTCTCCCTCTTCCAATACATCATACAGTCCTGATCACAAAAAGAAGAGCATTCTAACGTTGGATACTTCTTGGAAAAGTGTGATATATTTTCAATCAGTTCCAAATTTAAGTCAAACAAATCCCTTTATTGCATCTGTGTATCGCATATGAACCCATGAACTGGACAGAGATGAACATAATCCAAACTTCCAACAATGAAACGAAAGTTCCGTCTCTAAGCAGCTGATATAACAGGGATATTGGGTGCCAAATAATTCAAAAACAAAAATCTACATCGGACAAAATTTTTATCTTTACTTTTGGTAAGTATATTAAGAATAACAAAAAACAAGAAAATCAAAAAGAACCTGGTGGGATTTCATTCCTTGAAACCTTTCAGCGCCTTTTGGCAGCTGGGCTAAAGCCAGGGGAATTATAGTATTGACTTTGTAGGTGTCTTGAGCATCCTCTAGAAATGGATATACGTGGAATATAAATGAAGCTATTATGACACTAAACTACATTTGCCACTCTCTACCCAGGTGTTAAATGGGTACCAGTACAAAGGAATCCCTTGAAGGCTGTGAGTAATATTTGAAGCGCCTTGAGCACCTTGCATGGTGGATATGTGCGCTATATAAATATTTGATATTATTATCATCAAAACTCAAGGAGATCTCTAACATTCTCTGAGTCTAATCTCACCTATCCAGTAATCTCCTGTGGGAGGAATCATGGACCCTATATAATCGTTCTCCTCCTCCGTCTCAATGTTAATAAGATCCGCCTCTTCCACTTCTCCAGTCAGACATCGTTCTCTGGCTTCCACCCAAGTTAAGCTCTCGCTTACCATAGTGTAACAGCTTTCTCCAAAGAAATAGGGATAACCATTCGGGCATGCTACACAAAACACCAGAAATAAATACAATTATTTTTACTAACAATTATAACTATATACAAACAGATAATTGTTTTGATATAGTTTGTTAGAAAGAACAAAATTTGACCTTAATTGCTAGCACATGATGATAGAGACATGGGAGGTATTCTGATCACTATTTATATGTCTCCTCAGACTATGAATATCTAAATTCATCTTATCAGATGCTCTCTTAAAAAGGCAGTTTGCAGTTAAGATAATCATTTATAAATTCAAAAGCTACATATATTTTTAGTGACACTAGAAACATATGAAGTAATTTATACACAAACACGTAAAAACTTCTTTCATGAAGATATATACAAAGCTGGTCAATTTAGGAATATACAACACGAGTATGGAATTTCAACCCCATAAAAAACAACAGAGGGTTAATCATTTTGGGTAGATAGACCCTGTCTAGTACATCACTAGGGTTAAAAAGTGTAAAATATAAACATCTACTAACATTTCTTAAATACATGTACACATGTAATTACAAATTCAAAAAGTGTGATGAATAAAGAGAGAGAGAGAGAGAGAAAGAAAGAGACAGACAGACAGACAGACCAAAAGGGGGGGGGGATGATGAATACTGACCCAATGTTGAGCCCAAAACAGACAAAGCAGTACTGTAGCCGTAACAATATGAGATAGTGCAGGTCGTCAGTTCAAAGTGATAGGTATTTCCTGGTTCTAATCCTGTTATATCAATAGAAGAGGTCCTTGCTCCAGGCAGATCTACTTCCACATATTCGCCAGGAACACTGGTATTGTATCGGATCTAATTCAAACAGGGTCACAAATCTATAATGTCAATCTGATCATTTTTAGACACACAGATAACGTATATATGTAATACTAATGTGAATTTCAAACAGTTATTTATGATTGAATATCAGATTTATATCACTAAGAGTCTGTACCTTCCCCTTAAAGAGAAGGTTGAGTTCTGGGGAGACTGAGGTGAAAACTAATTTTTCAGCGTTATCATTTTTATTATGCATGTGTGGAAGAACATCAGATAAAAAATGTTTCTTTCACAATGCAATCACATGAAAATAACTCAAGTTTATCTTTAAGTGCTTGTTCATATCGTCTGCTTGGAGCCAGAAGGCAGTTACTAGTCAGAAGTCAATACCATGAATGTTATGTTTAAACAAGACAAAAAGGATTAATAAATCACATCATCTAAAACTTGTTGAAATACTGTTGTATAAAATAACACAATACACATCATATTAAACAATAAAGGAACATGGGTGGGAGGGGGTAAAATCAGCCCCCCCCCCTGCTTTCATTTCAACTATGAGATTTCCAATTTTTAAGAGTTACTAGTAAATAACTAGATGGAACTTCGACTGCGCGCAGTCGAAAATGATGCCTCCGTCATAGAGCAAGTTTACAAACCAAAAAGCAATTTCTCATATACATATATGACCCTTTGATCTTTGACCTCATGACCCTAAAATGTACTCAGTTCATTGGCTCTGCAAGATGTCCTGAGTTAAATAGTAATCCATCTGTCAGTTCTAATGAGAATGCGTTCACAAGCTATTTTTGCATACATAATGAGCCCATGACATTTGACCTTTGACCTCATGACCCAAGAATCTAGTCAGTTCATTGGCTCTGCAAGATACATACATGATCTAAGTTTGGCAGGAATCCATCAATCTGTTCTAATGATAATGCGATCACAAGCTATTTTTTGTATACATTATGAGCCGCATGACCTTTGACCTTGACCAAGACCCCAAAATCTAATCAGTTCATCGGCTCTGCAAGTAACATACATGACCTAAGTTTGGCAGGAATCCATCGATTGGTTCTTGAGATAACGCGATCACGAGCTGTTTTTGCATACATAATAAGTCCTGTAACCTTTGACATTCGACCTCGTGACCCCAAAATCTAATCAGTTCATCAGCTCTGCAAGATACATACTTGACCAAAGTTTGGCAGGAATCCATCAATCGGTTCTTGAGATAACGCGATCACGAGCTGTTTTTGCATACATAATGAGCCCTGTGACCTTTGACCTTTGACCTCGTGACCCCAAAATCTAATCAGTTCATCGGCTCTGCAAGATACATACATGACCAAAGTTTGGCAGGAATCCATCAATCGGTTCTTCAGATAACGCGATCACGAGAACGGGACGTACGGAAGGACGTATGGACGGACGGACGGACAACCTGAAAACATAATGCCTCCGGCTACTTCGTAACGGAGGCATAACAAAGTTATAAAATAAATCTTAAGCTGTTTCCTATCAGAGATGATGTGAAAAAATTATGATCTACATGTTCCAGTTTGTAAAGCACCACTACAATATTATTTGTGTAAAAAGAAAAAAAGAAGAAAAAAGGGCACAAGCATTAAATATGCATTGTTGCCATGTATTTTGATACCTTGTAACCCGTCACATCACAAAGATAGTCGGAGACGGAGAAACTGAGACTGATTTGACCCAGTTCGGTGTCCGTGACTATGAAATTAGATGGGTAACAATCAGAGTCCACATAGTCTGAGAGAAAAGAAGGACAAGAAAAAAAAGAGTTAAAACTTACAATGATGCTATAATAATGGATCAGTGTTCATGTTAGTTCCGCTTCTGTATGTCTTCCAGTACTATTGGCACATTAAAAAACCTGTTATATTTTGGCTAATAATTCCCAACAAAAAATTGTTTGTCTTTCTTTTTGAGATTCGTAGTTGGTTCAACTGTTCATGAATACTAAGGTTATGTATCAAAGAACGTTTGCATCAAGTTCAACAAGATAAACAAGAGTACAACATGCATAATTGAAAACTTCTCAAAAATTTACAGTTTTTAAGACGAACAATTAAAACTGCATGGTGAGTGGAAACTTATATCAACATAATTTCAGTAGCAGGATAATTTTTATCTTTTTTCCCAACATTATGTGGGGACTTTTGATCCTTTGGTTTCAAATTGTGATCAGTGAGATCTATCGCTCTTACAAATAATTTAACTCAGTTTGTTTAAACTTCTTACTAGAGGATTTTTTCAGTCAAATGTATTCTGCCATATAATGGCAAATTCATGCAAACTTCACATAATTTCCTTCTTAAGCATGTTTCTATCTATGGAGCTTTTCATATTATTGATTATTTTTCTATGTCCACTGAATTTTTTCAGTCAAATGTATTTTGCCATATCATGGCAAATTTACGCAAACTTCACCCTAGTGGTAAACTGCACAGGTACAGCGTCTGACTTTCCAACATATAGCTCTTCAATAGAAGGCAATTTTTAGTGAAATACAGGGCACTATCTGTGTAACAAGTATGGGCATATATGTATTGTAAATACTTTCAATCCATTCTATGGCACAATAGAGTCAAATTTTGCATACTTCTTTTCATATTTTGCTTCTTAAGCATGTTTCAATCTATGGAGCTTTTCATATTATTGATAATTTTTCTATGTCCACTGAATTTCGTTTTTGTCTATAAAAAAAAAAAAAACCCTTACTCTTTCTGGTGATTTCACAGACGTAGCTCCTGTTGTTGTTACACATGTCATCGTTATAGAGCCCATCTTCGCTGGACATATAGGCGCAGTGGTCATCATCGTCCTCTGGGGCACCAGTTTGCCATTTAGTTCGGCCAAAGAGGGTGGGTTCTTCACAGTCAACCCAGACCCATTCTCCATTGATTGCCAGATCATAGAAGCCTGAATGAAAGTATTTAAAAAAATGGGTGATGCTGCATCTACAAACACAGTATAAATGTAGGTGCTAGGAAATGCAGCAAGAGGCATTAGGAAACATTGATATTCCATCTACATTATGGATGAGAAATGAGTGGAGTAAATGTGAAACCACGTTTGCACTGATACACAATTGATTTCACAATGAACAAAGTCAAGGCTGAATTTCAAGGAGCTTCAGATACATGATATCCTGGGGAGTGTTTCACAAAGACTAAGATCAGCTTTAAGCTGGACTTAACTATGGCAGGCTGTTAATGCCACTGTTTGCTCTCACCATTGGCATTGTTCTCTCAAGGGACATACAAATCGTGGTCACAAATCTACAGAATTCACCATCTTTGATAGTTTATCATTGAAGGAAAACATATTATCTAAAGATCATAATTGAGAGACCAATGGTGAGAGCAACCAGTGGCATGAATGGCCTGCCATAGTTAAGTCCAACTTAGCCTTTGTGAAAAACCCTCCTGGTCTCATTTCAAAAGCAATGGCAGCATCACGTACCTATCCACCAATTCTCTGTCTCGTTGGCTTCCTGCTGCATCGACTGGATCATCTCCATTACGTAGTCATTCTCCCCAGCATCGTTGATCACGACCAGGTCACCATCGGCGACATTGTTGCAGTCGTAGCGGGCCTCTAACCAGGAGGTTGGAGTCGTGACAAACTTGTAGCAGGTTTCATTGGCTGGATTGTATTCATATCCTTCAGGACAGTCGACTGTGGACAAAATTAAAATACAAAATGAACATTAAATGGATCGTATTTGGATCTGTCAAAAGAGGGGGGAACGAAGTGAACATGTAAACTGTAAATACAATGAAGCTTGGGTGATATGAATCGTATCATACTTTGCTTAAACCTGACAGGTTGGGGGAATTACAGTACCTACATTCACGAGCCTAATATGTGTCTTAGGGACATCTAAATAGAGTGGTTTTTTTTTTAATAAAATATCCCCACTGGCCAAAATCCTTTGGCATACCACATTTTTGTATCTCTCAGCTATGATTAAAGTTATCTTTACACAGTTGACACAGCTTTGAAAACATTATTGTCAATGCTTGTCAATACACCAAATGGGATTCAGGTCTTACAGAATTCTTCAAAGATGAGCTTAAAGCCCAAGCTGGTCGTGGCGCTGTCTGTCTTCAAGCGGATGTTGAGGCCATTGTAGCGGCTGACAACATCATCAGGAACTTCAGAACCAGTCAAGATCTGATAGCATGGTGAGAAAAGCCACAAGAATGATAAGAGCAGCAGACATGGTGAGTTTATAAATAATAATAATAATAATAATATTGGATTCTTATATAGCGCACGTATCGACCTTGCAAGGTCCTCAAGGCACTCCAACATTACCCGGCTATGCTAGGCTGCAGATTTTGACGCTCACAGCATTTAAGTAATTCCTTCCTATCAGTACCCATTTAACACCTGGATGGAGATTGGCAAGTGTAGATTAATATCTTGCCAAAGGACTCCCATTTGCTCTGTTTGATTGCGTTAAGAGTTCATGCTGCTATACTACAGTGTATCTTCAAAATAAAAGCTTCTAATATTACTTGTATAAAGAGATAACACAATTTTAAATACACTTTCAAAGAATGTAAAAGAGGGTTGTGAATAGATGACCAGTTGACAAACTAGTCAAAACCAGGTAAAAGCATGAACAGAAAAGACACAATAGCGACCAGAGCAGTAGTATTTATGGGTTCACAAATGTTGATCTTGGGTAAGGCATTCAAATCATTTAGGCAGAGGTTCCTTTACCTAGGCCATGACACTCTTAGACATTTTTCAGTTTTTAATGAATAGGTTATTAATAAATAACCTCATTTTACTTCAATGAAAAGTGGCATTGCTAGGGGATAAGAGTGCTGATCAAGATCAAGAAATTTAAGTCTCTTTGCACTAGTTTGGCCAGGAGGGATTAGATCTCCCTGCATGGTCACTGGCTGGTGGTTATCTCATCAAATCAGCTCTCAATTAACAAAAGAAAAATTGGACCATGGGGGATCAACGGGTACTGCTTAGGCATCGTTGGCTGTATATAGGGCGCAAGTAGCTACAAGTAGTGCAGTCCCGCTTTAATTACATGTATGTCATACTTGCAATTTAACACTTGTTACCCTGACATGAGAAGAATATAATCACATTGAGAGGTAAATTACACATAAAACACAAAGTGAAATGAGTCTCTTTCTATATTTTTCATTAAAAAATGTGACAAAACTCACCAGGTAAGATGAATCTACATCATCCTCATCAGGGTTTGTTCCTCCGATGATCAGCTGATCGTGGCCGTACTCCAGATCGAATTCCAGGAAGCGAAGACGTACTTGGTAACCTCCCCGAACCTGAACGATCCACTGGCAGTCTGCATCGTCTGGGTACATTGCGTTCATACCACGGGGGGAATCAATCTCCCCGTAGGTATCCAGGATAGTTTTAATGATGCAAGCATCTGATGGAAAAGAAGAAAATTATACAGATTGCATAACAATACTGATTACGATCATGTGTTAGACACAGAGAAGCCTAACCTTTTGAACCCAGTGACAATATCAGGCATTCCTTGTCTACATGTATGTCGTGACCCTTGAAGGTCATGTATAGTTTTTCTATATATATAGCCATCCAAGATTTTTCATGATATTTCTTTTATTTTAAATGATATATAGCATGACGCTAGCAATACTATAAGATAGTGTGCATTTTTTTTATCTCGTTAAGTGAAATATCAAACAAAAGGGAGATAAAACATAAGTTCTAATAACATAAATAAATAGCTACAGTGCACTTATTCTGTAGTGCCCCCAAAAAGACTACAACACAACTTGTAGATATGTCGCAGTCTTGAATTACTTCACTGAGAATGCAAAGATTGTTGCTTCAAGCCCCGTCAAGGCACTCATGTCCTTGAGCAAAGCATTCTATTGATATTGCTTCTCTTCACCCAGGTGCTAAATGGGTACCCGGTATAGGGTGCGAAGGTCAATGTGATTGGATTAGCATGTGTATGCCAGTAAAATGGAGACTAGCTGGAATCTTCCCCTGAGAAAGGATTATGTACACTGTCATATGCAGCATAGTAATTGAATCGAGTAAGGATAATAATAATACGGTGAAAGCTATGGTTGGTTGTAAATGTTAAAGCACTTTGTGTTAATAGAAACAGCTAGTTGTCATTATCATTAAAGCCCATCTGTACTAGTGTACAGGACGGATTAGACTACCCTGCAAGGTCATTGGACGGGTGGTTATCTCATCAAATCAGCTCTCAATTAACATAAGAAAAAGAGGATCATGGAGGACCAATGGTCACCGATTATGCATTGTTTGTTATATAGAGGGCGCAAGTAGCTATAAGTAGTACAGTTGGGCTTTAAGTGTAGCACAATCCACAACACTACTCCCACTTACTATCATCCAGTGCGATAGATATCATGATATCATCTCCCTCCATAAGATCCTCGGCTGAGAACACCAACCACATATCTCCTGAATAAGTAGAGAAGGTCTGATCCATGACATCTCCCACAATGAGCTTCTTTCGTGATCCAATATCCGTGGGATCCATACCGGTACCAATCTCAAAGATGTCATAGTGGCGCTCTGAAACATAAGATAAAAAGTATAATAATTTTATGGTAAATTGCACATCCTACCGATATCAGATATCGGATTAACTTTTAAAAACAATCTTCTAGGAGTAATCGAAATGAAAGATTTTTTTACAAAACATGTACGGTATACTGAAATGAAATCATATGGCACTATATGTGAGTAGAAAGCTTTAAATAATAATAATTTTAATAGTGGGTTCTTGTATAGCGCTCATGTCAGTTTTGACCCTCCTGGCGCTCCCTATAGGTTTTATAGGGTCAAGGAGAATATCAGTTTGACAAATTACTTGCTAGGAATTCTCTGAGAAGTGATAACCTAATCAGCAGATGATACCTATTTCATATCCTTCATCCGTGTGAACTCTTATATTTTGACAAAAAATTCTGTTCAAAATGTATTCTTTTATAGGGAAATTATCCAATCTTAAGGATGCACATGTCCACTGCATGCATCCACTGTTATACTTTACATCCATCTATTGCACCCTTGCGATGTACAGGCAAGTACATGTAGAGCAATGCCCAGTCACTATTCTAGAGCAATTGGTAATGAATTTCATGCTGGAAATTTGGCCAATCAGAGGCCTTGAATTGTGACATGCATTATATAACAGTCAAACACCACTGGAAAGTTCATTTACTTGAGGTAACTTACCAGCATGCAGGGTATTGATGTGGAAATCAACATTAGTTTGGAGCGGAGTCTTGATGTGCCACTGACAGTATACATTGGAGAGAGCAGATGATATGTTACTAATGTACACATTACCACGGCCATTGAACGACAGGTCAATCTCACCGCCGCATCCATAGTCTGTAAAAAAAAAATTGTAAAACTTGATATCACACAATTTCTAGGAATATCTTTATACTAATTTAACATGTTTCTTGGGGGAGGGCAGGTTAGGTGCATATACTTTTGTTGAATGTTGAATGATCATTATTAAAAACATATTTTGAATTACTATAGTGGTAAAGACGAGGAAGAAATGATTCAAGGGCAGGAGATTTTTCTCTCTTCCCACAAATAAATTCAAAAATGTCTGGAAGCTTCAAATAAAAATCCTTTTTAGTAGTAATTGCGTGCTCAAATCCATGTGATATGCATTGTAAGATTATTTTGCATCAATAAATACATACAGTATCATCCAATATAACCAACAATCCAAAATGTTTATGGTTTGTTTGTCTTTTTTAAAAGGAAAAACAAGGTTATATTTAGACTTTTCAGTTATTATCAGGTCAGGTGCTGTTCTACAAGTGTGCATCGGATATCAAGCTGACATGTTGATTAAAGGGATCCGGTAACTTTGTCTCAGATTCTGAAACAAAATTCTGGATTTAGCTCATGCTGCAATGATAATTATAAACCTTTAGGTCAGTCAGGAACCCCATGACTTTTACAAGCCGATCACCTGTCTGATTGTCAAGATATTTATGATTGGAATTACAAATTTTGAAAACCGTTCGCCTGACGGTTTTCATAACACTACAGTCTATTTGGGAAAACGAGTATGGTAAAACCGGTCACTCAAAGATTTTTACTTATTTGAGGCACTTCTTGATCATTTTGAAGCGCAATTTTTTTAGGGCTTCAGGACACTGATAACACGTAGGGCCGTGTATCTCAGATTTAACATTGTTAAACGATCCCTTTAAACTGATAAAATAGATCTACTGATAAAAACTTGTTCATCAAATACTCAAAAAATTCAAGCCTTCCTTTTTTATCACCTTGCACTTGCCCAACATGGATATGAAGGGTTCTGTTTAGATCAGCGGCGCCAGAAGAGAAGATTAAAGTGACACTTCCACCGACATCGATGAAGAACTCCTCAGAGTCAACAACTCCTGTCAAGCGACGGCGATAACTTTTCCAGTCAGAGGGATCAAGTCCAGTTCTAATTTCAAAGTAGTCTGTGCTGTTGGAGCAAAAGTATTAAATAAGTAATATTCTTCTGCCTTCTGGCACTGCATGTGGGGCAGATTTACTTTAACATTAAATTAAATAACAAATAACACAGCATGTATTCAATATCATATTATCAAGGACATTATTTTTATCATCATGATCAACAGGAGACAGATTGAGCTAGATCTAGAATTCAAATCAATACACATTTTTTTAAAGGCAGAACCAAATTATTAATTAGACTAGGATCTAGTCTATATTGAAAAGACTTCAGAAAATAGCCTCTGTGTTGGGGGCTTGGAGAATTAATCGAGAGATGAAAAGTGACTGATGCTACAATGCAACGGCTAAATTAATGGTACCTATAAAGTCACAACAACAACACATATAGTTATGGTAGGCGGGAGTAGTGGTCAATGCTAGTTTTATGCACACATCTAGGAGGGAGTCGCCTAAGGCTTGGGCGGCGCGATCGACGGAGCTCCCTGGAGTTAGCCGTCGCAATAATAAGTGGGCATGAGATCCCAAGAACGATCATGCAAATATACACTCAAATTATGGATTATAACATATTACATCGGCCAGACATGCCAGACATACCAGTGCCAATGATGGGCTTAAAAGTAGTTCTTCATCTAGGCCTATAGTTTCTTGTTCTTTCTTGTCGCTCGATCGATCCGCTTCGTGTTTCATTTTTCAAAGCATCGGCATCGCATTCGCTTGCTTTTAGTTTTATTTATTTCAAAACAAATGCACGTGTGTGTGGTTTTTAGTCTCATTACAAGGCGTTATTGCAATGCAGGATCTGAGTCTCTCCCCTTCTCCCGCTTTACACCCCCTCTTCACCCCATTGTCGTCAGCGAATATTCACAAATTACTTCGACAAAGGTGGATTTTTCAAACGAGCCTTCATTGTTTAATTTAATTTGTTTCTTTTTGTTTGCTTGTTGGATGAAATAAAATTAATCCGAGGACTTGAAACATGTTAATAGCCACTAACGTGGAATATGCCTGGCGTACACCAGCGAATTATGGCGTACACACGCACACACGCCGTAAAAACCATAAACAAAAACAACAACAACAACAACAACAACAACAACAACAACTTAAAGGTACTATGTCCCTTTTGCAGGCCAAAAAATGAAAAGGTTGAATTTCAACACCATTTGAAAGATAATACTAATTTAGAATTTCCCTAAAAAAGGGGCGGCTTGAAAATGTCTTTTATTAGTGGTCGCATCGTGTCTAAAGTAATGAAATTTTAAATAATGAACTCTTTATATTATATAGCTCCCTCTCAAGGTCAAGATATTAATTAAGCCACAAAACAATGTTTCTTGACTAAAATCGACCGATTTCTTTTCCCGTTTGGAAAGTATAAATCACAACAACATATTCTGAGATTTTCATGGTCGCAGGCTCGCAGCTACCACTGTATGGCCGTAAGCGCTATTTGAAATTTATCAAAATTTAAGTGTTTTAGGGGCTAAATTTTCTAGTGCTTATAATACATCCACAGGGGCATCAAAATATATCAAAATTATAAAGAATGTATATACGCACCCAATTTTCAAAATTTCCCTTAACTACAGTGTATGTCCCATTTGCAGGCCCCAAAATGAAAAAGGTTAAATTCAAACGGCATTTGAAAGATAATACTAATTTAGAACTTCTCTTTAAAAAAAAGGGGGGGAGGGCTTGGTCATATGTTTTGTGCTGCGCAAAGATTCAAGCCCTACGTCTTTATGTAAATTAGATACAAAATAACTGCATTACGTTAGTGGCTATTTTTATACAAGATGCAATATAGGCGTCGACGCGTCGGTGGCCTGCGTGCATGGTTAAACGAAATTGGGGGAAGACTTACCCCTCTCCAACGAAGAAATCGTGAAGTCGAATGCTGACCCTGGTATCCGTGTAATTATTCTCTATAGACCATACACAGTATTGATCTGAGGTCTCCTCTGGCAAATGGAACTTTAAATCTGCGAATGAAATCATCGAAGTGCACAAAAGTGTGAAAACTAAACATTTATGAAAATGCACCCCTGTCTTTATTCTTTAGACCTTGTTAGTCAATTTGTACTTGACCAATATAGACAGGCCACTGGTCGAATAAAAATCGAGCTTGTCTGCTTGACCATTTCCATGCATATATCGGCCTATTCATATATCGGCCTATAGACTTACGAGGCTGAAGGGGGCTTGCAACCCGCCTCCACCCCGCCCCCCCCGCCCCCCCCCCCCCCCGAGTTATTTTAAAGTATTCACCTCGTATTCGGGCAACGAAGTGGTCTATGGTTTATTTTTGTGTCTAACACTAAGATGAAATATTAAACTGTCGCTTCGCTAGTAAATTTAAAGAAGGTTTAAATTCGTTTAGTATATTCGCTCCCTCCCTACCATCACCCCCTACACCAAAACATTGATTACGATGAACGGATGAGCCGTGTATATACCCTAGTCTCTATGATGATTAATAGCAATTCATTGATTTGATATTTTTTCAATCAATCGTTATATACCCACCTTCTGTTCCTAGGGTAAAGTTTCCTCCGCAGCCAGTAACCGGTCCAGCTTGGACCATGGCATCCATCGCTGTGGAAATAAATGCAGAAAGAAACGGAAATGAAATTATAGCTTAATAATAATAATAGTGAACATTTATAATGCGCCATGTCTGTCAAAATGACACTCCTGGCGCAGTTGTGTGGAAATTGTATAAGTATAGCTTATCATTCAATGGCTTGATATGAAATATGTTTAAATCAGTCGGTATAATTAGGGGCATAGAACAGTGTTAAAGAAGCTGAATAAAATCTTTGAAGATGTGCTGGCTCCATCAATTATACTTATATACATAGCGAAGATTCTGATCTTGATCTTGACGAAAGCATGCATTGCACTATAAACATCCATCGTCAAAATATAGACATAATTTTGTAAAGACACGTATTGAATTGAATTTATATAATTTTACACAGTAAAAAAGCTAAACAGTTACAGGACTGGGTTCCATTGGGGGCCGTTTCAAACATTTGAATTAGATTAAATTGAAAACATTGAAACATAAAAATAGCAATTCTCTATCAATCGCAAAATCCCATTAAATGCTAAAAAGCAATTATATAAAAAATAAAATGTCACCGTGCAGCCAACAGTACATGATTACATGAATACAGAAAGTATCATATACATATAATTACACCAAAAAAAGCCTTCTTACCGCTATCTGGTTCAACAATGATATGAAAACCCCGCCCACTTCTAGAATAGTCCGTCAGAAACTCGATTGTGACGTAATCTGAATCCCGTACTGTTAATTGGTCGACGCCTTCGCTGGGCGTGCCGGATTCGTAGAGCAGTATTTCGGGATCTGACATCATTGAGTGCGAAGTTACTTTCAACCAATCACGTTGATCCTCTGTGTCCATATCAACGACGGTAATTACCATGACGCCAGTGCTTGATGACGTAAGGTTCCACATGTAATGTGTGTTATCGTCATAATGCATGGGATAGTCATTGGTGTACAAATGAAGTGCCTTTCCAGGTTTCAGGTCGATATTGTCCATAATATGTTTGTGAGTGATTGGTGCTGAAAGTGGAACAAAAGGAATTGTTAATTTGTTCAAATCATGAAATTAAGAAAGTGAAATGATTAAACGGCATTTGAAATCTTGCAAGAAACGCTTCATTATTCATAAAAAGTGACATCGATTGATCCTTCCATTATCATAAAATGATTTGACATGATTGGATGACTATTTTCTCATAAAACTATATAGACCATAAGGAGCCACTACAATATTCATTAATAAAAGAATTTGCAGTGTTTAATAATAATAATAATAATAGTGGCTACTTGTATAGCGCACAGGTCCACCTTTCGGTGCTCATGGCGCTTAGAGAAAAGGACATGTAACAGACATAAGAAAGAAAAAAACAAAAAACAAAATTCTCCTAGACATAGTAAATTTAATAGAATATTACATGTAATTATATATCAATTTTTGGCCTACCTCTCATGTACTCATCGTATGTGATCATAAATCCAGTGCCGTTGGTTTGTTCACCATCAGACACGAAGGATATTTCGAAACTACTGCCAATGAAATCTTTCGGCACTGAACTCCCTGTTATCATCTGTTTCATGTGTAAAGAGAGAGAGAGAGAGAGAGAGAGAGAGAGAGAGAGAGAGGGGGTGAGGGAGAGAGAGGGAGAGAGAGGGAGAGAGGTTGAGGGAATAAGAGGGGAAGAGAGGGAAAGAGAGGGAGAGTCAGAGAAAGAGACAGACAGAGAAACAGAGAGGGGGGGGTATACAAGTGAGAGAGAACATGGAGAGTTCGTTAATTTCTTTTGATAGTGCATGTATATTCTTTAACAGTGGGAAGGAAGGAGAGTTAGGGAGAGAAAAGACACAGAGAGGAGTTAGGGAAAAAAACCAAGGAGTGATGTGATTTTGTTCGAATAAAATGTGGACATTCGAAATGTAAAATACAGTATCAATGAAAATTGATTTATTGACCATCTACATAGGAAGGCCACCTGTCTATTACGACCATTAGGACCATGTTTTATCATTGAACTTCGTATATCAGGAACCTGTACACAAACACCATCTGCCCAATAAAGACCGTTTTTCTTGTCTCTCTTAATTGAGTGGTCTTTATGTGTAGGCCTACATGTATATTTATTTTACCGGAAGTCCACATTTTTGTTAAAGGTTATGAAAATGTTAAATTGCAACACTCATTTTTAAGTTGAGACTTCATAAAATACTGCCATTAGTGCTGGGATGTTAATTTTATGAAGAAGTATCATGATAGTCTACATCCCATTCGACATTTATTATTCATAAGATGAAACAAAAAAAGAAATTGTCTGAAACTGGCACAAAATACACCCAACATGCAATCTATAAATGTTTTCGTTCACATCACAATCATCCATATATCCTGACTGAACCCTGCAATCAAACACATTGAATTGTATGCAATGATCTAACCGTTTCGATGCCATCTTGATCAACCACCATCACATAGTCGCCGCCTTCCCTGAGATCGAAGTCAGTGAACTGCAGCCGTATGCGGGTGTCTGCTTCTAATGATATACTACAGTCAAGATCGTCGTCGTAAAGTGAGGGGTAACCCGGTGACGTAATCTCCCCAGAAAGGGGCACCGAGCCTGCTGGTGGACTACAGATTTCATAGCCTGAGTGAAGAGATAAATGAAATATGATAAAATTGCTTTTATTATCGGATGATATTACCCCTCCCCTCCCTTGATTGAACTTGCACATCAGGGACATACTAAGCCAATACAAAGCCAAGTGACTGGTTAATGCAGGACATAACAAAAGTGACATCGTGGATAAAAATGCAGTATATAATACATACAAAACATATCCTCATAGAAACAAAATCATGTGAAAACATTTAAAGGAATAGATTTTTTAAAAAAAATAATGAGTAATATTTATTCCATCAAAGTTATAACCATCCCTTCTCCTTCCACTACCACATGTAGCTATAGTCTCCAGCTGGCGAAAGGATGAAACCACTACTGGAACAAGAAATACGTTTTTTTTTTCTGCCAACAGTCAGACTGCACATACATCCTGTATGGCCCACATTGAACCCAATAATACCATATTTCTCTGCTATAGCTGATTATATAACATTATACAGAAGAATGTTGAATATTAGGGACAATTTTTATTACTATATATGTGTTATGCGCTATACAAGAACTGTTAATTATTATTATTATTATTCCTAACTATGAGGAACATCAAAGATCACAATACAACACTAATATTTTACTTGAACAGAAACTCTATAACCAAATGATATACACGTACAGCGTGAAGTCGTCTGTATTAGCATATGGACAGATGGACTTTATAATGTACAAGTAAATTTATAGTTGGATTAGCATTCGCTGTTGAATAGTGGTCGATGTTATGACTTAACTATGTTGTTTATTTGGTTGTTGATGGTAGTGTTGATGGTATATCATACAGAATTACAGGATGAACTCTACAAAACCACGACATTGCTAACCCACATCGTAAGCATGGGTACAGAAGAGACTATTATACCTTGCTTATGGCGGAACAGGACTTAGAAATGCTATTCCACTTTTTAAAAAGATAAAAATGTTTATTTCAACCCAACTTCGCCTAAATATCTTCCAACTTCTACAATTAATCTTTCAATGTAGTATGTTATTATGTCTTTCATTGTATAGTTTATGTTGTTCTGTACATTGTCATTTAAAACATAATTATAGTCTGGATTTATTTTGTGTTATCGTTTGTTTTTTGCACAATAAAGGTGACATTGAAAGGGGAAAAAGCTTCTACTATATTACTTGAATAACAACTACAGTTATTTTCTTGCCTACTGCCTCAAACTAGATTTAGCATCCGTGTCAATTTCGTCTTAGCATCATATACATAATTTGAGAATAAAGGGGTATTTTATAAGCATAGAATACTCAGATGATTATGTATGACATGGTTCGTGGTGTCGTAAAACTGAGAGAAAGAGAGAGAGGGAGAGAGAGAGAGAGAGAGAGAGAGAGAGGCCTATTTATTGTCTGATACGATTTTAATATTCATATAAAAGCTTCTGGATCATAAATATGATTTAACACAAAATCGTTGCAAGACGAAAATGACTTTTGACTTTTGAGTGTTATCACGATTATCGAATCCATTGTTCCGTGCTACTTATCACCCTTATGTGGTAATTACCACGCGATCAAAGTTCTTTTATCTAAATGGTCACAAATTAAGTCGTTATCAATTTCATATCTATAGTTAGTCCAACCCTTTTTATTTGTTCTGCTGAGATAAATATTTATTTTGACTTTGAAAATTTCAACAAACATTTAAAACTTGTGGGAGGTAGCGTGATCTCGTTTACAATAAAATGCAAACATAATTTGATTTAATGGTCATGCCTTTGGGTGTTAACAGTGATTAAAATTTACCACTTGAGAAAACCACTAGAAATTAGGACTCTATCATTGGAGGAAAATCAGAAGCAAAAGAATTCATTTACATAATGACTATCCTTAATTGCATAAATGAGGTTTACAAAAATAAAAGTAATGAACAAAGCAGTTACTGTGATAACCGGTTGGGTCAAAATACTTTTGTAATTTTACTTGCCACGGGTTCAATTACATTAATATTTCTTCAAATATCACTAAAAGAAAATCGGGATTGCATACCATGCACATTTTATATGACAACTTTATGTTTCGATAATTTAGATATAATCTCATTTTCGATTTCAAAAATGTAAGCATTGTAGGGGAGGTTATTATAGGTAATGACAGTAATTAAGGCATCAAATGGGTTTACTGAGACATGATCTGTCATATTTATATAACAAAATATTGATTTAGGGGGACATTAGTTAAGGGGAAAGAGATTGCGAATGACATAATTGGTGTAATAAAACATATTGACGTGGAATAACTAGAACGAACCGACAAGCACTTGGAATAAATAGAACAAATGCACATGCATTACGTATTAGCAAGACCACGTAGGCCTACGTGACGCATGGCTTTTGTTGAAAAGTACCTGAAAATCACTGAATCCGATGGGAAGTATAGGCTAGTTATTACATTTTATCGACTTATTTCAATCATACCAAATATTGTATATCCTGGCAAGACAGACGTAACCAAAATGTGCTGTTAGACATTAACTACTATAAAAACCCGCCCATTCACACCCACCCACACCCACATATACACACACACGTACACACGCAAAATATGTATTGCATTCATAATTATGCAGATATGTCAGCCCCATCGACTTTAAGGAACATATTGGACAGAAAAAACTTCTTCCAGCATAACCGTGAACGGAGATTTTTTGTGTAAAGCTTTATCCAATAGTTGCAAAATAGAACTTTACAATCACTTTGCAAAATTATATCAAATTTCAAAATTAAATTCAAATTTGAGGCGCGGGGCTAGATTATTTAAGTTTCTTTGGTATAATAATTATTGATTATAATTTATTAAGTTCACATATCTTCCTCTATAGATATAGGCCTTTAGATAAAAATGCTACGTGATATCGAAACAAACATGACAAATGCAAATATGATTGATACCATCATCAAAATGTATGTACTTTAGTCCTCAGCCATGTAGGCCTCTCGTGGAACATCGTTACCCTACTAAAGTTTTTATTAATTTTTGCTGAAATTCATAACTACTATGTTTATACCATTTTAACGCCTTTCTTATTAATTTAATCTCTACATCAGACATGATTTCAACATTTTTTAAACCTTTTGAAAAAGAGGCTAGATTCAAAATTCATATTCAAAATGTTGTTACCTTTTATGTGAACACTTAACGTTTGAGGAATAGGAATATTATAAATCATCTGCATATCAATCTGTGAGATTTTGATAGATTCTAAGATATTTCTTTTAGTGTGAGAAGTACTAATAATTATATTTATTTTGGGAAAACAGATAATTTGAGATATTAATCTTTGGATCAGAATTGTTTATCATGGGGTTTATCAAATGCGTTATTGAATTGAGCTGGATTGAGTTAATTTCCACATCTCCATTATGAAATATGTAAAACATCAAAACATGAAATTAAAAAAGATGGTGATCCTCGCCCCTCACAACGGAGGAAAAATATGATATTGAGTAAGTGATATAATCTGATTAAAAGTTTCTAACCTTTGCGACGAAACTGCAAATGATCATGTTTCAGTGAATGACTGATAAATAATCATATCAACTTTTATTTGTAAATTATAATTTTCATAAAATATAACCAAAAATAAAAATCAAAATATTAACGACATTAAATCAGCTCAGAAACAAAACATCTAATCAAGAATGGAATCCATGATTAAAATACTTAAGATACAACAACAAACCAAGTTTTTTTTTAAATTACCATTTGCTGTAGAAGTGACCAAGACGATGGCCAATGCCAATATTTTCCACGACATTGCAGCCCTTGCGTGAATCGGTGTTTGTGACACCCTGAAAAGTCACTGGAATCCTAGATTGATATGCCCACTTCTTTTTTGCCAGTTAAATCTTTAAAAAAAAAAATCTCCGTTGCCTCCTTCCTAACAATAACACGATTTCTCCCAGGATATGACTATTCTGCTCCAGATCGTCAGAATTCCATCTTAGACGCAGTAGTCCTACGATACGAAACAGTCCTGAAGAATTCCAGCTACTGAGCGGGGAAGAGGATCCAGGACTTTGAAGCGTTCGGAAGGCCTGCTTCTGTTCGCAATGCTAATGTAAGATCTTGAATGCGGCTGGTGCCAACTTGTGGGTGCCGATTCAACGTAGAGATTAATTATTGACTGATCATGCAGGTATTAGTGGCGTGTTTAGATAATGAGACAAATAATCAAGGTCCGCTTGGCAGCGATTATGATTAGCCACGGAAATTCAGCGAAAAGATCAGATTATATTTCGATTCAGAATGTCTCTATATATTTCAATAAATGCACAAGGTTAATGCTGTTAATCAAGTATAGGCTACATAAAATTGTAGACACCTAATAAGTGAAAACATTGAGTCAGAAACTGAGCATAATTTGTAGCTAAATCAAATACGCTGACGCATTGGACTAACAATAAAATATGGTTATGTTTGAAAGCTAACTTATTTTTTTAATTTCGTTTTCATTTAAGGAAAATTCCCAATTTCTGGAAATTGAAGTGGTTTTCTAAGATCTTTTGATATCTTAGGGAAGGCGAAAATATAAACGTTCATGATAGAAAGTTGTTTAAAAAGTATTCTACCAAACTGTTTCCTTATTTCTAGATGACGGTTATCAAACTGAGAAAGTTATTATATGAATGTTTAAGATAATGATGTGCAAATGAGTAGAAGGAGCCCCCCCCCCCCACCCCCCTCCTCTCTTGGAAGAAAAAAAAACATCAAATGAAGACAAAACAGTATAACAGACGGAAGTATCACAACGCTGTCTAAACCCAATATTTGTAACCGTTTAGCTGGTTAGATTATTGTATAAATCTTGGAGGTAAAGGAGATAATTCTTGTGATAATCGGAGCTCTGAGTAAACACTTTTACGCCCTAAAGGCGATCTGAGGTTAGAAGTTTTGCAATCTTCTAATTGATTTATTAGCTACTACATTAATGCAGTTTGTACGCTGTATTAAGGTGAGCTACAGTGGTGCAATCAGATATTGACCAAAGATAAAGAGGGATAGGGGGAGGACTCTATTTAAAACAGAACAATCAATCAAAAACTGAACCAAGTAGTATAACTTTTGACATGTATGTCATGCATTGTGATAAAAAATAAGTCAAATAAATATACAATCTTACTTTTTTTAAGTCTCATCATAATACTCTATAAGAGAACAATAATTTGAGATAAACATGTTGGGAATTGCTCTTTAAGCGTGGAATGGACAGATTTTTCTCCAACATTTTCTGAAAAAACATAATTTTTTATGTCATAATATATTTTTAGATGCATATTTTACTAATAATGGTCTGACAAGTAACGGTTTTAAGTGTTGTATTTTAGACATGATAAAAGATTGACAGTCGTTGAGGACGTATGATATGCCTCCAAACCCACCGTCCAAGTCGCATGGGATGTCCACCGTGTCAAGGGGTTTTGATCCATACCTGCAAAAAACATCATTAAATTATTCTTGTTTAACCCTACAGCAATCATCAATTATAAAGTCATATACAGAATTGTACAGTAGTCAGCTTTATTAATGTTAAAGGTACATATATGTCCTATTTGCAGGCCAAAAAAATGAAAAGGTTAAATTCCAACGGCATTTTAAAGATAATACTAATTTAGAATTTCCCTAAAAAAGGTGGGGCTTGAAAATGTCTTCAAGTGGGAAAATAACTGCTACCGCTGCACTAATGTCCTTTGGCAAGACATTGATCTACATTTGCCACACTCCACCCAGGTGAAGTAAATGGGTACCTGGTAGGAATTTATTCCTTGAAACGCAGCGCGCGTAACAGCTGCACTGCTAAAGTCAGGGTAATTATGCTGCATTATTGTAGAGCGCTTAGAGACTTCTGACTAAGTAAGTGTTAGGCGCTATATAAGCACTGTAATTATTGTAATTATTATTATTAGTTGTCAAATCGACTTAGGAACTATAGAGCCAATAAGTAATAGTCTTGATTTTCAGGCCATTGTACCGAATGGTCATACGTTTTATGCTGCGCAAAGATTCAATCAATTTAATTTGGCCATCACAAGAAGTGGGTTATTGATGTAGACAAATGCTCATGTACCCTTTACAGCTCATTTTATGTATGTTATTATCAAAGAAGAAAAAGCCAGTCAGTCACTCAATAGTGTCTGACAGTGAAGTCCAACAAGTAAACGGGTTTCCTTGCATAATTTGAATATTAGGACACTGCTAACGTTTAAATTTCACACATAGGACATACATGACATATTCATAATTCCTGCAAAGTTCTACAGAATTTGAGGTTGGCTGCAAAAGGGACTATAGTACTTTTAACAGGATGTTCAATACAAATACGTGGTAATATCTTTTTATTCAATACTTGTATTTTAATTGTTTGGCAAGTTTAGCCCTGCACCTCCGCCTGAAATAAAACTGTTTAACCTTTAGATCAGATAGGGCGTGACGCATGAGATACATGATGATGCTCATTTTGTTTCGATAAAATAATCAGGATGTCAGGTTACCTGTATTGTTCTCTGCTATATGGGGCGTGCCTTTTTCACAATGGTGTATTTGGAATTCGAATGGGAAAGGGGCAATATGCCCTTTACAATGTTTAAAGGTATGATACTATCTGAAATCCATACTGTGTTGATATATGTAAGCTGTTGTCTTTTTCCAGCTACTAGGCATAAAGCAATGGAGTACCATCACATATTTTAATCTCTAGATTTTAAGCAGGAAACAAATACATTTTATGGAAATATTCCACCAAACTATATATTCAATTTCTAGTACAAAATACCTATAAATGTCCATTATGATTATGTTTCGAGCTGCGTTTGTGCAAGTGTGTGTGTGTCTGCGTGTGTGCAATTCATCATGGCTCCAACAGCTCAAGTTGCTAAGAAAGGCTCCAAGAAGGCATTGAGTTGAGAATGTTGGCAGACATCCACTGAGTGAGTACTGTGTGTGTGTGGGGGGGGGGGGTGGGTGGGTGGGTGGGTGAGTATGTGTGTGGGTGGGTGAGTATGTTTGTGTGATAGAGGGTGAGTATGCTTGTGTGGTGGAGGGGGCAGGGAGGGGGCAGGATTGTTTCAGTAAAATTACCTCCAGATTTGTTTAAGTTTTTTTTGGTAATATATAAGTAAATAACATTTACAATTGACATATTATGTTTAGGTACTTATACGTTTACTTTGTTGCTAAGTTATATTATACTGCAAATAAGTTTGTGTTTAATTATGTTTATGTAAAAGCATCAATATTGAACACGTTTATTTTATTCAATTGTATGTCATGGTTTGTATTACACATCTGGAGAAATAAAACAAAATTGTTTTTAAAAAAAAAGTGTATGCGTGTGTGTGTGTGCGTGTGTATGTATCATATATATATATATATAGAGAGAGAGAGAGAGAGAGAGGGATATGGAGCGGGGATGGAGGGAAATAAAGATGGCCAAACGGACAGAGAGAGAGAGCGACATACACACAACACACACACACACAGAGACAGACGTACAGGCAGAGACAGAAAGAGAGAGAGAAAGAAAGAGACAGAGACAGAGAGACAGACAGACACAGAGGCAGACAGGCAAACATATAGAGGAGCAGTGACAGAAAAATAGAGATGAAAACAAAACACTTTTGAAAGAAAGGATGACGGGGGCTCTTAAAAATGAAAACCAAAGAGAAGCTCTCCCCCCCCCCCCCCTAAAAAAGCTGTACTTTGTTCATGCCTAACTTCTTGGTGCTACTATCTTTTATTTGTCCAATTTCTTTTGGGCAGATCATAGGTCAAAAGGCATGTCTATATGTGTGTCCCCACTTGTCTTGACCACACTCTTATCAATTGCGACGCATTCATGGTGTAATCTACCAACTTATATCGTCGGTGGGTTGATAAGCCTCCTGCCGAAATTCCGGCGATTTTTTTTTTTTCCTTCTTCTTCTCCTCTTTTATAATTTCAAATAATTTGAAGGATGTACAAGAATGTACTACAAGCACCGTCTCAAAGGAAAGTTGGCTTTGCCCTTGATATGCTAAACATGAAAGTTTTTTTGCTTCGCTGAAAAATTAACATTTTTTTTATCCCTCCACTGACGATCCATGTTAATGCAAAAGTAATCAGTAATATGGAACTTTTGTGCTCATTCATCATTAATACCTTCGACCCGATTTATCTTAATGTAACATTGCCATAATATGAACTATTTCGAATAAGGCCAAGTGGGCATTCAACTCATGAATACGCTCTGCGTGGAAGATTTTATTGGTTGGAACAAAATAAGCATGGATGTGTTCCAGCTTTTTATTGTTTAAGATGTACATGTCGGTAACTAAATAGGGACAATATTTACCACACATGTAGACATGTTCTCTTCATGTCACTTCGCTTGTTAACATTTTTGCCACTGACGCAGTCGATAAAATCAAATCACATTTGTTTGAATATAAGCACTTCCTGAGGGAAATAGTCAGAGAGAATAGTTATGAACGGGCTTGTTTTGACATAGCATATTATCTTTCATGAGGGACTGCTGTTGATCGTTCGATCTCGGATTAACATTAAAGATTAAGATAACCTGTAAAATGTGCGTGAATCATCAACTTAAAACCCAATCTATTTGATAACGGTCCATGTCGGACGGATAATAAGCAGGTAGTTTGGTGACTTTGAAATAGAAATGTGGTTGGGAAAACACCCGATTTTTATACTGCTCGCCAACAATCAAAATTAATTGGGAGTACTCTTTTGTCTGTCATGTATGTATGATGTATGATAATTGTTTACCTGACTGCTAAGAAAGCATGTATATGCTGGTAAGTAAGCAAGCAGAGGAATGACAGTTTTAAGTCCTCTCTGAGGGGCTTGGTAATGAAGATTAACGCATTCCAAAGGGCACGAGCGCATTGACTTGGTTTCGAACCCAGGACCCCTCGGTTACGAGACCACTGTTCTACCACTGAGTCGTCGTTCCTCATATTTACCATGACTGTACGCCGCGGGGGCTAGGGAAGGGGGCATTTTCCATAAATATAAAAAGAAAACAGAAAATGCAAAATGCAAAAAAAAAAAAA